TCTCTGCTCTTCCAGTTACGTTTGAGCCAACGGGGTCAACACAGTGGGCGCCCCCAGGCAGGTTTTAAAGTGGTGGCCCTGGCCACCCCTGGGGGGGGGGGGGGGGGGGGGGCACTGCTCTCAGCTAAACATAAATTACGCCTGAGGTGGAGGGTCGCTTCGGGTGAAGGTGCAGCATAACTTTCAGGTTCCAGCGATTAATAATCTATGAATCTGTCTCATTTGTTGCAGCGGCGCTCAGGTGCATCATTTATCTTTATGGTAAACAGGAACCTTCTCCTCCAGTCTGCATGAAAAGATTTGGGCAAACACGCTGATGACAGCGCGTGGCGCGTGGTGCTGAAAGGCTGGTCGATGTGACTCAGCCTTTGGGACACACACACTCCTACACTTAAACTCATGAGACACATCTCGTCTCCTACCTGCTTTCTGCTCACACCCACCAGTTTGTTCCCTGATGGGGGGTTACAGACCATTTAGCAGACAAATTTTACAGAGGGTCTCTGTGGGCGGCAGACAATACAGCTTCTCTGCAGAACTCTCATCACCTCCCAACGAAACGTTAGAGCTGCAAACAAACAAAATAAATAAATAAATAAATAAATAATGCTGTGTGTAATTCTGACAGGAAGATTGCTCCGGCCTCTTTAGCTGGCCTGTCAGACGCTTCTCTGTTCCTGCTCCCAAAAAAACTGACACTTTTTGAGCCCTTTCGGTCTAGCTGCTCGTTTGCCATCTCCCACTTGGCCAGATAACGGCGGCGTTTCCTGTGAAGGTGAGAGAAAAAGCAGCAGTAATTGACAGGTTGGAGTGTTGACCTGATTGGAGATTCTTATCATGAAAACATCACGGTCTTTCAAATGAGGCTGCAGAGGAGGTCAACCACACACACAAAGTGCACAAAGAGATGTTTTTTCATGCTTTTAAAGATGAAGAGGGAAATTTAATGGCAGCTGATCTTATTTACAACAATTTCAGAGGATTTGTTTTGTTGTGACCCTGCAGAGATCTCAAGATGATGTAAATTTTCTACAAATGATGGCAAAAATCCACCCTTCCTACTCAGTTTATACGTGTTTTAAAGGTTATTTGAAGAAAATGCCATGACTGAGTCTGAGTTTGACAAATAAAGTAGATTTATTTTAGGTTTACAAGCTTTGTAAATTCCTACAGATTCCCTCTTTGTGTTTCCACAGGAAAAGCAACACAGACGGGACTTGAAGGATGGTTGCTTTAAGGGGGGTGGGGCTTTATAAGAGGTCTGGCTTTTTAATAAATGGACTTTAAAATATATTTTCTATTAGAATAGTGTCTGTGGAACGAGTCAGTGGATGTAGGGGTGTGTACTGATACTTTAAATAAATACACACATAAATGAAAAATGGAAAAATTTACAACAATAAACAGGATAATAGCAAATAAAGGCCTCTTTCACCTTAAACTTCTCCTTTTAAAAACGTGTAAAAAAGGATTTACTTCTGTTTTGTGCTTTTTAGTCATATTAAAATGTTTCAGATCAGCAAAAACAAATGAAAGACAGCCAGAGTAAACACAAAAATCATGATTGATGATGAGTTTATTTATTAAGGTTTAAAAACCCTATCCAATCCAACAAGTTCTTATGAGAAAAAGTGATTGTAATTTTTAATCTACTGGGATTAACATTAATATTCATTGGTAAGCGGAGTTCCACATCCAGGCCAAATTACTACTAGACCTGCAAAATTAAGAAGACTTTCATAGAACCTGCCTGGTAACTTGATTTTGATTTTATTTTTCCTTTTCCCCATTTCTTATTAAAATCTATGTATATTTTGATAATTTTTTTTATTTATTTTTTTGTTCTTGTGAAACTTTTTGTGATTTTTATTTTAAGAGACGCTATATAAAATATAGCTTATTCGTTTCTTATTGATGTGCTAAAGAATCTCAAAAAGCAACACATTGTGCCCCATTCATCCAGCCATCCTCTTCCGCTTATCCAGGGTCGGGTCGCGGGGGCAGCAGCCTAAGCAGGGAGGCCCAGACTTCCCTCTCCCCAGCCAATTGGGCCAGCTCCTCCGGAGGAACCCCAAGGCATTCCCTGGACAGCCAAGAACCATGGTCACTCCAGGGTGACCTGGGTCTTCCTTTAGGCCTTCTCCCGGTTGGACGTGCCCAGAAAACTTCACCAGGGAGGTGTCCAGGAGGCATCCTAACCAGATACCTGAGCTACCATAATTGGCTCCTCTCGATGTGGAGGAGCAGCGGGTCTACTCCGAGTCCCTCCCAGATGACTGAGCTTCTCACCCTATCTCTAAGGGAGAGCCCAGACACCCTGTGGAGAAAACTAATTTCGGCTGCTAGAATCTGTAATCTTGTTCTTTGGTCACTACCTGAAGCTCGTGACCATAGGTGAGGGTAGGAACGTAGATCGACAGTCAATCAAGAGCATCACGTTCCGGCTCAGCGCTCTCGTCACCACAACAGATCGGTACAACGCCCACATCACTGCAGACACAGCACCAATCTGCTTATTGAACTTACGCTCCATCTTTCCCTCACTTGTGAACAAGACCCCGAGAAACTAAAACTCCTCCACTTGGAGCACAACCTCATCCCTGACCTGGAGAAGAAGAATCCCTTTTCCGATTCATTGCCACATTGTGCCCCATTTTAAAGAAATCAGGGTTAACGTCAGAGGTCATGATTCAAGAATTAAATGGAGACAGAACAAAAATGGTGTCCATGTGGGAGATACAAGAGAAAAACCTCTAACTAAAACAGAAAAACATAGATCCTTCTCACATTTATGAAAAAAAAATCTCAATCAAACCTTTTGGGGCAAAATTCTGTAACAATGATGAGACAAAAGTGGAATACTTTGGAAGGTGTGTGTCCCATTACATCAGGAGGAAAACTAACAGTAAATTTTAGAATAACATTACACTAAGTCAAGCAAGGTGGTGGTAGTGTCATGGTGTGGAGCTGGTTTGCTCCTCCAGGGCCTGGATTGCTCTTATCAAAAATCCTGAATATCTGACCTTTGACCTTAAACATACAGATGAAGCTTTAACGTTTCTTTTTTGTTTTTGTTTTTTGTACTGAAGTCAACATTGCTGATCGGAACCATTGAAGGGACACAAAGCAGGCCCGGAGTGGCTAATCGGGAGGGTCTGGAGAATTCCCGGTGGGCCGTGCGATGTTTGGGCCGCATGGGCCGGTGCTCTCGTTTTTGCTTTTTATCATTTTATTTTTATTTTTTGGTGCCGGTGTTCAGTCATGGCACTGAGGCCGCCGGGCTGATCACATACGCTCCTCCCAGCTGTCTCTACCTGCAGGCTGCAGCTCGTTTTTTTTTTTTTCTTTTTCCCCTGTATGCGCCTGTGCGCACCACGTGACCACGCAGTTGACAGAAAGATGGAAAGCAGAAAGAGCAAGGGTGGCGCGGAGAAGGCAAGAATTAAAAAGAGGAAAGCGCTGGAAACAGATGCAGCTAAATGTGCAAAAATGAGCTCCTTTTTTTCTCAAACAAGCTCGCGGTCTTTAACTTCAAATGAAGATAAAACGGGTAAGGCAAGTCAAAATGTTAAACTTTACCGGCTGCAAATCACCATTCAAGTTAATTAAGCATCAATAATGAATTATATGGCGTCATGACATAACGTTATGTAATATAGTTAACAGTATGATGTGACTGATGCCACCAAACTGTCTTGTAGCCCACAAGATCCAGTAGGCCTAATAAGCACCAGGCAGAAACCCACCATTCCAGAGCGGGCATGTACAGGTAGGATTACTTATTGAGTCAGTGAACTGAATATTATTAAAATTTATATGATGAAAACTATCCTGGCTCTATATGAAAGTGTCCTAAAATGCTAGATGATTCAGCATTGATCAGAAAACGTGTAAAAAAGGAAAATGAATGCTGAATTGTGACCATTTTCACACAGTGTGATTTAGTGTCAGAAGAAGAGCCAGGAGCCAGCAGTGAGGGTATTGCTCCTGTTGGGATAGAAGGTTAGCCAACTCATGTGCAAACATCAGTTTCATTATAATAATTTTAATGTCCAAATAATAGTAGTGACCTGATGTATTTTTATTAGTAAATGCACAAAGCCCACAACAGATCGCTATTAGAATGAAAGTAAAATTAAATAAGCCTGCATATTTTGCCATAGAAAATATTTTAATTGGTTCCAAAAATGTGTTTTCCATATCAAATGTGCTAAAGCTTTACAGATGATTATTTTAATTGTGTGCAGGTGAGTATAGGGAAACTGGAAAAAGTGTGAAAGGGAGTGCTGAGTCATTTCATTTTAAAGATTTGAAAATCTCAGAACAGCTGTTTGAACAGAATGTAGATTGTTATATTGTCAGAGAATGTGTTGTAAAGAACAATGTTGGAGATGTGCACTGATGTTCAAATAAACCTACATTGTAAAGCAACTCTTTCTTGCACTGAATTACAAGGCTTTACTGAGTAGTGTGCTTTTGTAGACTATACATATAAAGTTCTAACATGATTTTAATAATAATTCGTTAAGTGGGCCGGTCTGGGGTCTGAAACTCCGGGGCTGAAAATGTGTCCCACTCCGGCCCTGACACAAAGTAAATGAAAAAGAAGAAATCACTAAAAGCACAAATAGTATGCTGGAAAAGCCAGAGCCACAGAGATGCTTTTCTGCTTTAAAACCACATTCTGTTGTGTTCTCGCCTAGGTGCAGTGTTTGACCTGTGGTCAAGAATAAAAGGCCAGTCTGTTCTATTTTTGAACGGATTAAACGGGTGGCACCAACAGCATAAGTAATCAGCTCATCTGCATACACCTGAACACACCTGTGATGAATTCAAACAGTTGAGAGTTTACACAGTCCAACCAAAGCTCCAAGGCTTTGAGTCAGTCTCCATGGCAACTAAAGATAGTGACAGAAGAATAAGTAAAATTGTTATTTTACTCTTTTTGAGCAGAGAGATCTGATCTGGGATCAGTTGAGGGCCAACCCTCAGACACTTACCTGACTGGCGCTGGCGGGGAAAGAGGAGATCGGCGGGACGTCCAGGACCTTCAGCTCATACATGTTCCCGTTCAGTATGACGGAGGGTCTGTACACATATCTGGTCCTGGTCGGCGTGTACACCTCCGAGAAGTCGTTATAGATGAACTGGCGGATTATAGAAGTTTTGCCCACCCCGGGAGCACCGATAACAGCGATACTCAGTGTCTCCACCATTCCTGGAGCTCGGCTTCAGCACCATGGACAGCGCCGACGCCAGCAGAGACAGATGTGACCGTCCGGAAGCACAGCTGGAATCCAACCCTCCGACCTGCAGCCTCTCCAATCACCTCAACCGGCTTCAGCTGCTGGCGACAAAACAGTCAATCAGCCAAACTTTACACCTCCCAGCAGGTGAGGCTGCCGCAGACGGCCAGGAAAAGGCGCTCAGCCTCGAATGGAGAGAGTCTCGTAGCCTCTGAGAAAAACTCGTGGTTTTCCAGGGGACATCCCCTGCAGGCTCGTCCCCAGAGAGGAAACGCAAAAGTCCGCCTTTGCTGCCTCCGCTGGGACATAATCTTCACAGGTGTCCAGGCTCAACGCTAGAGCAAACGCGCAGGAGGAGCTCTCGATGTCTTCATTGATTATCTCCTCTGCGCCTCTCACTCATTTCCAGCGATGCACCACCGCCGCGCTCCTCCATCACAGGGGAGTGAGGCGCACAGCACGGGACTCGTAAATACGCTCCCCACGTGCTCGGAAAACGGCATCAAACCCTCACCTCGACCTTCACGATCGCGAGCTTACTGAAGATAACCGGGGAGATCCGAGAAAGAGAGAGGGAGAAAGAGAAGGAGACGGCCGCGAGCGTGTTTCCTGTAAAGGCATCTGGAGTCTGATGAGGAGCGTTAAGCTGCCGTAGGAGCTCTCTCTCTCTCTCTCTCTCTCTCTCTCTCTCCCCACCATCACTATCCCCTGCACTGCTCATCCAATAGGATCATGTCGTGCGCAAAGCGTGTGGAAGGTTGGAGCTCCCATACGCCGCAAACAAATGGCAACAAGAACAGGCCACACAGCGTGGGCTGGGAGGCGCGCGCATGTGTGTGTGGACTTCATATCTCTGAGGTGACTTATTGGCTCTTGGACAGGGTCTCTGAAGGAGGGCAGGGTCCATGAGAGCCATCAGTCAGGCTGTCACAATGGACAGGTGTGTGTGTGGTGGTGGTGGTGGTGGTGGTGGGGGGGGGGGGGGTCTATTTTCCTCTGAATGACTGCAACGAAGCTTCTGACAGTGGGGAGACGCAACATTCATCAGATTAGTAAATATTGATCTGGATTTATTAGATTACTGCGGAGATGGTGCGTAAAACCGTGTATGATGACCAGAGATTTGTCCTTGTTACAGATGTTGAGCTTCTGGACGAGCCAACCAACAGTAATGACCTGTTACTATTCACGAATAATTTATTTAAATCTCTAGGACATATTTATATATAATATAGATATAGATATATCTGTCTGAGTGAGAAAACCTGAACATTTCAGGGCTCCATATAACAAAAGATTTTCTTATACATTCACCTCTAGATAAAAATCACATGCACAATAAAAAAATATATAAAAAAAATAAGATTACAAATGATAAAAGTAACTAAATAAAATTAAGAACTTATTTTTTTTTAAAAGCATTTCCTCTACATTTAACTTAAGCAAAGCTCTGAAATGCTAATTCATAAAGTCACTGCTTTAAATAAACTCCATACAGTAAAAGATTTATTTTATCAAATAAAATAATTCCAAATCCAAACTTTTTCTTGATACATGAGTGTATTTTAGCCATCAGTGGAGTAAATCCATCTTTTCTAGAGAGAAACTTTCTTGGTTTTCTCTTCACCCAGACTGAAACTTGACCGGTAAAGGCAAGCAGGTGGCGCCCCCTAACGGGATGCTTTTACCAGCGGATCAATGTCAAATTGTTCATTTATAGATTAGCAGATTGGAGGTACTGATGTTTTCCAGGTTATATATTCTCTGCAGCTGAACCAAACGGCCTTTTCCTACAGAATCTGAGAAGAGAATAGTTTGTGTTCCACGTCAGCTCAGCCAGTGGAAGTCCTGGTTACTCTCCGGAGAACGTAGAACTCATTAATGTCTCACAGACACTTATTTATCCCGGACTCTTGCACTTGTGCTCAGCTTTGGTTTGCATGTCTGAAACACCGTGAGCTGGTGGCCCACAGGGCGAAAGCACCCTAAACTCCTCAAAAGTCACAGATCATGAGTTTTTATAAAAACACAGAAGAGATACTCAATGTGTGGATCATCAGCGCTTTTAATAGTTCTCAAACAATGTACACGCTGAACTAAATAAATCAAAAACATGATTAAACATCTGATTAATACAGCATCAGCTGTCACCACACACACAGAACACGCAGCCTCGGCTTTTATAAGATGTTGTCGGCACATTCATCCTGATGAAACAGCTTCAGGGAGACAGAGATCATGGATGGTTGCCCCATTTCAGGTCAGTGTGCAACCTACACTTGTGTTCTCTTCACATCTGGAACGTAACAAATCATGACATGAGTTTATGTCACCTGGGCCTTCATCTCCGGTGGCCGTGGAGAACTGCTGTGAGGACCGGGTGGGGGGGGGGGGCTGTGGCTGACGCAGGAAGAGACAGCGAATAGAAAAATTCCCACGCCCTGAGGCTCTCCCCCGTTTGTCACACTCTTAACAAGACTACGGACACAAATGAAACCATGGAATGACGAAGCAAATGCGTGTTCAGCAGACGCCTGCTGCTGAAATAGAAAATGTCGAGATTACACACACACACGCACACACACACGCACGCACACACACAGCTCTCAGGGACAGTAGAGGATCAAAACTACTGCTCCGCGCAAAGAAAACTATGAAATGACAAACAATGGTGTAGTTTAAAGTATTTGTGCGTCTCCTGTTGGGCCAGCATTCTCCTCATCCTGTCTGAACTTCAGTTAGCTACAAATAAATATGATGAAATTTACCCGATGATAGCAGGTGCTAAAAATAGACAAATTCACCCAGAGGTGAAGCTGGAAAATGATTACAGAGCCTCATACGGAGGCAGATGTCAGGTGGCCGTCTGTTCGCGAATGAGTAAGGGTCATTAAACGAAGGATCATGCAGGGAAGATTGGAGCTGCGCTGATAAATTAGCTTCAAACTAAAGCAACAAAACAAATGAATGAATCAGGTATGCAGAGGGAGTGGGCAGCAGCCTTTGTAGGGGGGGAGAAGGTGAATGTTTAAAAGGTTACAACAGACCATTCAACATTCTAATGGAAGGGCTAAATGACAGAAACTGTAGTCAAACACTGCAGGGAGGCGGCGCCGCTCGACGCAGGGCTGGAGCACGTTTCACACATCGGGAGAGGATGCTGGGAGGTCAGCGACTGGAAGGATGTTGGAGCGTTCCCTCAGTTCTTCAGCACGGCCTCGTAGGTCTGGAACACACACTGGGAAACCTCTGGAGCTCTGCACTTCAGAGAGATCTAGTGGGAGACAAAAGATGTTGGTTCTGTTTAAACAAAAATATAGAAAATTCTGATTTTCTGTTTGTTTCTGCATGAAAATGGAAAACATGAAAGTACCAAATGAACCAAAATGTCCAACGTATAAAACATTAAATAGTTCGGTTTTGTGAGCTTATTGAGGAAAATCAGGGTTTCTCACATTCATTAATAACCTCATCCTCCCTTTATATGCACTCTTCACCAGAACATTAATTATTTTTCACATGGGAGGGGAAAATGGCTGTGGATTAAAACTCCTTTAATTCAGTCTTATCGTGTGCGAGCAGACCTTCTGACAGAAATACAGATACACAAGCACACTGACGGAAATGGAAGCAGCTTGCCCTGCCTTTGATGTCAGTCCCAGCTGGGAGAAGGTTTTGGGTTTAATGGAGCCTCACAAAGTATGAGTTTCTCTCCCCCCTCCATCACACTGTAGATATTATTTTCTTACATCCCAGAAGCACACTGTTTACAGGAAACACCAGGCAGGCAGCTGGAGCTCAGGAACAGTTGCATCAGTCCAGATTTTATTACGATGTGACAGAAAACACTTTAGAAACACGACAAAACAAGAAGACAGGGGGGGGGGTCGTCTGATTAAATTCTGCAGAGTAAATCCCAGCTGTGCTCTCCTCTGAAGAGCAGAAGCCTTAATGACCCACGTCTGAAGGGAGAAGAAAAGGACGACCTGCTCTCACACACCCCCCCCCCCCCCCCCCCCCCACACACACACACGCATCATCATCAATCTACTTTAATCACCGTCATTGCTTTGAATCACATTTGCTACACCGACGTGGAGCTGGACCAGTTTGAGTGGAGGAGAAGGTCCTTATAAAAATTTACATTCTGACTGGATTTGATCCTGTATTTTTGTTTCATGCTCAGTAATCCTCCATCATCCTAATTACAAGGCGTTATGAATTAAGCCCTCACTTATCCGTTGTCTGACACGGCAACGCTAATGCGCCACAATGTTCCCTCCATTATCTTAATTACAGCGATTGGCTATTCACCTGAAATGTAAGGATGTGATGGAGCGTGGCATGGTGGTTACCACAGAGTTGTCGTTAAATAAAGCAGTGGTATTACGCAGCTCTGTGCTGATACACCCAGCCCTCTTTACTAATGCATGCTGCTGCTAGCAACACTTAGACAGCTGTGCTCCTATCAGCACGATGTGAAGAAGCGCAGAAGCTCCGGCTGCTGAGCAGAGGCACTTACTGAGAGAGCCGTTAGCTGCAACACCTCAGCTTCAGGGCTTGATGCTTCAATAAAAGCACAGCAGAGTATGAAGGAAATAAGAGACTGAAGGAGGAAGACCAGAGGAGAAGTTTGCGTTCAACACCCATGGAGTCTTCATATGCTGCAGTTCCTTTATTGAGTTTACATTATTTGATATTGAAGAGCATAAAAATGATGCCAGTTTGTGAGGAATCATTCATAATAAAATATTGATCATTTTAGAGATCTGTGAGGCACGGCCCGGTTCACAAGATCAACGAGAAAAGGGATGGAAAAGAGAATGAAAAACCACCAACAAACAGCATACGGCAGGTAAAAATGACCAGAATGTTTAAAGGAGAACTAGACAGTTTTGGCTTACTTTTCGCACCCCCTAGTGTCAGTTTGTAGAACCAAAAGCTAAACGTTTCTCCTCGCCGTGCCTTTAACACCTTAACCCATTTGGCCCCACTGGCAACATCTGTTGCCAAAGCGTTTCACCGTCATTCTCAACTCACAATAAAAAAAAGATTGCAACAGCACTAATGCAGCTTTTTCCACTTATATGCTAGTAGATAACTTAGACAAAGGTTTTACTAAAAATATATGTTTCCAAGTGCTTCCTATTGCATGACACCATCTGCTTCCGGCTCCTTCCGCCTGAAGACATGGCAGGTGCAAATCGTCCTGGAAAGAGGTCATTTTCATTAACTAATGATGTTTCCCCCAAAACATATTTATTATTATTTAGTCATTCAAGTCTCTAGAGCAGGGCTATTCAATTATGGTCCTGGAGGGCCTCTATCCAGCACGTTTTAGGGGTTTCTCTGCTCCAACACACTTGATTCAGTGGTTCAATCACCTGCGCTGCAGCTCATCAGGCTCTGCAGAAGCCTGTTAATCACCTATGGTAAATGCCTGCATTTGTATAGCGCCTCTTTAGGGACCTATTTACGAGTCACCTGAAGGCTGGACATCATCCCTGTAGAAACCATAACATAAATCACAAAGAGCACGAGTGACGTGATGGAAGAAGATTCATCCCTGTTGATTTTGCATCGGTGGTTTGTTCAACTATTCAAAAGCTCTAATAACAGCAATCAGCTGTACTTCACAATTAGTTAAAACACCAAATAAAGGTACTCAGAAGGAAGATATGATTTGTAGGAAATGTTAACAGTGTGTGTGGAAGGGGGATGTATACTTGTTCTGCGGAAAAGCTGCTTCATGGCGTCTATTTCTAAGTTTACTGAAAACAGTAAGAACCAGCTCACGAGGTGGGCAGAAAAAAAAAACTCAGCCATCATATTGTTGCCATGGGGACAGAAGATGGCAGATGAGAAAACCACAGCATCGTGTCAAGAAGATGGAGCATCCAGATGCTCTGCTTACTACAGTAAACATGATGGGAACCGAGGAAAAGAAAAATTATCAACAGACTGAAGATTCTGTTGATAATTTTTATTTTCCTCGGGGAGCAAAATAAAAAAGGGGATCGTAGTGAAAAAGCAGCTGCTCTTGTCCCCCCCAGTCTGCTCTGCAACTTTTGCTTTAGCTCTCATCACCAACATGGAGATGTTTGCGCCTGCAGCAGGAAGCCGTTTCCAGCTTAAGTAGGGTGTGATTGTGTGAAAACAGAAGTGTTGAGAGACATGACTCAAAAGCAGAACGTGTCATAATTTGGAGAGACATCTTTTCGACATTCTCCATAAATCAGAGGTTTAGAGGATACTAAATGTGGTTCTTTTCCTTATTTTATCAGTAATTGTTAAGTTTTCCTAGAGTTACGTTTCAGCTATGACATCACAATGCACATGCGTGTGGTACCCACGCCCAAGGTCGATGTGGACGCAGCAATCCACCAACCACAATCATTCTTATTCAGTTTGAGTGGGCAGACCACGAGATGTTGTGTTTTATCGTTCTGGGTGCATACCGAATTTCGTTGCCTATTGATGCATCAAACACACACCACACTGCTTTGATTCAAGCATCACGCGTAAGAATAGCGGCCAGTGCCTCTGGCCAATCAGCCAACAGTCGAAGATTTTGACTCTGGGGTTGGGGGTGGGGTGTAACCCTTAACATAATGGATCAGGTAAGATGCCGATCAAAAGTTTGAGGCCCGTATCATGACAACGCCCTTTACTAGGGTTGGGCATCGAGCATCAACTGAAACTGGGACTAACTCAGTTTTTCCCAGAATCACTCATATTTTTTAATTGAGATTCTCAGTCTGCCAACCAGAAGAAAAATTTGCGGCCAATCTCTGTGGAAAAATACAAAACATGATCCACATAATCTCAGACGCCTTTCAGAGCCGATCATACAACCTGTCTGTTGCTTCTACTTTGCAGCCCGCAGAGTCCGCTAGTGCAGCAACCGGAAACATTCAAATTCAAGCAATGCCTAACCGTAGCCTTTACAATGTCTACCGACACGATGGCATCATGCAGAATGTTATCCACCTCTCGCGGTGCGCACAGCACCTACAGGTTCACGGTCAACCAGATAGTAGAAGCTAGGGTTGGGCGATTTGTATAATTTTTCCCACCACCAATCATCAGTCCAAAAAAAAAACAGACGATGGATGATTTATTCGTGCATGTGACGTCATGACGCACGGACTGATTTGCGAACACAGAAGAAGCCCAAAACATTGATTTTTTTTTAGACAAGGGCAGCACATATGGTTGCTGGAAGAGAAATAAAAATGTTTTTTTTTGTTTTATTTGCTGTTTAATACGGGCCGTTTATATGTCAAACACGGTTAAAAAGAAGCCTCGTCTGGGTTTCCTTGTGGTGCCCACTGTTGTGGTATTTTATTTAAGCTAAATGTTTCTTTCTGAAAAAATTCTGGGGGTCTTTCTTTTATAAGTAGGGGATGAAATGAATCGCTGCTGCGTTTGGACCATCGACATATATGGTTTGGACGCACTGAGGAGGCAGCTCGCTGCCAGAGGTCACATGATCCATTTATCACTGTCACTTTCATTTTTAAAATAATGAATAATCATTTGTTTACTTTCCATTCATTTTTAATTAATATTTAGTGCAACCAAGCTGATCAGAATGCCCAAGTAACATGAACAATGCAATTAATCGATTTCACTTAAATTAGGAACATTTCACCTGCTGCGGCTCGAACGCACATTCCTCCTGCGCCGCGTGAACCTGAACTGGTCGCCTGCAGCTTGTGTGTAATCAAATGTCTCTAGGGAGCTTGCTGAAGAGATTATGAGCATCTAGACTTTAGCCTCAGACAGACTCACGGCTGTTTAAATAATGTTCAGGATGGATCCGTGCTCTGCTGACACACTCGAAGCAGGTGCTGAATAATGACGAGCGCTACTTCAGCCCAAGTTTTAATCAGGAAACATTTCTCCAAAAGAAATCACCAGAAGTGTTCTTTTCAAGTCATCTGTTAAAAATTGTCACTTTTCACCATCATGTAGCCCTTAACAACAAATTAGCAGAATATCTAAAAAAAATAAAACTGATTTTACTTTTCAAACACATAAGAGGACCTATTCCCCAGTGCAATATAGAGTTTGGAGCTGGGACACAGATATTATGGGTCATGTGGAAGATGAAGTACGGTAGATAAAGTTGAGATGTGCAAAAAAAAGAAAAAAAAAAAGAAAAAATGGGTCATGGTATGAAAATGCCTAAAACAGCATTAGTGAGCAGCAGCAGCGGCAGAAATAAAACATGACCTCATATGTTTCCTCAAGAAAATGAATAAACCTTTTCATGCTTTTTTCATTTGAAGTACCACGAAGCCCAGTAAAACCGCAGCGGCAGCGCTTTACTTTTATCGTTCTAAAAATAGCCGCCGACAAAAGGCTTTGGCAGCTTGGCTTTAATGTTCTGTGCCAAGAGAGCGCTGGGACCGTTGCAGCAGGCTGGCTCAGAAGAACCGGCATCAGAAAACATCCATGCAGGAGAACAAACGTCAGACTCCAGATCTGGATTCACTACTCCATTTGTGAACCGTCAGTAAAATGCGAGCACTTGCAGCCACAACGAGAAACGGCCCAGTCTTAACATGAAATTAAAAAACAGGAGTGGAAGGTAACAGAACCCGCTGAAGGAGAAGAACAGCCTCCTGAATCATTAAAGCTGGGAAATCAGATGATAAAAAATGTAAACCTCTTGCAGCTCCACAAACAACCATCATATTTCCCTATCAGGTTGGTCTACGTGATGAATAAACAGTGTGTAAACCAGATGAGAACTCGGATTTTTATGAACGCGCTTTGGGTGACTGATGAATCGACCAGGCTTGATAGGAGCAAATAAAAAGACAGTTGATGCCACCTTATAAATAAAACATGAAGCAGACTAAGATGAGTCGCACCAAGGTCACTGCTCATCCTGAATTTCTACGCCAAACACAATCCATCAGTGGTGACGCTGATGATGCGGAGACACGCAACAACCGAGTGACGTACGCTGCAGTAGGGCTGCCATCACTGCACAAGCGGCCTCTTGTCCCGCAGGTTCGACGCTGACAACTGCACATCAATCTCTGTCATGTCTGCGTGTTCAAACTGATTCAGAGTGGCTTGAATTGATCCGTAACACAGTGTAACGAACATAACCTTACAACAGAGACAACAGGACATGCTGGCTGAACCAGACAGACATCATTCGGCATGAAGGACAGTAAAACACACCGCAAGTATTTCTAAAATGTTTAAACTATCAAACCCCAAATATGCAAAACCGTGCCTCTTCTCATTTTGTTTTCTTTTTGGTTCCCGTTGCAGCCCCTGAAGCTGCCTAAGCCTTACATTTGAAAGTTTGCACATGCTAGATACAACTCGCATAAGCACATCCGCTTTTAATCTCTACAAAAAGATATCAGTGCATGAACATGCACAGCCTGTAGGCAAGCACAGAGATTTCTGGGAGATTTCTGGAGCCGCTTTAGAGAAGGGCCTTAGTCAAAAGCATGTAAACGGTCTGTGCGAGCAGAAGTGGCAGAAAGCACTTGAAGAAATACGATCTGAAAACGACGGGCTATGACCTCAACAAGAAATCCTTGGCCTGGCTGTCCATTATCGGCTACATCAAGACGGCCCCAAAACCATCTTTTCAGATTGTGACGGAAACAAAAAAAGGGAGAAAATTCCTGCCAAAAATACATTTTGCTCAATATAAAAAGCACAAACTCATCTGTAGTCTGTAGTTTAGGTGCCAACAGATTTAACATGGGACTAACAGATTTACGGTGACAAAACGTCCCTTTTTTTCCACTTTTCACGTTGTCTCAGGGGCATCCGGGCAGTGGGGCCCCCAGATAACTTTCTTAGGGGTGGCCAGATGGGACCAGACAAAATTTGGGGGGTGGCAGACCAGATTGGTCCGTGTGGTAACTCTAGGAGTTTAACCTGTGGTGATGCATTGCATGCTCCTTTGATCCTTTTCATAAAAATAAATATGCATCCAACACAAGACAAGTTTTTCCAGAAAAATACATTTCAAAGTGTTATTTTTAATGTGATCTTTTTTGGAGGAGCAACATATTGAATGAGTGATCGGTCGGCCTGCACAAAATAAAGAATTTGCATTAGCATGTAACGTGGTTGGATAATCGGATCTCCTCAGGGTTGTGGTTCTTCTGGCAAAACGTGAGCCAATTTTAAGATGAAAGTCATCATAACATTGTAACAAATTAAGGATGCAGAAGGAACATCCAGGTGTGCTAATTATATAAATAAGCAAAAATTCACGAACTGTTTCGAGAGCCATTTTGTTGGTACACTGATAGTGAATCAATTAATCAATTTCCCTCTGGGATTAATAAAGTATTTTTGAATTTGAATTGAACTTGAATAGCACCTAGCTGGTTAAAAAATGGGGAGCAATGTAGTTCGAGTTAGGGCTGGGCGATATGGCCTCAAATCTATATTGCGATATAATCTGAAGCATGTGTGGTAACGATATATATTGCGATATATTTTTTCCTCTATATGTCAAAATGACATGCTCTTAAATATCCTCATGTGGCAAAAATATGCCACTTGACGCATATAGGCCTCCTCCTCCGCCCACTCCATGCTTGCAGTCACTGCCATTCTGTTGTCCCAATGTCAGCAGGGTGCACATCTTAGTGACGTCATGTGTTATCGCGGTATTGCGATATAGCCAAAAACTCTATCAATACCCAATTTTATATCGTTTCTACCTTATATCGTTTATATTGCCCACCCCTAGTTCGAGTCAGTTTTCATTTAGTTGACAAAATATTTTCACAATTTTTTTGCCTCGGAAATATTTTTGCGGATGAGAACAGAAAAAAATAAAAACTTGGGAGACTAAATCAACGACTAAATTGATCAACGAAAAACAGATGAGGAAAAAATAATCAGTGACAAAAATCCAAACAGAAGACGGGACAAAAGAGCCGCTCACCAAATGGAACAGGTGGGACGAGATAAGAACTAATGAGTCTGGAGCTAGCCGTGGTCTGGCTGATTCATAGTCACTTTTGTTTTATTTAGCATGCCACCATGCAGCTTTTTGTCTGGTTAAATAATTAAACAAATATTTCTAATAATTATAAAGACTTGTTTGCTTTATTAATGTAGAGAGACACAATTTCAACTGTTGATGTGTGTTTTGGTATTTCTAACAATGTTTTTGTTATATATAGTCAGATTAATGTGCCTTTTTTTCCTTTAGTCGCCTGAGACTGAAACAAAAACACATTGGATGACTAAAATAAAAAAAATAAATAAATAAAAATAACGAAATTAAAAGCTCCCATCAAAATGAACACAGTTCTGAGTGGTGTTGCCGTAGAGTGACATCATCAGCAGGCCAGGTCCCAGAGCAGATTAAATGTCTTCTTTTATGAAAATAAAAATATGATCACCTTAAGATTAGACGCAATAGGATTAACTTTATAAACTAAAACTTATGCAGAAATACTTAAAATGCTTGATTATATTTTCAATAAACTATAAAAAGTGAAATCATTTCTCTGAATAATTTCAATTTTCGTGGTTAAAGGTTTCTAAAAAAGTGTGTCTAACACCTAGAATACAGAAGGTAACCATCTATCACCTCAGACTCAACTAGAAGCAATGGGATACTCACAGTGTAGGTGGGGTTTCCTGCCTGCACCCTGAGCTCCGCCAGCACCCAGATGCTGTTGGTGAGTTTCATGGACTGATACAGCATGTCCTGTCCATCCACGGTCCGTTTGGCTATGGTGAAGATGTTGCTACCCTGAAGTTTGCTGGAGGCTGCGTCTGTTAACAGAACATTTATACGTTTAAACCGGCAGCTTGGTTTTATTTCAGTGCATAGAGTCCCTCTCTGATTCCTGGCAAGCTCTGTGGCCGTCTGCAGAAACAATTACTAAATGCAGCAGACCCTGAAGAATTTATTTCCCCCTTATCAGACCCGAAATTTTTTTACTGCAGGTTGTCTGAGAAACAAAGATACAGTCACTAATTTTGAATTAGTGTCTCTGCTCAGCCTCAGTCTTGCTGCTGTACCCCATGAGGATGTGAAATCCTGCATCTTTGTTCAAAGAGAAGAAATTCAATCTGTCAAGAGTAACTCTCCATTAAGCCGTAAAACTAAATTATGACACATAAATAGTGGCTGCAGCTGATGAGCACTCATCAAATGCAGTTTGCTTCATTAGCAGGGATCAGAATTGAGATCAACATGGCTCCAACTGAGCAGTTTCCAACAAAAGTGGCAGTGATGCGTTTTTGTTTTCCGCTCTTCAATCAGACTTCTTACCCGAGTTCAGATGGCAGTCTTTGATCTGAAACTGGGACTCATTGTCATTAGGAATGTCCTTCCATGTGGCGAGGAAAACTTGTCGCTCTGTTGATAAAAAGAAGCCACTGGATGAGTCAATAAAATACACATGGTCAATTCATTTTCGGTTATTTATCCCACGATGCGTTGAAAAACGCCCCAGTATAGTGCGAGTAGTGTAGTTTCTCTCCAGACAAAAGGTGTCCTGCTGTGACTTAGCCTCTGAAGCATTAGCTCACAGCTGCTGGCAGCCGTCCCGCTGCTAGCCCCATCACAAAACTCTACAGGAAGAAATGCCAGCACATTTTCATCCAACAAATCAAACCGCAACACAAAAAACTAAAAATAAAATGGCAGCAGTACAATCTGCCCTGCCACGGGAAGTGACGGAGTCCTCCAGCAGGTGGACAGCCGCGCACGCATCAATCTTTCAGAGACGACTCATTACTCCATGTCTCTGACGTCAGCGAAGCTTCAAGGCTTTTGAGTGAAGTGCTTTAGCAAAGAAACACTCACCCATCTTCCCGTCCTCCACGAACAGCACGCTGATGGGGTACTGGCAGCTGAAGTAAAATACGTCAATGTTGTTCTTCACAGCCACCTGTGGGGGGATTATATCCAGGAAGAGGGGAGGGGGCAACGGGGGGGGGGGGGGAAGAATCAACATGACGTCAATTAATACTCAGTTTTTAAGCCCTTTGAAATGACAATTATTCTGAGTTTGTTTTAGGGTTTCACTAAAAATCAGCCACAACGTGAACAAAATCTCAGAGAAAATAGAAAGATGATCTGAAATCCATCTGCTTAAGTTACTTTTTTACTGGCAGTAAAACAAAGCTGTGAAAATCTCCAGAAGTTTATTCGAAATGATGCTTTACAGATTCATAATCAAGTGACTTCATAATTAGATGGTCTTGTCAGACCAAATAACTTCACATTCATAAAGAAAACTGCACCGGATCTTTAATTTCAGACTTGAAAATCGTTTCCATCACAAACATGGTGAACAAAGCCAACTATAAAAAGATCAACAGCATTGTTGTCGCAGGTAAACTGTCCCGCTCCGCTGATGTGAAGTAGAGGTTGCGTCCCACTCTTGTCTATATCTCCATAGTAACTCACGCTTAACACCGACTATCTGTCATTTCCCTGCTGACGCGTCTGACTGCTGAAATCTGCCACGACTTTATTTCTGACATGAGATGTTAAACATCAGATTATGATTAAACAGATAGAAATTTAATCACCCGACCATCTGTTGGCATTTAAGCACCAGTTTTGGCTATTTTAGTCAGGGGCTCTGAACTCTTTACAACCGAGTCAACAAAAACGTTTTCATTCACTTTATTTGTTTCTTCTTCTCTTTTGTTCTGATAAATCTGAGAAGATTCCTTTAAAAATGACCTCTGGTGACCTGAGTTTTGCTTCTCTATGAGGCAAATCCTGGATCAGTAATAAACGATGAAAAACGGTCCTGCTACGTGGTTTCTGTGCCGAGGACTTCACTGATCCAGCTGCCACAGGCGTTCATCCGGCTTCATGCTTATTCAACAGGTGAAAAATAATGGATTCATTTACTCGAACAAGGCTCTGATGAGAGAATTAAATCCATCCGAGGGTTGTCTGAACGCTAGAAAGAATAAACTCAAGTAAATGATAATGACCCGCACTTGTATAGCGCCTCAGAGTAAGGACTCCAAAGCGCTTTACACTAGTGTATCATTCATCCATTCACACACACATTCACACACTGATGGTGATGAGCTACGATGTAGCCACAGCTGCCCTGGGGCGCGCTGACAGAGAGGCTGCCGAGTACGCAAACCTGCAACTTTCCGATTACTGGACAACCCGCTCAACCTGTTGAGCTACTGCTGCCCCAATAAATCAAACCTTTCGTACGGAGGAGCCCGGTCTATTTCACAGATTGTTTCTTTCAGGTATTTAAAACCAAACCAAAATGTTAATTAATTCTTCTTTTTGCTTCTAAAAGCAGAAATCTCTGTTCGGGTTTTTAAAGAAACCATTGCAGGTTGTTGAATGCAAGTTAATTACCAATTAACGTGTCTTTATTAGAGACCACCTCTCAAAGTAAGACGGGCAAGAGACTTGTTTTTACAGACTAAACATATCAAAACTCATTCATCTATAAAAAGCTTTTTCTGAAAGCATCAAAAAGAGATTCAAATAAAACACAAACAAGTGGAGGTCAGAAGAGTAGGACTTAGTAAATGATGACTGTTAGCATTAGAGCCCTGGAGGCTTCGGTACAAGACGTGAGAGCACATGTTTGTTTAAAGGAGACATCTGTAATAAGCAGCAGACAACACGGATCAGCCTGCTTTATAAAGAAGTGCAGTTCAGCCAAGGATGGGAGACGAAGGACTCATAAATAATTCATCCATGCAAGAAGCTGTAAAGCTCTCATTCACTCGTTAGGTCAATAGATTTGAAATGGTCTCCGATTTAAATGATTGCCTTGTGAGTCGATCTCTGTGGGGGAAAAAAAAGCTCTGGTGTTTCAGTTTCAGGAACTAGAAGTTAGCCGGAGGAGAAAATGGAAGGATTTATAGTCTTACTCATTATTAATCCAGATTTTTGAACATCTCATCTCTGATTGGCTAACAGCAACACTACCACTGACTTTAAAACTATGATTTAACCAACACAAGCATGAAGGAGTTCTGCTGTGTGGTAGAGTTGCTAATGCTAACAGTTAGCTTCTACTAGCAGACACGTTCTCTGCGGTTTCCTGGATGCTAAACCAACAGCCTTCCCCGTCATGAGCCAAGGTGGGTGAGTCCATGAATGTTAATTTACAGTGTGACGTATATCTGTCAGGATTTTCTAATCCTAGCATCCCCTCGTCCATTTTGTTCCTGCGGCTAATGCAGGTGATAGGAGTAGAAGACCATTTCCTTCTTCAGCTTGCATGTTTTCTTCGAGTGGCCAATTGTATTTAAAACCAGTAAAAAAGGGTATCTCAGTGAACCTGGGCGGCTAAAAGGTGCAGCACTGCTAACGGACATTCAGCTTTCAAGACATTAAAGCTCTGAAATAAAGCATCGCTGTGTCCTTCACTGACCAAGAGGTCCTCATACAAGTGCAAAGAATGGATACTTCATTTGGAATATTTTTCCATGTTTAAATGTCACACTCCACTAAATGCAGCCAAGTTCTCAAGTGTGTGTTTTTATTTGAATATTTTGATTGCTGAAAAAGGCCCGCACATTATATTAAAATTCAGTAGATCAAATAAATAAATAAAACAAAAACAATGACAAAATCTAGAGATAATAAACAGAAGGACTGAATAAGTAATGTAGGCTGTCTTCTGTTGCACCTGCTCCGGCTAACCCGGCTAATCCACAAGGAAATCATTAAATGGTGATTAAGCATGAAATTTTAGAGAGAAAGATCATAAATGCTAATCAGCAGCAACGGTCATGCATTTAACGAGAAAGCTGATTGTGATGCTTCAAACCAATTAAAATGATGAGGAGTTGAGATCAACTGGTTCAGTTCAGCTGGTGATGATGTGCTAATTAGTCACATTGGATGTTTAACGCACATTTATTGGGCATGTCAAGATGAATCTGAGATGAGCCAGATCCAGATGTTTTGGGTTTACATTTACGTAAGCACAGAACAATTGTGATGCATTTTATCTGCTGTGTCCTTGCAGAAGAATTAATGGCAGCTGAACAGCCAACCAAGGGCACCGAATCGTGTCCCCTAAACCTGCTGATTTGATTATCCAAGATGAAGAGCTATGAAAAAAACTGTTCTGACATTTCTTTAAACAAATATGAAAGGGCTTAATGGCTCCGTGTGATAGATAAACCTAGGAACCGGCAGAACAAATCATATTTGGGAACCTGTCAAATCAGACAGCTGGTCCCATCAAAACAGGGCCAGGAGGCAGCAGAGTAGAAAGGTTAGCAGCACCGCTGAGGCCTAGTTAGACAAAGGAGCCATGTGTCGACTAATGACTGTCCTAACCTCCATCATCCCTCCTCACTCTTATCTTCTCTCCACAGCTGCAGCCGTCCACCATTCTGCCCAGTTAAAAGGAACCACCCTGACCAGAACCAAACAGACACCAGCTGTTTTTTTTTTTTTTTTTTTTTTCAAATAACCTTTTGAAACAGTCTGTCTTTTTCATATTTAAGCACAGCATGGGTGTATAAGAGCAAAGGTGCATTACAGATCGGCAGACTTTCAGGACACTGACTCAACAGTCTCACTCTTGCGTAACAAATCTCTATCAGTCATCATTTCTCCGGTTTAGACCGACATCCGGTAATTTATCCAAGTCGCGATACTATGGAGTCAAAATTAAATTAACTGATTAAACATAAAACGTCTAAAATGATTTGTACAAGAAGCGGCACAAGCACAGAGGGGATAATTCACCTGCAGGTTGTTGAGTGGATCCATCTTCATAACGGGTCCAACAGTATTCAGGGGAAGGGCCACCTCAATGGTCTGGTTTGGGCTCAGAGGAGTTAGAACCTGGAGAGGTCCAGCTGGAGCGATGCCAAAGCTGCAGAGAAACACAAAGTGGATAAAAGGGTCAAAAATCTGTTTTTCAAATGGTGACTAGACAGTTGGCACTTTTAGCACCCCCTAGTGCCCGTTTGTAGAACCAAAAGCAAATCTCATCTCCTTGCTGTGCGTTCAACATTTTTACACCTTAAAGGGACTTTACAGACTTTTGAATTTTTATGCTCGTGATTGCCCCCTCAGGCCAAAAGCGTAACGGCAGCTTCAATAGTAGGCTCGTGCACGAGGCGTGCATGCTGTACGTGCACACTCCTTGACAAAAATGACAGCTGAGACAGTCCTGTGTGTGTGTGTGTGTGTGGGGGGGGGGGGGGGGGGGGAACAGGAGAACGCGCAGCTAATTAAATGGTAAAATGGTAAATGGCCTGTATTTGATATAGCGCCTTCTAGAGTCCTGGAACCCCCCAAGGCGCTTTACAACACAATCAGTCATTCACCCATTCACACACACATTCACACACTGGTGGGGATGAGCTACAATGTAGCCACAGCTGCCCTGGGGCGCACTGACAGAGGCGAGGCTGCCGAGCACTGGCGCCACCGGTCCCTCCGACCACCACCAGCAGGCAACGTGGGTTAAGTGTCTTGCCCAAGGACACAACGACAGCGACAGACTGAGCGGGTCTCGAACCTGCGACCTTCCGATTGCGAGGCGAGCACTTAACTCCTGTGCCACCATCGCCCCGATGGTGGCACAGGAGCATTTATGATCTTTCTCTCTAAAATTTCATGCTTAAATAATTTGGTTCTGTACCTTTCTCTTCAGCACAGCCGACAAAGGTTTATGATGGGTCAGTCCTCCTGCATGCTCAGATCATTCCCTTCCCTTGCTTGAAAAGTTGTTCCAAAACGAAAGTTGAACCCACATCTTTTTTATCTGTGAATTCAATGCCGTTCGGCGAGTCTCAAATAAAAATTTGGGCATCTTACGGAAAAAAATATACCATTAATGTAAAAAAGAAACTCCAAATAAATTATGTTCACATCCAGAATCGGACCCAGGTATTCTGCATGGGAGTCAGACATCTTACAAGGTGAGCTACACTCTAGTAGCATTCACACTCTCTGTAACTTTTATATCCTTGACGACACCTGAAACAACGTCAAACCAAAGAACGGTTCGAAGTGAAAATGGCTATTTTGTTGCTAATTTGCAGGAAATATCTAGAAGAAAGTTCTACAGAAAGTAGCTAAGCGTCCTCAGAAATGTAGCTAGCTTTGTCACTAGGCATTAGGAACAGCGACAAAGTGGCACTACCTCACTCTCTGCTGCTAAAGCTACTGATAGCAAATGCTACGGGCGATGCCTGAGCGTGAACGCGCATGAAGCAGCCTGCTCGACCCGAGCATCTCTCTTTTTCTGTGATCTTACAGAAAAACAGGCAATCACAGTAAAAATGCCAGGGCTCATTCTACAGGACCAGGGCATTGCAGTAGAATGCATGTAGAAGAAATGTATTATTTCTATACATGTTTGGGCTGTCAAACTTCCATAATATCCCTTTAATCCAACAGCTGAAACGTCTCCCAGCCCTCATTAGTGTCTACAGGAGTGATTCATCACTAAATTAAACAAATCAGCTGTGCTCATGATCTAAAACATGCAGGAAACGTGCTGGAAGCAGACTGTAGCACCAGATATGTCAGCTCATTTTATTCCATTTCCAAGTCCACTAGACCGGACCGACACTCCAAAGTTGCAAATGAGGTATTCTGGCCAGAGGGCTGTGGGGGTCTGAGTGACACTTCATTAAAGGGTCATTTTAGCACATACTGGCTCAAGAAAATTATTTAAAAATATGAACAAGTTGCAAAGTATCCCTTTAAATGAAAATAGCTGTAAGATAAAAGCTCTTCCTACCTGTTTCTGTTGAACTGGATGGCAAAATCAGTCATGACGCTCATCGCTTTGTTGATCAGGGTCATCTCCATTTGGATGATTCCGGCCCGGCGGGCAAAAGTGCCGGATATTTCCAGGCCCTTTCCCTTCATGGCTGGGAGCCAAACCTAAACAGAGAGGCTGGTTTTAAAAGCCACCCATGATGAACTCCTTTAGGGACTCATTCCAGCACATGGACTCACCGTTTTGGGGGGGTTGTAGGCTCCCATGGGCATCCCAACTCCACCTCCAAGATCAAACAGGTCATCCAGGCCGCCGCTAACAGGAGCGCTGAACGAGGCTGGCGCTGCGGCTGGAGCAGCACCAAAACCAGCTCCCATCTGTGGGTCACAGAGAACACGTGAAATGGTGCATTGCATTAGCGATGAAGGCCTATGAAAACTAGAAAACGACTTACAGCAGAGCTTCCTCCAAGGTCTCCGCCAAGCTGAACACGAGGAGAAAGGAAAAGAAAAACTCATTGTGAACAAAACATCATAAATGAATAAAAGTTGATGTTAAAACTACAGGATCTTCTGAGGGGGTGGAGGAGGATGAGAGGAGGGGTGGTCTGTAACAAATAACAGTAGGGAGATGTCTGCAGACAAACCCAAGTGATTGGTTTCATTCAAATGCAGCTCGATAACTTTGTCTTTAGCGTTTTAAAGACTAAAAACAAAGATCAAACCTAAAGAGAGACGGAACACTGGAACCCTAACTAGATGGAGCAGGAAAACAAGCAGAGCAACACAAAGCTACCGAGAGGACATGGGACAGCAGAGGGACAAGTGGTGTTGAGCTCTAGGCTGATGCTGGCCTTTACTGGTCCAGCGTGCTCCTCCAGGACCAACCTCAGTGGGGCTGTAATCTGGGGACGATGAGGACTGATGTGGAACCTGAGGTGACCGAGTGTCCGAGCGCAGGGGAATGGGCAGCTGATCAGAAGATGAACGATCCAAAGACAACAGAGATGGAGTGAGACTTAACATGATAAATGTCACGACAATATGAGATGATAGTGTATGGAAACTACGGGTAAGTGAATAAAGAGCCCACGCTGTGCTGATCGTATCACACGGGCTTGTGCGAGTGCAAGACTCTACGAGAATCTGTAGGAGTTGCGTTCTCCTGGTCTTTAGAACACGTTTTTATAGGCACCACTTAACAGACGCTTTGAGTTCGTCAACGTAACGACAAGTAAGGCTGAATGATTTTGTGAAAATTCATCAGTTTGATTCACTTCCACGCAATAATCACAACGTACAGTAATATTTACAAACATGACAGGAAATGCCATCAGACCATCACCACATGAAAAGTTATTACTCAAATAAGCACAAAAAGCGCTGCGCTAACACCATATTTACCTCAACTCCACAAAGATAGTTTCTTGGTAATTCCCTTTCCCCTGTTGCAGGAAGCGGGCAAATGAGACTCGGCCACTAAATGAGCAACGGCGACAGATAACCACAGCTATGACCAATATATACAGTAGAAGTGCCACAGAAAGAGAAAATTACCAATTAAAAATAAATAAAACTATATCCCGCTGCAAACTCAAGCATCAGGGTCCCGTAACCTCCACAGCCGCTCGCTGCTGTTGCTGTAGCTCTTCTAAAACCTTGAGATAACCCTAGATGTGTAAAATATTTATATAAAAGGTCAGGATCAGTCACGATCGCTGCAAAAAAATTTTTATGAAATAAATACCTGTTTTGACGATTACAAGATCACATCGTTTAAAAAAATTAATGAATCGCAGTTTCTATTGAAAAACGAAGATTGTTCAGGCCCAATGACCAATAATCTGACTTTTTAAATTTGTGCCAGAAATAAAATTGTCATCAAGACATAAAACAACTCCCAAGAGAGTCAGGAGTTTTGACCCTTCACCAGACGGTGATCATTAGGAAAAAGCTGGAACATTTAATGACAATAACGAAAATGTATTTCAAAGATGTTAATTTATGCGAGTTCTATCAGTAGATAACCATAAAAGACCAAAAACAATGACAACTGTTATTTGTAACGGGTTACATATGAGGGCATAAACAAAACACCTCCATAGCACCCTTTACACATCACCTCCCCGCATGATCGTATCTAGAAGACTTGGAACAGGAAAAGGAGGACTGAAATAGTGAGATGGTCCTAACAGACTCATCAGCTGCCGTTTTCATGGTGATTTCAGTGACGCGACGAGAGTAGAGTAGCGTCCCACCCTGTTAACATTCTCTGAGTGTACACAGCTTGTAGGCGGCTCTGACCCACTTTTAATTGTTACATCAACAACACTCTTTGGCTGGGTGGACTGACCAATTAGAGCAGACCGGGCTGTTAAAAAGAGCTTTTAAGAGACGAGGTGACAAGGGGGGGGAACGGCAAACGTGCTGCTTTTGCTTGATGCTATTCTAGTAGAATCCCAAAATAACTCCACTGTTACAAAAGCACTGTCTGGGCTCTTTTAGATGAATATTTAGAGGATGGGCTTAAATGACTGGTAAAGATCATCCCTCCTTGTAGTTACCGGCTCAGACTCCTCCCCCATCTGCAGGAGCAGCATATTAAACAAAGAAAGAACACGCAAGTTCAAGAAAAAATAAAGAATGTCAATTAAAAATAAATAACAGTTATTTGGTTAAAAAGCTGCTTTAGGTAGAAGAGTTAATCAAACTGATGTGTGTAGAAAACACACCAGGCTGTCCAGTCCTCCTCCGAGGAGGTCCATGGCTCCCAGCTGCATGCCAGAGGTGGGCGGCGGCGGTGGCCCAGTGGTGGCAGGAGGCGTCAGATCAAGATTGAGAAGGTCACCGAGGAGGTCTCCCTGGGATGGGATCACAGCAGGTGGAGCATCAGAGCCCCCAGCAGCAGAGCCAGTGTCTGGGCTCTCCAAACTCTCCCCTCTGGAAGAAATGAGGAAAAAAAAAAAAAAAATGAAATTAATTCATAAAACACACACATTTACAAACTGCACAATCATTTTGATTTGATTAGCCATTTACACAACTATCCAGCCACCTAGAACAGCTACACAGAAGGTTTAAATGAAACAAAGTCAAACAGACAAGTCCACATATGTAAACACAACTTTCTGCCTGCACTGGAAAAGAAAAATAAATTAAAATAAAAACACGCATGACTCACAATCCAGTACTGCCCGGGAGCCTCTTGTGCTGAACACCCCGGCTGCCCTCAACAAAGGCACTGGGGGGTTTGTGGTAAACGGAGGCCAGAGTACCAATGTGGCAGATGAGCTCCTCCAGCAGAGTAGGCTCAATCAGATCTGTCTCCTCGGAGATCAGAGGCTTCTCAGCCAGAACCACCTCCTTGGCAGCCACAGGATCCGTGGACAGCAGACGCCAGTAGATGTAGCCTCTGTCCCTCAGGTCTGGGTTATCAGAATCCTGCAGGAAGGCGTTTAACAGTGAACTGTTAAATAAAAACTTGATGTCGAGACTTTTTAGTGTAGAATTGAGACACTGGGGCGCTGGGATTTGGAGAATGCATGAAGCTACGTGCTACTGCACACTTTTGTTAACAAAAAAATAAGTAACATTCACACATTTCATGGAGTTTCAGCAAAAGGAAAGTGAGCTTAAAAGCCGGTTAAAAAAAAAATGTCCGAGTAGAAGAGTCCTCGTGAGCGATGATGGAAGATTTCACTCAAATTGCAGCTTTCTGCCAACTTTGTTGAAGCACCAAACAGTTTTATCCATCAACTAGAAAAAGAAACAAATCCATCTCCCATCTTTTCAACTCAAATCCTAACAGACGTCATGGCTATCTGTGTCAGATCAAGACAAATGACAAAATAAATGAATAAAAGTGTAAAGGACAGATCAGACAGCTTAGTGTGTACGGATAAAACCATTTATGAGCAGAAGATTTGTCCCCCCCCACCCACCTGTGTGGCGAGGCTCAGAACCTGCTGCACCAGCTCCTGCGTCTCTGTAGGCTTTTTCAGGAACAGCTTGACGATTGCCGTCAACAACTGCAACTGCACCTAAAGGTCACAATGAAGGAATAAATCAAGTCAACAGCCACTCATGTGTATAATGTTTAAGACTGTAAATGCAGCTTTGTCATGATCTTTAAAAATACCCCTTGGCTAAACACGGTTAAACACTGTTTTCATATTTAAGAAAAATTTTTTTGGTAAAACGGATTTCCTTCTGCACAAGAAGGGAATGGACAATTATTTTTCATGGGAATAACGTGATAAATTAGCCATTTACCTCACAGGGACAGTCTTTTATGGGTTTAATGCCTCTTGTGTGACTTGCGTCATTAAAGAGCAAGTCACCGCCAAGTCAACGTTTTTTGCTATATAAATGGGTGTCTAGTCGTACTGGAGACATGTTTGGTCAATAATTTGGCACTTTGGTGCTTCTTGGTTAAAACTGAAATATTCTGCCTAAAACTGTCAGTGTTCTGCCCTCTTCAGGTAAAAACACTGCACTACATTTTAATTTAAATCTGCCATCTATTGGCTAAGAGGTCCCATATGATGTCACAATGCCGCTGTGAGCCTGTGTGTGTTAGTGTATTTGTTATGGGCTCCATCTTCCAGTCTGCCAGGCAACGCCTCCTTGTGGTGCATTTTTAAAACAGGAAATGAATGTCGAGATGGACTCTGGTATGGGGTGACAGTTGCTCTTTAATCAAGTTTGACTCAAACTGAAACAGTTTTTTAAAAACGAGTCATAAAAGGGGAATTAAACTGAATATTTCTAAAAAAGTGTTATTATAAATGATTATTTTTAAACATGAATATTTACTCATTGGATTTTTTTTCTCTTTCAAGCCATTTAAGCATTGCTGTATTTTATCTACAGCATCCAAACTTTAAGTCAACTAGGGTTGTCACGGTGTGAAAATTTAACCTCACTGTTATTGTGACCAAAATTATCACGGTTTTTGGTATTATCGCAGTATTTTTGTAAACATGTTACATTTTCAGACAACTAAATAAACCCTGTATATCAGGAAAATATTGTCCTCAGTTTGTGTCTAAATTTTGCCTAAAATGTGTTATTTTGTAATTATGTTATTTATTTGTTTACATTATTCCCCTTTAGTCTTTAAAATACCAATATTTGCCCATAACTTCTTATTTTTGTCTGTTTGATGTCATCATTTTAAAAATATTAGATCAGATGATACTCAGTACTCAAGTAGCCTTCTAATCAGATACTTTTTTTTACCCTTACTTGAGTAATGTCATCAGGCAGTAATCATTGTTAAATTCAAAATTATTCTCGGAGAGAGACCAACCTTATCTGCCCCTGGGAGTCCCGTAATGCATACCGAATATGGCGGTGTCAGCGACGCGGTTTATATGCAGGTAGCGGTGCTGCGGCTGCTTTATATAGCGACTCGTTGCATTCTCCCTCAACCCAAATCCTCGGATCACGCATTTTAGCTAAAACGCTAACGTTAACTTGCCTTGCGTTGACTGTAGAGTTGCGGGTGATGATCACGCAGATAAGTCATGAGAGGAGACATGAGCGTTGCTGCCTTTCACAGACACTTTTTCTGCACGTGCTGCAAACAGGATAGCCGTCTTCTATCAGCTGTCCCTCGCCATTCTTCAAATATCCAAAAATTGCCCGTACTTCCCACTTTGTCTTCTTTGAGGGATAATAAATGTCCTGAGTGCTTCCATCTCCTCCTTTGGCCATTATTTCAGCTTTAGCTTGAAGAAAGTTTTGGCTGTAAACAACAAAGTGTGCATGTGCCGCCGGCAACTTCAGCAGATGATACGGTGGCTGGTAAGGGTCACCGCGCCTACACCGTAGCCACGGTGATCCGAGATAATAGTTTTTTTTTAAACTAGATGGTTATTATTATTGTCAACTTCTTTACCGGGTTTTACCGCTACACCGGTTACCGTGACAACCCTACTGTCAACAGTAGCTACGTATGTGAGCCAAATTTCTGCTATCCGATTCAAATCTTGGTTGATCGGAAATTCCAAATCTCTGTTTACGTGGACACTAACTGAAATGATCCGATCATGACGCGAGTTTACATACACCAATCATTGTCAGATTATGTAGATTGTGCAGAGTTGTCTTTCCCAGAATAAAATTGTAAACAAACGTTATCTTGTCCGCACATCTTTCCCTTCACATTTTATTTTCATAATCTCTAGCTTTGTCCGTTGCCATACGTTTTTTTTCTCCCGTTATGGACCTTCGTCACATTTTTACCTGTTTGCTTTTGTTTTTACTGATTGCTTTAAGCTACAGGCTCAGCTGTACGTAATGCTACAGTTCCTCTAACTTCCATTTAACTCCCGCCATGTTTTTGACTTGTCCCGATTGTCTGCAAAGGTGGAAAGACGTCACGTCGAAGATGCACACATGCACAGCAGGCATTTTTGTTTTACTCCAAGAATCCGAATGAGTGTGTACGTGGATGTCAATCAGAATGATCGGACAAAACCACCTCTCTCAAAATTGAATTTCATTCCCATCAGTCCGCAGCAGATCAGAATATTCCAATTGACATGTTTACATGAAGAATTTTGGATCTGATAGGGCATTCGTTCCGATTACTTGTGCCCGTGTAAACGTTGCCAGTGATTGCAAATTATAGGAGTAGTAACTGATTAAATATTCTTTTTTAAACAACAACAACCCCTGTGAATGACTAAACACACCTGAGTGCTTTCATCATGGAAACCCTCCAAAAAGCTCTCCAGCAGCTCATCAGCATTGTCGATGCGCTCGGCGTACTCTCCCACAATCCAGATCATGGCAGCGCGCGCCTCCGGCTCGTCCAGTGAGTCAAGATTCTCACACAGGGTGGCAATCACGCTCTCATACCTAAAAATGGTCACACAAAACAACATTAGAGTAAAATTGAACAGATAAGAAAAATGCGTACGTTTGGAGGTGGAAATAAGCTGAAATTACTGCAATTTCCCTAAATATGCATTCATTTATTTTATGCTAAAACAGGAAAAATGGACAGCTTTTAAAACCAGGTACTGACTAACTGTCTGCTTTCCAGCATAAAAAGCCTTTCATAGCAAACCCAAAGCAACATTAGCATTACTTTGAACTTGTGCTTTCTGGAAGCCTGAGAAATGCAAATGTATTATTTAGTTCTCTTTAGTCTACAGTTTTAGCCTTTTATGCTAGCTTCTAATGCACAATGCTCTCTGGAGCGGTTGAGGTACAGTACGTCTGATCTACATAAAAATCCATACTAATTACTAACCCCATTTACATAATGGTTTTAATAAAAAATCTGCTGAGGCACAAATGTTTAATTGGTAGGAGAGAGAAGAGCTTGACTATATGGTGACTCATTTAGCTCAAGGCGTGAACCATGTGGAGCTGGAAGCTTTGCAAAGCAACTCTCTTAAAGGCTCACGACTCTGGGGTGACAGTGTGTGCTGCTGAGCAGGAACTTTCTGTCTGGCACATGAATCCACCCCACAGAAGAAGTCACGCTGCAGCCAAATCAGAATGACCTTTGACCATGTGTAACTGTGGCAAAACATCTAATTGTGTAATGCAAACTAATGTTCTTGTTGGAGAACATTTGGTGTGCATTTTTGGTGGAAGGAAAATTAAAGCAAAAATTTTAAATTAAATTTAAGCTATAATTTCCAGCTATTGCCTGGAACCAGTGCTAACCACGTCGCGAACGTGGGATTAGCCATCCAGTTACCATTAAACTTGCACTTCCCCATGGCGCAAGCTCCCACTAGCTTAACCAGCTAATGTGCTCATCTAAAAATAGCCCCCTATAACAACCAACTGAATGTGTACAGTTCCGTTTATGCCAATATCATACACAAAAAACACTTAACACTAGAAATTCACGAAATTTTTATAGAAATAAAAGAATCTTGATTATTAGGTCTTTGGTAATTTAAGACCTTTGGAAACTGTATTTAAGGATTTGTAATTTTTAAGGATTTTTAAGGCCTTAAATTTGGAAAAGCAAATTTAAGACTTTTTAAGGACCCGCAGATACCCTGAGAGAGGAGTTGGTGGAAGAAAAACGTATCACTTGTCTTATCAAAATATCATACACTACGAATGGAAATCCTGGTCATTAATAACAAAAGAAGATAGCCAGAATGATTCAATACAAGTTTTATTTTGAAATAAACCAGATGCACCGCACAGGTAAAACTCACTTCCTGCCTGGCTCACGTAAATTCTTCAACTTCATGATGTTTATTTTTATGTTTGTTTATTCATTTAGCAGACGCTTTTATCCAAAATAACTTACAATCTATAACCTATAGGGCATGTTGTGATCTGTAGGGGAAAGCGGAGTAGCCGGAAGAAACCCACGCATGTATGGGGAGAACACGCAACTCCACGCAGAAAGGCAGCAGCCGAGTTTCGAACCTGCAACCTTCGTGCTGCAAGGCGACAGCGCTAACCGCTGCTAACTAGGGCTGCAACAAACGATTATTTGGATAATCGATGAATCGGATGGGGTCTCGACACGATTAATCGGTTAATCGGATTACATAGGGACATTTTTAAAAACTGCTAGGGAAAAGTTATTTCTCTCCTTCCTTCACTTTATTAAACACAACATTATTAGAAAACAGTTCAATAGCAGAAAAACAACATGCCATCACCTAAATTGTCTTATAAGGTGTATAGACAGAGACCCTAAGCTACACCTATCTGTGACCTAAAATGCTTGGTCCAAGTTAAACAGCTTAAAGAGCAAGTCAACCCCTACCAGAGTCTAACTCTACTCCCACTTCATGTTTGAAAAATGCAACACATGCTGTTGCCTGGCAGACCGAGAGGGCGGAGCCGCTAACAAATACACACACACTCAGGCTCACGACAGCATTGTGACATCATAATGTACCAGTTTACATCATAGCATACTTCTTAGCCAATAGCGGTGGCAGATTTAAATTAAAATACAGTGCAGAGTTTTTACCTGACAACGGCACAACACTGCCAGTTTTAGGCAGAATATTTAAATTTTAACTAAGATGCACTGAAGTGCCAAATTATTGACTACACGTGTCTGCAGCACGATTAGACACTCATTTATTTAGTTTATCAGCAAAAAAAAAAATGTTTATTTGGGGGTGACTTGCTCTTTAAGGGCAATTCTTATGTTTTGTTTGATCTCATCTGTAGACATTTATTATAATCGGGGATGTCAAACAACTAATTTTTAATGTAATTAAACATAGGCTGTGAATTAATCAAAATTAATCATTTCCAAAAATGACTGAAAAAATACCAAATAAAACAAAAGTAAATGAATGCCATCCTCCTTGCGATGATGCCCTGGGCAACTGCCATAAAGTCACATCAAGAAATGCTGCTGATCATTCCAATGATCCCAAATAGACTCACATTAGGCCACATGAAAGCAACTGAACCCAAAAATATATTAACCAGTATATAACTGCACTCTCACACAACACAACAGTTAGGACTCCTCCCTCCCTTTTAAAAGCGTTTTCGCTTCTGAGGACATTGTGGTTGTAAAACAACATGTTAGTAGTCTGGCCCCGGTGTGATCAACCAGTTTCTGCGGGAATGTGACGGCGGAACCGGTTTACAGCAGCGCGAGTGTCCCCCCCCAACCTACAAACATTGCAGGTAACAAATGTCTTCGCCTGATTTAACTGAAAATGCTCCCAAACTTTAGAAGTTTTTACTTTTTTTGGGTCTCGCTGCTTCTGCCATGTTCCTCTTCCAAACACCTGCCGGCTCTCCGGTCTGCGCACAACGGCGGGCGGGAGGGGAGGGGACTTTTGGAAGAGTTGTGCAACACAACGAATCAATGACGCAATTCGTTGCAAACGCTTTTAGTAATCGATTTTCATCGAATTTATCGATTCGTTGTTGCAGCCCTACTGCTAACCACTGCGCCTGTGGATGATGATCCACATGTGGCATCCAGAAAAATTAGAAACCATATGGAAAGATCCTGCAGCTCTATACCCGCATCTGCATCGCAGCCAATCCGCATTCATACTGCACTCTTGTAAATGAGTCTGTACTCATACATTTTTAGGCTTTTATTCTGAAGGGCATGTTTTGTTTTTGCTGATGGCTTTTTCTGGACATTGATTTTGTTACTGCTCTTGAGTTTTTGCTTATGACAGAAAGCCTCAGTGGAAGTTTGTGCATGGCAAACACCTCAAGCCACTCACTCCAAACCCTCAAACAATAAGACTGAAGCTCTGATAAGCCCCTCCCACTGAAACTTTCAAATTCAAAAACCTAAAGCAGAAGCAAAATCACGTTTAACAAAAGTAAAGAGCTGCAGGCAAAACCAATACATACTCTTCAAAATAAAAGCCTCAGTTTCAGTTAAGCTGAATTTGTTTATTACCAAAAAGATGGGTCAAAGAATAAAATTATACAAATATAATTTTGAAATCTTAATATTTACTTATGAATGAGTTTAATTTGTTTTTAAGAGACATTTTTTGTTTTGTAATTGACACCTTCGCTTCTGAAATGTTTTTCTTGTTGCTATATTTGAGTATATTTTGAATGACAACTTTTATTTGGTTGATACTTTAGGCACAAATTGTATCCCATACAAGATCTTTGAATTAGTAACTGTATAGAAGTCTTTAGAGCGTGTTTAAATGACTCGTGTAGGAGGAAAATTACTTGTTTGGGTACTTGCGGAAAATGTCCTTGATGACCACAATGGCTTCCTGCACCACGTAGTTGACCTTGGTCTGTATGAGATCAAGGAGGGTGCTGACACAGCGCTCTGCTGATTGCTAATAAGCGGGGGGAGACAAACAGAAAATAATCACTGAAGTCCTTGGAATTAAAACAGGGCACACATGGAAATAATCTACCCCCATACCAAAGATGTCACAGCACGAGACTAATTTCAGAAAAAGAAAAGCAAGAATATATATTTAGGATTATTTTCACAGTAAAATCTCACCTAAAATAAATTAAATTTAGTCATGTTCAACTGGATGATTAAGAAAATGATGACTAAGCAATTTATACCTGAAATTAAAATGCTGATAAACTGAGGGAATGTTGTTAGGAACAGAGCCACCTTGTGTCTGAAGTGGCGTCTTACTGCTGAGCATTCAACAGACTGAGATTAATTAGTAGCATATATGAGCACTAACATAAACCTTTGCCTCACACCAGCTACAGGAAACATGTGACCATGCGGCCATCTCCACCCACCTCCACTTTGATGGCACAGCGGCCAATGGCCCTGACCGCTTTACGCACAAAGTCCACATCCACCTCAGTGGCGTACTCCTTCAGCTCAGCCAGCACCTGCAGGGAGACACAGATAGCCGTGTTACAAACATCACCTCTTTAGAGAGAACTCTGGTTCTAGGAGTCAGCGCGTCACCTGAGCAATGTTAGCTTGAGATGCAAGGCGAATCATGATGTCTAGCTTCTCTAGTTTGACGTAGATCGGGTCGTTGTACTTGACAAAGAAAACCTTCATTTCATGTTTCAGGATCTCTGGGCTACAAGACAAATAAATGAGAAAAATGAATAAAAGAATGATCAGAATAATTAAAGCTAGCAAAGAGATCCAGACTCACCGCCTCTGCACAATCAGGTTGATGTTCCTGAGCGCCACGTACTGCAACTCCGGCTCGGCAGACAGGAGCGTGACCAGCGGGGGGGCCAGCTTTTTCAGCAGAGTGCCGTAATAGTCCAGATCTTTGGGGAGCATTTCCATGAACTTCATTAAAACTTTAACCGCCGACAACACCACTGCAGAGTTGGCATGGGAGAGCCGCGGGGTGACGCGTTCGCAGATGCTGGCAAATGTTGATCATATTGAGGGGGGGGGGGGGAGAGATGAAAATTAAATAAAGCCCCCAGGGGAACATAAACCCTCTTACATGTGGGAGGAGAAAGCGTATTAGCAACAGCAGCAGGTCTCCTACCTTTGGGACTCGCGGTCATCACGAGGAGTGTAATTAGCCAGACAGTCGAGAATAAATATCTGTCCCCACTCTGTGCACTCATTAAGAGCTGTCAGCAACTTGTTTATGGTCTGGGGGTTTAGGTCCATCAGGTTACTGTTGGGATGAGACTCTGCAATCTCAGACAGGGCAGCCACAGCATTTGCTACAACCTAATGAGGAAGACAAGAATTCTGATAAGAGTAACAATAACCGTGTTCAAAGTTAATTAGGCAGAGCTGTAACCAGCTGTGTCACATAGAACAGCCGTTCCTAGCATCCTAAGGGAGTCATACCATGGGGTTGGAGTCCGAGATTAGATCTTTAAGAGTGTCCAGGAATCCTTGGTCTTCCACCAGCTGGGCGTTGATGTCGTGAAGCTTTGCTACGCACACAGCGGCCGTCTTCCTCACATAGGGGTCCTCGTCCTTCAGACATTTTCTCAGCGGCTCACAGAGATACTCTGTGATCTTATCCACACGGATGCAGCCCATAGTGCGAACAGCGAGGGCCCGGATGAGAGGGTTGGGGTCTTCACAGTCCTATGTGGATCAGAGATGTCACAAGTTTTATCGTGAAATCAGATAAATTCTAGTTAAAAAAAAAAAAAAAAAAAAAAACACAGCGCTCCATTGGTCTGGTGGGCAGGATAATGCGAAGACTGTGACGGCTCGTTTGAAACGGCTTTGGCATCAACTTTGGACTATTAGACTTGTGCTTTTCTTTGAGTCAAGAGCAGATAGAGGTACTTTAGTCCTTTATTTAGAAAATGGGCTGCATGGTGGCACAGTTGTTAGCACTGTTGCCTCGCAGCACGAAGGTTGCAGGTTCGAAACTCGGCTGCGGCCTTTCTGCGTGGAGTTGCGTGTTCTCCCCATGCATGCGTGGGTTTCCTCCGGGTACTCCGGTTTCCCCCACAGATCACAACATGCCCTATAGGTTATAAATTGTAAGTCGCTTTGGATAAAAGCGTCTGCCAAATAAAATAAACAAACAATAAACATAAAAAGGATGTATTTGCGTGTTCTTCAACACAGTATGGCTGACTGTCTCATTGACATCAGTAGTAATGAGTACGCCACTTTATTCGTTGCTCAATAGCAAGGCGTTCCCTGGCCAAGTGAGAGACATAGTCCCTCCACCGTGTCCTGGGTCTCCCTTTAGGCCTCCTTCTGGTTGGACATGCCCAGAAAACTTCACCAGGGAGGCGTCCAGGAGGCATCCTAATCAGATGCTCGAGCTACCTCAACTGGCTCCTCTTCATGTGGAGGAGCAGCGGATCTATTCCCAGCCCCTCCTGGATGACCGACCTTCTCACCCTATCGCTAAGGGAGAGCCCAGCCACCCTGTGGAGAAAACTAATTTCAGCCGCAATCTTGTTCTTTCGGTCACTACTAGGGTTGTCACGGTAACCGGTGTAGCGGTAAACCCCAGTTAAAAAGTTGACAATAATAACCGTCTTGTTATTTAAAAAACTTATCTCGGTGGGTTTACCGTGGCTGCGGTGTAGGCGCGGTGACCCTTACCAGCCACCGTATCATCTGCTGAAGTTGCCGGCGGCACATGCGCGCTTTGTTGTTTACGACCAAAACTTTCTTGAAGCTAAAGCTGAAATAATGGCCAAAGCAGGAGACGGCAGTGCTCAGGACATTAATTATCCCTCAAAGAAGACAAAGTCGGAAGTACGGGCATTTTTTGGATATTTGAAGAATGCCGAGGGACAGCTGATAGAAGACAGCTATCCTGTTTGCAGCATGTGCAGAAAAAGTGTCTGTGAAAGGCAGCAACGCTTCAAATCTCATGACACATCTGGGTGACCATCACCCACAACTCTACAGTCAGCACAAGGCAAGCTAACATTAGCGCTTTAGCTAAAATGTGTGATCAGAGGATTTGGGTTGAGGGAGAATGCGACGAGTCGCTATATAAAGCAGCCGCAGCGCCGCTACCTGCATATAAACCGTGTCGTGGACACCCCCATGTTGAAATGACGCTATGCATTACGGGGCTCCCAGGGGCAGATAAGAGTTGGTCTCTCTCCGAGAATAATTATAAATTTAACAATGATTACTGCCTGATGACATTTTCCCAAATCTGCAAAGCTCACTGGAAGGACACAAACCGAGGATGATATTTTCCTGATATAGGGTTTATTACTCAAGTAAAGGTAAAAAAGTATCTGATTAGAAGGCAACTTGAGTACTGAGCATCACCTGATCTAATATTTTTAAAATGATGACATCATATAGACAAAAAATAAGTTATGGGCAAATATTGGTATTTTAAAGATTAAAGGGAAAAAATGTAAACAAATAACATAATTACAAAATAACACATTTTAGGCTAAATTTAAACACAAACTGAGGACAATATTTTCCTGACATACAGGGTTTATTTAATTGTGTGAAAATGTAACACGTTTAAAAAAATACTGCAATAATACCGAAAACCGTGGTAATTTTGGTGACAATAACCGTGAGGTTAAATTTTCACACCGTGACAACCCTAGTCACTACCCAAAGCTCATGACCGTAGGTGCGTGTAGGAATGTAGATCGACCGGTAAATCAAAAGCTTTGACTTCTGGCTCAGCTCTCTCTTCACAACAACAGACCGGTACGTCGCCCGCATCACTGCAGATGCAGCACCAATCCACCTATCCATCTCACGCTCCAGTTTTCCCTTACTTGTGAACAAAACCTCAAGATCCTTAAACTCCTCCACTTAGGGCAGGACCTCATCCCTGACTCTGAGAAGGCATTCTACCCTTTTCCGAATCAAGACCATGGTCTCTGATTTAGAGGAGCTGATTCTCATGCCAGCTGCTTCACACTCGGCTGTGAACCGCTCCAGCGAAAGCCGAAGATCACGTTCTGATGAAGCCAACAGGACCACATCATCTGCAAAAAGCAGAGACCTGATTCTCAGGCCACCAAATAAGATCCCCTCAACACCTTGGCTGCGCCTTGAAATCCTGTCCATAAAAGTTATGAACAGAATCTGTGATAAAGGTAGGGATGCACCGATCAGGTTTTTTGCTGCCGATCACCGATACCGATATCAAAGAATGCTGATCACCGATACTGATCACGTGGATTGGCCAGAAATTTTCTACAACATTATAATGAGTGCTACAAACTACATAATCTGGGAATAAAGGAAATGTAACCTAATCTAAAATGGTCTGTATAAAGGTTATCACGGTGTGAAAATTTAACCTCACGGTTATTGTGACCAAAATTACCACGGTTTTCGGTATTATCGCGGTATTTTTTTTAAACGTGTTACATTTTCACACAATTAAATAAACCCTGTAGGTCAGGAAATATTGTCCTCAGTTTGTGTCTAAATTCTGCCTAAAATGTGTTATTTTGTAATTATGTTGTTTATTTGTTTACATTTTCCCCTTTAGTCTTTAAAATACCAATATTTGCCCATAACTTCTTATTTTGTGTCTGTTTGATGTCATCATTTAAAAGTATTAGATCAGATAATACTCAGTACTCAAGTAGCCTTCTAATCAGATACTTTTTTACCCTTACTTGAGTAATAACCCCTATATCAGGAGAATGTTGTCCTCGGTTTGTGTCCTTCCAGTAAGCTTTGCAGATGTGGGAAAATGTCATCAGGCAGTAATCATTGTTAAATTCATAATTATTCTCGGAGAGAGACCAACTCTTATCTGCCCCTGGGAGCCCCGTAATGCATAGCGTCATTTCAACATGGGGGTGTCCGCGACACGGTTTATATGCAGGTAGCGGCGCTGCGGCTGCTTTATATAGCCACTCGTTGCATTCTCCCTCAACCCAAATCCTCGGATCACGCATTTTAGCTAAAACGCTAACGTTAGCTTGCCTTGCGTTGACTGTAGAGTTGTGGGTGATGGTCACGCAGATTTGTCATGAGATTTGAAACGTTGCTGCCTTTCACAGACACTTTTTCTGCTCGTGCTGCAAACAGGATAGCCGTCCGTCCGTCTTCTATAAACTCCCTCGGCATTCTTCAAATATCTAAAATATGCCCGTACTTCCGACTTTGTCTTCTTTGAGGGATAATAAATGTCCTCCTGAGCGCTGCCGTCTCCTTCTTTGACCATTATTTCAGCTTTAGCCTCAAGAAAGTTTTTGTTGTAAACAACAAAGCGTGCACGTGCCGCCGGCAACTTCAGCCGATGATACGGTGGCTGGTAAGGGTCACCGCGCCTACACCGCAGCCACGGTAAACCCACCAAGATAATATAGTTTTTTAAAAAACAAGACGGTTATTATTATTGTCAACTTTTTTTTTTTACCGGGGTTTACCGCTACACTGGTTACCGTGACAACCCTACCTGATCGGTTTGCTTTGATCTATTTTGAAAATTCCGATCAAAACCGATAGGGGCGCTATCGGCCGATTACGATCAAATGCCGATCCATCGGTGCATCCCTAGATAAAGGGTAGCCTTGGCGTAGTCCAACTCTTTCAAAGCCAAATAATGTAAATACTGTTTAACCTCCAAAGACAGAAAATGAAATTACAGCAGCGGCAAACTGAGATTACCTTCACAAAGGTGTTAACCGCCATGATGGCCATGTCCGGCTGGCTTTTGGCGTAGTTCATCAAGTAAAGGTAAACCAGCTTTTTCAGTTCCAGGTTGTCCGTCTGCATGCAGTTCACAACATCTGGAAACAACGCACTGCAGGAGGAAACAGTCTGTACTGTAACTACTGACCTCAGAACAGGAACGGATTAAATAATCATCAGTTTTTAGTAGTTCCACCTGCTCACCTGACATCTTTACCCACTGTCATTGATGCAATGACCTTCTTCACAGCCTCCTTCTTCTTCTCCTTCTTATCGCTGTTCAGCTCTGCCTTGAGCTCAAAAATCTCCCCTGAACAAACAAAAGAGGAAAAAGAATTAGGATCTGGTTTTAGCATAAAGAAATGAGGAAGCGTACAGGATGCAGAAGCAAACAGGTTATAATACACAGATCCATCAGAACACTACATAAATACAAAATGAGAGGGTTGCAATGGTCTTAAAAATGTGAGCAACAACCTCATAATGAAACCATCTTTGTTGTGCTTAGGTGCATCTGGCTGAAACTGATACACAATTAAGATCAGATTTTTATTGTAGAGTTTTGTTAACTGAACCTTATTTTATTTTGGAGGCTGCAGCACCCTGCCCATTGATTTTTCAGTATGAAGCTGCAGAAAGGCATCATCAGACATTATTACTGCCAATACATACCGATTACATGTGAAATGAAAGCCTTTCACTTTTTATGTTTGTCAGTGAGCCGGGCTAGGTACTTACACTTAGTCTGAACATCCATGTGTGTTACAACTACAATTTTTGTCACTATTAAATACATCTAAAACAATTTTGGTTGCCATATTATTTTGTGATCTGTCAGATACACACATTTAATTCAAATCACAAACTGAAGTCGAAGAAACTTGTTTAAATCTAGAAAAGCCAAATGGCTTTAATCTGTGTTTTCTGAGCTGCGAGTTTCATCTCGTCATCGTGGGAATATTGCACGATAACCTACAAAGTGTTTACTAGTTTGTCCTGCTTTATCCAAAACAAGCTGAATAATAAATATGACTGTTAATACATGGCAATTATTGACTTAAATGTGATCCTAACCAGAGTTTCCCTGAAACAGCAAATCCTCGCATCACTCAACCACTATAATGACTGTTTGCACTATTACAAGCACATACTTAATCCTATACAAAGTATTGAATTATCAAACAACTAAAGCTTCTCACTCGGGTGTTTTAACACTCTATATAATTTAGCAACCTGTAAGTTATCAGACCTTTCTTTGTAGTGGTGAAGTACTTTGAGTCCGTCATCTTGGATCCAAACTGTCGGCTCTCCTGCCAAAGTTAGGAGAAAGTTAGAAGTCCTTGCACAAGTGGAAACTGTTATTATCAGAAGGGAAAAGGAAAAGCTAGAAGTGCAAACAAAGGGAAATAAAGGAATTTCCTGTCTTCTCCAGAAAACAGCCAGCATATTAGGAAAGATAACAATGGATTTTGCTGAGAAACCAGATCCCAACATGTCCCATTTAGATGAATGCTTTAACAAAGCCAACAACAACTCTGTTGGCCAACCCTGAATGCATTCTGCAGAGTATGTGCTAATGTGATGTTCATGTCTCACATCTCGACTTTCATTTGAACAAAACCTAAACAATCTTCAACAGTTTGTGTGACAGCATGGACTTTCAGATGCTGCACATGAATCAGAACTTGTGTCGAATTACACGTTTAAGTTTATATAGAAGTATAATATGAACCATTCAAAACATATACATAACATTAATTGGCTAACTGTCTAAATTCTTACAGCATATAACGCAAAATCCCCAAATACACACCGACAAATTAAAAAACTGAACACAATGAATCAGACACTTTTAGTAAAAATTGTAATATCAAGCCAACATGGGCCATAACATAGTATTTCAGAGTGCATGGTTCTTCTTTTAAGCGCAATAAAGTACAAAAACATAACAAAACATTAAACACTAGACTACAGCACATAAATAAAAATATTTTTATTTTAATTGTGTTTCAAGAACATGTTTCACTGAGTTATGTTAAGATATTTGACTAAATCTTTTACCCAGCAATGATATGTATCTTATTAAATACCTTCATAATTTAAGGGGGGGGGGGGGGGGGGGGGGGATCCTCTACAGTGTACTTTATTCATGTTTTCCCACTAACTATAACAGCAAAAGATGCGATTGAATATGCAAGAGTTGATATCCAGTGTTTGGTTTTAGATATAAAATAATTTATAGTTTTGGCTTCCAAGTCTTCACGTTTAAAGTGCCATTTTAAAACTCCTAAGAGGCTGTCAACATCTAACTGGTAGCTAACAACTAGCTTTAATGTAAAAGATATGAGTTCACACAACTGAGCAGAGGAGCTAGCGAATTCGGCTCACTTTTAGCGAAAATGCTTTTGAAAATAAACTGACAACACAATACAGACATTTCAAACTTAACTACAAACCAACAATGCAAATATTTAACACAAAAACTGACTTTAACATAATTTACTCAGTTCCCTAAAGTGGAGGAAAGGCTGCTAACTGACTAGCATCCTGCTACAATGGCATTAGCATCTAAAGTGAGTGCGGAAAGGCAGTTTACGTAACAAAAAATTAGCTTCAATGTTCGTAGACAAGTAAACGACTAGAGACGCTGGTCGACCCGTTACTCACGCATAGCTGATTGGCCCATTCTTGCATATTTGCAGTAGTTAAGGTAGATGAATGAATGCGATGCTAAAGGCTAGCGGCGCGGTTTGCCTGCTACAGTCCGCCTGTCAACGTCAGCCAAGCAGCTGAGACGTGACCTTCTAAAACGGAGCTTAAAGAAACCTTTGTCGGGACAGTTAAGCTCTTAATCTATCGGCCTAATTCAGACCTTACCCAGGGAATTAGCGTACCTTCTGGTGGTTACAGTGAAGCTCGCCGCACAGCGAGTTAGAAGAGAAAATCCCCACAAACACCTTACCTGCACAGGCGTAGTAGTAAAGAGCTCTAATGGCCTTCGTCTCCTCCCACTTCTAGCTTCACTTCCGCCTTTCTACAAATTGTCAGCAACGTCATCTTTCATTCACTTAAACCTTAGCAGCAATAATTCTAATAAAATATCATTCATTATTATTTGTACAAACTGGTGCATTATTGTATTACATTTAACAAGTTTTTATATTGTTTTAATTTAAATCAAATACTAAAAGCCCCTCTGAACATAATGGAAGCCTAATAAACAAGAAAGTTTCTTAACAGCTTTTTTGCATACTTCCAGGAGAAAATAGCAGCAATCGACTCCCCACAATCTAAATACAACATGCAAAAATCACAAAGCACATCTTTAAACATCAGGAGAGAAATTTTTATTACAAGAACAAGTTGAGAGCATTTTTTTGTTGAAATAAAAAACTGAAACATTGCAGTATTGCTATTGCATACACACATAGTACACAATGTCAAGCGATCTGTACATCCTATAAAGAAAATGGCATCAGATGGACATTCTAACCTCGCCGTATGAGGTTGAAGACATGAGACTTTAATTTCATTTCCAAACTTGTGCACAAAAATACATATTCTATTAAAGTCACAGTTCATGATCTGAACCAACAGTGAACCAAATTTTTAACCAGGTGGAACAGCTTAAGTCAGTTAACGAAATAATCAGCTCCTTATTTGTGTTGCTCCAGCAAGGATGATAAATAATGAATGAGTTGTGACACAGAACATTTTTTTCAGTTAAGTGTGTAAACTAATTCCCTCTTGTGGCTTAATTAATTTATTTTTTGACAAATTCCTAATGAATTATGGCTCCTTCTAACAAGAGTAAACCAGTGAAACTTTGGTTGTCTCACATTGATGGATTCCCCTAAACACTTATTCACTTAGTATATAAAACGCAGATGTCACCTGAGCCAGCTGAGAGCTGATTTCATAAATAAATAAATTAGACCAACAACCATCCCTTCTTCGCTCCAGCTCTGCACATATCCTCATACCATATATACACAAATATATACATACTCTCTATACCTTGTTTTTAGCTCACACATTAATTTTGTCATGCAAAAAAACAACTTTTCTTTCATTTCGTGTTCAAACTGTTGCAAAACTTCATTTACAGCAGGGTGTTTGAGGAGTTCTGCAGGACACAAACATCAAAATTCCAACTTTTCATCTTTCAAATACATTTTTTCCAAGTCTGCATCTGTTAAAACCTACAACAGGATTTTTATCTCAGCAACTGGAGCTTGGCGCCTCATAGTGATGGCTGCAAGTTTAGAAAAGAAAGCCTTATTGTCCAGTTTATCTTCCATGCACTTTTCTCACACACTCAGACTCTTCATCCATCCAACATCATTATCAACTCTAGGCTGTGACAAAAGAGCAGAATGAACATAATGCAGTAAAAGAAAGTCAAAAGATATTTTTTAACAGTAAAATGTCCTTTTCAGCCACTAGATGTCACTGTTAGATGTTATTTCTTGTGTTTTAAAACAGGGGCCTAGAGAATCTACAGCTTTAGTGCGTGTGACAAAAATTGACAACTTTCTCTAACATTCTCACTCAGGTCCTTCTATTTCTAACACAATAAACAGTGAGTAGTAATAATGTGTCACCGAACTGAAACAAAAACATTCTAAAAACGAATCTTGTGACAAATCGTTTTAAGGCAAAGGGAACTGGTCAAGGCATCTCCAACACCAATATTGCATAGCTAAGGCAGCGCAGACCTTAAAACAGAACATATGTACATCAAGCTGTATATTCTGTGTCCTCTATTTACAAAACACTTACGTTTACCGAGCACATAGGCGTGTATTTACACATTCAACCTCCTCAGCGCGTGACACGTTGAACTCTAGATTGCAGTTTGGTCAGCAGCAGAGCTCTCAACCTTTTCGGTTTCAGTGACAACGACACAAAGTGACACAATCCTCAATGTGCTTGATGTTTTTCATTCAAAACATGAATTAAATGGTTTAACTGCATCAAAATAATCTTGAAAAAATGAAGCATTAAATAACAAATACCGTTATCCACGATGACATCAGCTGATTGCAAAACACAGTACAGTAACAACATCGTACGACTGTAAATAAATCATGTCTGATTTGTACAGTCAGAGGGATGATCGAGCTGTCTAATATTAGCAGTTAGTAATCTGTACAGATAAATACCAGTAATGTGAAGAATCTTACAGTTCTAAGACCAGTACATTGACTATTGAGATAATAAAAACAAAGTTATGGCAAATTCGACGAGTCGATCCATTCAACTTAGCGTTTGAGCGGCTAATGAAGACACATTACCATGCCCTTTGGTAGGACTCATTCTGTCTGTGAGTCAGCTGTAAGTCTCTCGTCAAGAAAGAAATTAAATTAAACACAATATGATTGGCAAAAAAAAAATCCCCATACGCACAATAAAATTATAGTAAACACGTTAATCATACCTTTGGTAATAAATATTCTGGCTTGAGTGCAAACAAAGCAATGTGAACCCCCGGACAGGGGAGAAAGCTAAATGCAAAAGGTGTATTTGACATCCAATAAAATCCTTTTAAAGGTGTGGGACACTCATTTAATCAATTCATTTGCGGTGTTCTTCAATTGCGCATTCCCGGCCAGGGGTGAGTGCGTGGGGTGTCCGAATTCTCAAGAGCGGAAGGTGATCGCACCCCTTTTGAACCCTTGATCAGCACTTCGCCCAAGTCAATGCAGACTTCAGGCAAGGGCATTACCCACAATCCATTGCTGTGTGGGAATTTTGAGAAGTAGGCGGAGCAATGGCTCAAGTGCCTTTACTGAAAATGTGTCTTTTCAAATGAAAGAAGTTCTTTTTAAGACGATTAATGATATTTATTCAAGCTCTGAGTTTTATACTCAGATTAGATTAGACTAAGATAAGTGAACAGCAATGAATTTAAATTTAGTAAAATTATTGTTTGTTTAAAAGTTGTTAATGTGATGGACAGAAGACGGAAGCTGCCGGACTCTGAGGGCATGGTGATTGGACACCAGCTGGTCCTCGTTATTCATAACGAGGCCAGGGAGGATAAAAAGGTGACAGGTCTACTGAGAGGGGTGCGTGGTCGACCTGTCATTGTGGCATCGGACTTTGGGGGGTGGGGTCGTTCGCAGTCGTTAGGGCTGCCGGCGACGAAGATAGCTAAACAGGTGTTTAGAGTTCCAGCGTCAGGAGGGAAGGCTGGTCGCCTTCTTTAGACAGCAAGGGCTGGGCATAGGTGATGCCAAGGCCACACCGACATCTGCCGCTACGGACTCTGGCAGTGGACTTATGTGGTGGATTTACCCGCCGTCCTCACAAGCTGCACCCCGGGGCGTTGGACGGCGTTGGAAGCTCAGACCCCGGGGAGGGTACCCAAATCCTTAATACGCAACTCCTCTAAGTGCAAGTGACATCTTGCCTCGGATTGGACACCAGCAGCACGACTCTACCACTGACTTGCATTGTGGGTGTTTTATCTCCACAACTAACCTGGAGGAGCTTCTGCCATGTGGTGACATTGCTAATGCTAATGGTTAGCTTCTACTAGTCGAAACATTCACTGTTGTTTCCTGGACACTAATGACAGACTTCCTTGCTGTGAGTCAAGATGGGTGAGTCCATGAATGTTAAGTGACAGTGTGACGTAGATCTGTCAGGATTTTCTAATCCGAGATTTTCATGTCTATTTTCTAGCAGAAGCTAATGCAGGAGATAGGTGTAGGAGACTATTTTCATGTTCAGCCTGCATGAAAAACTCAGATTGACTGAGTATACTCATCAAAAATGGGTTTTCAGTGTCCCACACCTTTAAGTTTAACATTAAGAGTATTTTTTACACAGTAGTCAAAGTTTCTAACAACAACCTGCTCCTTCCATCAGTTTTGTGCTAAAGCTTCAACATCCAGGCCGCTCTGTGCAGGGTAGGAGCATGTGGTTGGACAACCGGCAGGGTGGGAGCTCTTAGGAGACAGCGGTGGGGTGTGACAGGGTGAAAGTGTCTCACGAGTGTGGACGTCTCTGTAGCCGACTGGTGTGGGGATACGTGAGCGTGTGTTCTGGGGCCTGTTGTCAGTGCGAGGCCTGAATCGTCCCAGCTTGGAGACCGGGGCTACATTGTTAGCATTCTTTTGCTCAGTTTCCCCATTGGTCAGCGTTATTGACGGAGGGGGGGACTCAGAGCGGGATTCGCTCAAGCTGAAGCACGTGGAGGAATTTTCACTTGAAGAATCCTGGAAGGAGCAGTCTTCAGAAGGGGGGAGGGGTGTGGGTGAATGACGAACTTCAAGAGGTGGAAGGTCGTCTCTCCTGTCATCGTTGTCAAAAGGAAGGCTTGAAAGATGGTTTCCTAGTGGGACGTCTCCTTCAGTAGTAGAGCTCAAATCAAGCTGGCTGTGTTGACCAGTGAGTCTCCCAGTAAGAGGACAATTTCCAAGTACTCCATTCATATTTCTGCAACGAGATTCAGGCTGTGAGGGAATGTGATTCATTAGCCTGTCTGTCTCTCTAGATAAAGACGATGGAAGATCTCTCTCATCTAATGAGCTGGAAATGGCTGGGAGCTTCCTGAGACCCCCTTTATGATCCCCCCAAGGTTCAGGCTCTCCTTGACCAAGAGAACCTCTATGATTGTTTCTAGGAAGCATTTTCAAAGGATCCTCCTGCGAGAAGTGACGGAGGTTAGTCCTCTTGGATTCCTTCAGTTCAGGCAGAAGTCCCGTCTTTGTGCCCACATTTAGGGAGGAAGTGGAAGAGTTAGAGGAGGAGTCGGTAAAGTCAAAGACATTAGGCTCAGTGGGTGCAGTTTCTTGTGGTTTCCCGGGTACCTGCAGGGACGCTCTTTCTGGAGTCTTTTCAGCTGAATTCTCCCTGACTTTCTGGGTATTTGCCAGAAACTCGGCCTCAAAGCTGCGATACAGGTCCTGTTCCCTCTTTGGGTCTAATGGTGGCAGCATCTGGTATCCAAAGCCAAGTCTCTCAGGCTCCTGGCACTCCAGGCTAGAGCTGTTTCCAGGTTGGCCTCGCCCAGCAAAGCGAGGAGTCTGCGAGAACCGAGGGGAGCGGGGAGCATGGTTACTAACGTGACGAGGAGATGATTGTGTTGAACGTCGCCCTCCAGGGGTGACAGGTGGTAGAAGCCTGCCTCTTCCCATGGATGGTGAACGTGGAGCAGGGGGTTTGGGAGTAGTTGTTGTCTTTTTGCCGGGGCTACTGTTGTTGCTCTGGACGCCTTTAAGAGGAGAGTTAGAACATGATGTTGACTGCCTCTTAGCAAGGCCAACAGCTACTCTAGGAGAGGACGGTGGCGCCTGTTTCACGCAAAGGTCTTCTCTTCTTTCTGACGGTGGCGGCTGAGGATCTTTAGAGGAGGCGGCCTGTCCAGGGCTGCCATCACCTGACCAAGTCGGTCTGGTTAACATGCTCTGGCTGTGGGAGCGAGGCGGATGGAGCCTCCTATGCATCTCAGGCCCCAGGGTGCGCCCCCTTTCTGTGCGAGATGTTCGTGTTCCATCTGAGGATCCAGATGGAGGGTTGGGTTTGAGCATTGGGGCAAGCGTGGGACGTTCTTGAGATTTGCTGCGTGCACGGGTAATAGAGGGTCGCTGAGATGGGGTCCGATTTCCTGCCCCCGCCCTTTCAATCATGTGCTTCCCTTCTTTCCGGTTTACAAGAAACACTACCTCTTCACCAGAGCGCGACGATGTGCCACCAAGGGAGCGCCGCCCTCCTCCTCCTCCCTTGGAAGAGGCCGTAGACGAGTCGCTGTCTCCAGAAAGACGCCTCGTTATTGGCATCTTTGTCTCCTTATTCCTGTAAAAGCAGAGGCAGCCATCGACAATCATATTAGTATTTCACACATATTAAGAGAATATTTATGCACATTTTTAACTGGTAGGAGACAATTTCACATGGCTGTAAAAGCACTAGAAGGGTTTTTTGTTTTATTTACACCATGAAGTAATCCATCTTGAGTCAGAGTTTCAGACCCAGGGCTCATGTGTGCTTTGTAACAGGGAGCAGTGCAACCCTGTACACACGTGAATGGCCTGTATTTGATATAGCGCTTTCTAACCCTAGAACCCCCCCAAGGCACTTTACAACACACCCAGTCATCCACAAAAATGTGGAGGTAAACAGCACCAAAAGTAATTATCTGAAAGACTCCAATTTGTGCATTTTCCATTGTCAGCATTTGCTTGTGGACTTAAATAACTGGGCTTTTTGGCTTGGTAACATTACTACCCGCGACAAAATGTTCTGATGTCACATGGGCGACCTGTGTTTACACTCACCTGCTTGTTTTTACAAAATTACTGCTCTGTGTAGCAGACCAAAGGTGACAACGTTAAGGTTTTCTACCTCCTGGTTATTTTCAATGATTTGGGGAATTACTGCCACCTACAGGCTTGGCATTAACATGCTTCACAATGCACTGGGTTTTATACTGAAAGACAAAAAGGTGTGTGTACTCAGGTTTTTCTCCCGGGGGCGAGAACATTCAGTTTTACAAAAACCCGGCTACTTGTGTAGCCCGACACACGCCACTATGCTTCCCCAGCTGGAAACTGCTCTGCTCTCATGCAGCAACAGGACCATCAGGGTTAACCACACAACCAGCTCACATCTTCAGAAGTGTGTTCACTAGCCATTCTAACAGCTCATATCTAGCTTTTTACTCTCAGGTTAGCTATATTATCGTTAGTTTTAATGAAACCAATTAAAAAAAACATTAAAATACAAATTGACGTATAAATTCCACATTAAAGTGATTTATGAAAGTGGTGTTATGGCACAAACGTGTAGGAGATATTAGTGTGTTTTAATTTAAATGAAAATCTGCACCTTTAGTTGTTGCCTAATCACAGTAGACCTCTTTAATTCCTGGAAATCGGTTTGACGGCGACATGCTGACCTGTTTACTAGAACGCTGTGCTGCAAACAGCCTTCCAGGGGTAGTCGTGAGACTAGCCTTCACCCATTCTGACCCTGCTAAAAGGAAATGCCCAACCCTCCCGGGGTTAATCTGAGTACTGCCTTGACATCTGGTCTGAACTGATGCTATAAAGAGAAATGAGTAGCACAAGGCTCATAGCCAAGGTAAACCATCAATCTGCTACTAGTTGTGTGAAATGACGATAGAGTCAAACTCTGATTTATTGCACGACCACCTTTACCTTTTTGGTCTTACAGCCTTTATTTCCCCATATGAACAATGATTGCAGCGTTATGACTAGCGCTCTGATAAAACACTAAAACAGCAGACCAGACTAAATTAGCAAGTAGTTTCAGTTACATTCATCGTTTAAGAGGAGAAAATCTTCTCCCTAACAATCCCACTATGAAACGGGGGTTAAGCAAGCTCAGTGGCCTCGTGGTACGAGTGTCTGTCCTGGGACTGGGGGGTTTGTGGGTTCAACTCCACGGTTGGGTCGTACTAAAGACCTTAAAAAATGGGACCCAATGCCTCCTTGCTTGCATTAAGGGGTTTGATTGGGTGTTAAACCTGCAACTCAAATGCAGAGAACAAATTTCACACACCAATGGGATTTAAGATTAGGTTTACCTTCTACCCACTAGGAGGCGCTGTGTGGTGGCTGGCTGGATTTTTTTAAGCCAATGTCACCTGAGATTAGATAAATCTGTTCTGGTCTAATCTGTGGCTCCCTGGTTTGTTTATGTGTCCAAATCAAAGTGAGTCCTCAGGGTCTGTCAGTCCATCTGTGAGCAGAAACCACAGAGCATGCCCCCTGTGAGACATCAACACGCAAACACACACACACACACACACACACCTGAGAGGATTAAAGTGTCGAGGCTCTGAGCGGTCCCGTGGAGGTCTTGGTAGGAGAGCGCGAGCTGCACCGGCGTCTACCTCAGAAAGAGCAGAGGAGTTCTGGGATCGAGGTGTGCGTGTGTTGGAGGAGGAGGTGGGGGCACTCTGTGGCTCCATGGAGCGTCTGTCAGGAGGCTTGTACGGTGCGATGCCATCGTTTCTCCAGTGTGGGCCCGGGCTGGTAGAGCGAGAAGAGTGGGCACTGGACGACTTGCTCTGGGCTCCCTGACCTTGGCCACTAGCTTTGGACTGGTGGTAGCGGTGAGCTGTTGGAGGCAGAGCGATCAAAAGTGATTAAGAGAGACTTGTAACCCATGCTGGCTTAGAGCCTGTGGAATCTGCAACAAGTGACGGCATTTAGTGGTCAGGAAGCACGCTACAGCATCTCAGCAGCAGCAGCGAGAGATAAAGCCGGATAGGTCAAACAAAATAGATGTTAGGAACATAATAAATCAGCTTCAGCATCACGGTTTGATCTTCAGTTTGGCTTCATCTGTAACACGCAGAGTCATCTGCTGCTGCATGTAAACACTTTGGACACTTCAAGAGTTTATACAAGCCCAGCAAATCTGTGTAACATGTTAGAAAAATAAGAACACCACATCATTAAAATAAGAAGCTTTTTTTTAGGAAATAGATTTGTTAAAGAGACAATGTGTAGTTTTCATTGTTAATTTCTGGAAATATCAATCGAAAAGGATGCCCAGTTGTTATAAATATAAATACTAGTGGTTCTGTACCATATCACCATAAAAATCAGGTCTAAAGTGCATAGAGCATGGGTCTAGCGTCCTAGGGGGACGCCATGTTAGATGCCATGTTTCCTTCTGGCTGGCTCGGGGTCCTGCGCCTGTCGATGACATCACACTAGGTGACTGGCTGGACGTACGACTTATGGAAGTTATATTACCACGCTAAAAAATGTTAAAACTGCTAAACCCTTTCCAAAGCACATGTGAAGTAAGAGAATCGAAAAAGAGATGCAATGTTTTTTCGTCAAATGGCATTGCTGTAGTGTGATGATGTCATCGGGAGGGGCAGGACCCCGAGCAGAACCAGAAAGTACAGCAGCAGAAAACTATACTCGGCATTACATTCTCTCGATGGAATTAACGGAAAATCTGAGGAGATATGTCGCGGTTGCATCCTTTCTGCTCCACAAGTAACCTTAAAATGGTAAATGACCTGTATTTGATATAGCGCCTTCTAGAGTCCTGGAACCCCCAATGCGCTTTACAACACAATCAGTCATTCACCCATTCACACACACAGTCACACCCTGGTGGATGAGACACGATTTAGCCACAGCTGCCCTGGGGCTCACTGACAGAGGTGAAGCTGCCGAGCACTGCCGCCACCGGTTCCTCTGACCACCACCAGCAGGCAATGGGGTTAAGTGTCTTGCCCAAGGACACAATGACAGCGACAAACTGAGCAGGACTCAAACCTGCAACCTTCCGATTACGGGGCGAGCACTTAGCGCCTGTGCCACCGTCACCCCGTTTACCGTAATGTTTTTTAAACTAGCGACAGTCACAGCGATAAGGTGTAAAACTACCCTGAAATGTGTACTGCCACCTAGTGGCAGGAAAAATCACACAGCCACTTAAAAAAGTTGTGAAAAGGAATTTTTGTGTTTACAGAGAATCTTTCTGATTACTTGAATTCTATAAATGTGAATCTAAATCAATTCTGAATTTTTGTTTTAATCAAGTAACCGAACAACCTTTACTTGCGCTTCTCTCTAAGAAGCTCTTTTATAACTCGATCGTGTTCCTGACCTGTTTACGTTAACATTTTTAGCAGTGAGAGATGATTTATCACGCGCTTCCTGACCTGCTTTCTCTACTCATTCCAACGGTTTGGATCACACCACGAGCTGCTGCATGGATGGATTATTATGGGGTTCACCTGGTGTTTTGTCTGTAAAACAGAAGCAACTTAAAAAGTGTTTCTGTGTCTAAAACTTCCAAAGTTTCAACCTTCTTCCATGAATTATCCCACACCGCTGACCTTTATGCGCTCTGTCCCAGACCAGAACGCTGCATTAGATATTTGCAACAAATAAAACACGTTTTCCTTGAGCGTCTAACGGGAAACTGGGAGCAAACTCACCAAAAGCAGCACAACGACACGGATCGTGCTTGTCCAAATAGTGTTCCAGTGTGTCCCAGCCCCCTCCAACACGCACCATCACATGAGTGCGAAGGACCTGAGGGGGGAGGAGAAAACAAGGCTTTAACAGATAAAACTAATGCAGCATGCACACACAAATGCACCAGTTAATAAAGAAGATAAAAAAAGTCATAAAACGCCTGATGCTGAGTATTACATAACCCTTCTGTCTTTTCACCCCCAGCTGCTGCCATTATGAGGGTTTGTTCATTACTGTGGCAACTAGCCATTAACCAGCAGCGTGATAAAGAGCCACAGATCTGGGAAAAGACTCTCTCTCTTCTTTATTGGCACCTTCTCCTGCCTCTCAGCTGGTTTCCTCATGTTTTTGCAGGGCAGCAGGATGAATAAGCACGGGAATACGTCACCCCTGCTGTCTGCTGGGCCCCTTGGAGGAGAGTTCACTTTCCAGGAGAGAAGAAGGAGGATGTGGGGGTTCAGGAGAACAAAATGATGTGTCACTTCTGCTAATAAATGCTTTTCTTAACTCAAAAGTCTTTCCCCTTTTAGCCAGAGGCAGCTTTCATTGAAGCAGCACACCGTGCTTGATGCCTCGTGTTCCCGCCAAGCTTTAGGTTGCGTAACGCAGTCTGTCAGCCACGTTTTAAATATTGCACCCATGTATCTGAGGGCATCTGAGAGGATACATAACGATACATCTGCGTGGGTTGGAGCTTGTTTCCAACAGATCACACGCATGTGGCACTGCGTCTTACTCTGCCCACAGGACAAAAAAAAACATCTCATGTGAACCCCAGTCTGACCCCACCTTCTTCAGTTACAAGTCTTTTCATCAGCAGTGACGTCCTTCCACATCAAATCTGTCAAAAACAGCTGATCAGCTTATCCCTATCAGACCAGGGGGTATAAACTGCTTACTCGCCACAGCTTTGACCCAATGCCAGTAACAGGTTTACTGTCTGTGTGATGCTGTATGACCACCGTGAGCCAGCAGGGAAAAGCGAGTTACACAAGATTTAAACATATCATTGTATTTTGAGCCTTGCTGCAGTTAGACTTGGTCAACACAGAAAAAAAAATTCCCCAACGTCTGCAAAGAGAGATTTGCACGAAATGTTGCTTTGCTCTCTGATTCGCTTTGATTGTAGGTACCAGATCGGCTTGGGATCCTGCGCCTGCCAGTGACATCACCCTAAATGACTGGCTGAATGTAAGACTTATGGAAGTTATGATAGCAGATAGCAGACCTACACCGAGATGTTATTTCAGAAAATCTGTGAATCTGTAAAAATAATCTCAGATTTGAATTAAACCATTTACCGAGATTTATTTCTTAAAGGCACACTTGGCAGTTTTGGCTTGCTTTTAGCACCCCCTAGTGTCTGTTTAGTAGAACCAAACGTTAAACTTAAAGGGGCATTATGGAAGTTTGACAGCCAAAACATGTATATAAATAATAAATTTCTTCTTCATACATTCTCCTGCAATGCCCTGGTCCTATAGAATGAGCCCTGGCATTTTTACTGTGATTGCCCGTTTTTCTGTAAAATCATAGAAAAAGAGAGCTGCTCGGGTCGAGCAGGCTGCTTCATGCGCGTTCACGCTCAGGCATAGCCCGTAGCATTTGCTATCAGTAGCTTTAGCAGCAGAGAGAGAGGTAGTGCCAACTCAGCGACTTTGTCGCTGTTCCTAACGCCTAGTGACAAACCTAGCTACATTTCTGAGGACCCTTAGCTACTTTCTTCTGGATATTTCCTGCAAATTAGCAACAAAATAGCCATTTTCGCTCTGAACCGTTCTTTGAACGTTGTTTTAGCTGTAATTAAGAATATAAATATTACAGATGCCAAAGATGTCGCTGTAGCTCACCTAGTTAGATGTTGGACTCTTGTGCAGGAGACCTGGGTTCAATTCTGGGTGTGAACATAGTTTATTTAGAGTTTCTTTTTTACATTAATGGTATATTTTTTACAGTAAGATGCCCTAATTTTTATTTGAGACTCGCCGAACGGCATTGAATTCACAGATAAAAAAGATGTGGGTTCAACTTTCATTTTGGAACAATTTTTCAAGCAAGGGAAGGGAATGATCTGAGCATGCAGGAGGACTGACCCATCATAAACCTTTGTCGGCTGTGCTGAAGAGAAAGGTACAGAACCAAATTATTTAATTAATTAGCTGCGCGTTCTCCTGTCCTCCAGACCACACACACACACACACGGTATTTTCGTTAAGGAGTGTGCACGTACAGCATGCGCGTCTCGTGCACGCGCCTACTATTGAAGCTGCCGTTACGCTTTTGGCCTGAGGGGGCAATCGCGAGCATAAAAATTCAAAACTCAGTAAAGTCCCTTTAATCTCCTCGCCATGCGTTTGTCTTTTAACAGCTTGAAATGTCAACCCAGCCTTCAATGGTTTCTACAGGAGTGGTTTATCACTAAATCAGAAAAATCAGCTATGTTAACAATCTAAAATATGCAGGAAACATAAGCAGACTGCAGCGCTGGCACGTCAGGTCCACGTCCAACAGGGAGTGGCCCGGCACCCTGAAGTTGCAACTACACAGAAGGCAATGGGGGCCTGAGTGACATCATTAATCCTGTAAAGGGTCATGTTAGTACATACTGACTGAAGAAAATTATTTAAAAAAATAAAAATGTTTCATAATACGTCTTTAAAGCCGCACCTGTGCTGCAGCGGCAACCCTAAGGGGTGGACAGGAGTGTCTATGGCCACCCCTGGAAAACTGGTAGCCCCCTGGGAAATACTCCTTCTTTTAATAAATGTTATTCATGTTCACACAAACCACACATTTGTCTTCTTTATTGAAGACACAAAGGTAAAACCCAATTTACAACTATTGAGCAAATGCATTGTAACTGAAATAAATGACACAGAGGTTCACAATTTTCAAAAAAAGAGTATAAATGTTTTTGGGGATGCTTTGGTGAGACAACAACGGGCAAATTAAGCTATTTTAAGAACCAAATTTTTCATTTGCCGGGAGTTCCCCGGGGCTGAGTAGATGTTTAGGAAACCTGTTCCACATCTGTGGCTGCATGTTTTTTTCTTCAATGACTAGAGGGGTTTCACACAATTTACCACTACAGAGACCCAATCCCTGTTTCTATGGCAACAGTGAACAGAAAGACTTCTAGTCATCATTGATGGGGCGTGTTGAAGCGATTTCTTCTAAAATGCAGTGAGATCAAATATTAAACTCACAGCTCACTTCAGCTGTTGTTCCGCACAGCTGAAAGCCACTGAGCAGCCCCATGAACACACACACACACACACACACACACACACACACACACACACACACACACACACACACACACACACACCCTGTTCGCTCCTTTGTTTTCATGACTTCACCTCTTTTCATCCAGACAGACTTGTAACAGCTTTAGCAGCTGAATGGGGTTTTGTTGGGTATAAAAGCCTGTTTCCTTCCACCAGGGCAACAGGAGAAGTGTGCTGCACTTGTAGCAGCTTGAACACGTGCATAATCACTGTCATCCCCAGAGATGAATCAGCAAAGGGTGGAAACAGCATGAGGAGAGCCAGTCTGATCAGTCAAAAGACTCCTAGACACACACAAACACAGAGTCCACCCCAAATGTAAACATCTTAAATCGAGACACATCGTCCAAAAGGACAACATGTTTACGCCGAGTTATAAACCATTCTGATTACAGTAAGGAAGTCCTTTTAGTCACGCTAGAAAATACACCAAGTTCAGTTTTTCTGGTCTTCCAAAAATAAACAGCTAGCTAAATGTTTTTCCAGGTCAGTGATTAATTTATTTTTCCAAAGGTTGTTTGTCTGCAGATTTAACCCCCAGCCCGGCTGAACGTTTATATTCATGAACATTTGCATTTTTTAAGCAAGCTTCACTTTTACGCTTCAGGCTGCAGTAAGTGAAATAACACAACATCACATCAAACTGATTTGTCAAACTCAAATCAAATATTTTTGATGATCTGATGAATGGCCTAGTTTATCAATAGCTGCAGTTTAGCTTAAATTTTAAGATGCAAGCGTTTTACAAAATCAGTCAAATCATTTTTCTGTTTTTAATAAAACTTCCAGAATTACAGAAATCACTTTGGGATCTTTTTCCATGATTTTGGAATTGAAGGACTTAATTAATCCTCTTAGTTTTGGTGAAAACACAATTACTAGGGAAATCATTTGACTCATTTTAGCTTGCACTGTTGATGGTTTTTAATGACCCTTTGTGTTCCTGTAAAGAGTAAACCTTTCCTGCGTGTGTGCGTGTGCGTGCGTGCGTGTGTGTGTGTGTGCTGATTGAGTTTTTTAAGTCAGAATTGTTTGATTTAAACATTATTGCTTGGCTAAAGTTGTTTAGAATAATTTATCTAAAAACTAGAGTGCACGTTCTAAAACTGGTTGTTACTCGTGTTTCATCACACTCTAAATATCACATCTCCTGACTTGGGCCGAGTGGGGCCAGCAGAAGGGAAAATAATGAAATCAATGACTACATGAGTCAGAAAGTGTAATTTAAATACAGGAAACCAGGGACACCAGCCAAAGAGTCCATTAAACTGGCTGCTATAGGTCAGAGAGACCAGATCGATCCCTCGGCTGAGCCGGCACCATCCTCTGAGGCTTGGTATGGGTTCGGTATCAGCTCCTGAACTGAGACAAACAATCCAGCTACAACCAAGATAAGGAGAACGAAGGAAATGACTTAAAACTATATTTGTGTCTGCGTGGATAAAGGAGTTTCCTGGAAGTAGGCCAGGGAAAAGGGGGCAGGCTGTGATCCCATCTATAAGAAAGAAAAATAACAATATGTGGAGACTGTAGTTCAGCTTGAAGGGCTTTGGTTCAGTCATGCAGCTAAGTGTTGTTATATCTGTTGCATATGATGCCATATGCTAACACCATATGGTTCCACTCAATTACTGCACCCCTCCTGTGCTATCTGCCAAACATAGCTGAGAAATGTGGAACGTCAAACATTCACTATAATCTGGGTTTATGTCAATCTGCTTCCATCTTGGAGTGAATATTGGATCAGTTTTCCATCTGGGATTGAATTAGTAAGATTTTATCATTTGATCACGTAAAAAACGAGTCTGATGAAGACATCAGCTGTAATTAAGATGAATTAAAGGACATAAAATAATGTTTTAAACACATTATTAATAATCTAAAGAGTGTGTTTGATAGTGTAGAGGCATTGCACAGGTTGGTCCGTCAGAATACCTCTACAGGGTGTTTTTGGTGCATTGTAGCTTTAAATGAAAAAGAGCTGCTACAGCCCCACCTTCCCTCGTGTTGCCATAAATACCTCAGCAAAAACATGAAGAAAGGCAAAGCAGCAACCGAAGGTTACTCCAGTCCGTAAACTCCTTAAACATGCTCAGTTATGGAAGCCCTGTGAGACAAGCAGGGACACGTGTCATGCATCACATCTATGATGAAACTCAAATGTTTCCTGGATGAGAATGCTACAAAACAGAAAGCTGAGCTAAAATGAGACCAGAACACAACTAAAAGACTGTGATTATAAGTTGGTGTTAAATTGCTGCTAAACTTCCCCACTTTCTGTCTCATCCACAGAACTGTGAGCTGTATGCAAACACCAAGAGCAGAAAACTGGGACCCAGAGAGTCGGAGTTGGTTAAACTGGTTCTGGAGAACAAATACTGGCTACTTGTGATGCATCAGCTCAGTGAGCCAAATCCTTATCACTTGTTTAAATACTTTAGAGCCTAATGTGTTTGTTCAGACTTCATGGAATGAGGTTATGAGCCACGAATATGAGACTTGATGCAGATTTGAACAACAGCAGTTATGAGAAATGAAGAGGTGCGATTGATCATTTATCCTGCTTTATAATGTTAATAATAAAGACGTTTGTTACGGTAAGACAGCAGCAGAAATGTAGTTAGTAACAGAATTTCTTATGACAGCAGAACCAGCTCCAAAGTTTAATCAGGCCGTTAAACTCTGAACCCTTTAGGGTTTTGGTTTTTGAATGACTAAGTCAGAGGTCTGCAACCTGTGGCTCTGGAGCTTTAGGTGGATCTTTAAAAGGTGATGAAGACTTGTTTAATCAATACATTTGAAGTGGTTTCTAGTAGTAATGAATTCAGTGTAAGTCGTTTTGGGGGAAAAACCACCGGTGCACCACTTCTTGGAACTAAAAGTTCCCCACATCACAGCTGAGCTTCAGACGGCAGGGTTTGGAGTCTTACTTCCTGATATTTGGACATCTCGCCTCAGACTGGATAACAGCAACACGACTCTACCACTGACTTGCCACGTGGATGTTTTATCTCCAACACAAGCCTGGAGGAGCTTCTGCTGTGTGGTGGAGTTGATGATGCTAATGGTTAGCTTAAACTAGCCAAGATGTTCTCTGATGTTTTCTGGACGCTAAACCAACAACAGTCTTCCCCGTCGTGAGTCAAGATGGGTGAGTCCATGAATGTTAAGTGACAGTGTGACATAGATCTGTCAGGATTTTCTAATCCTAGCATCTCACTGTCTATTTTCTATCAGAAATATAAATGTGTTTTCATTGTTCCACACACAAACTTAATAACTTTGGATGAAAATAATGCAGGGTTCCTTATATAGGAAACTTTTTTCTGATTGGCTTAACGAACTGGCCTGTATTGGAATGTTTACCATGAAGTGCCTGGAGACGAATCTTGTCGTGATTTGGCGCTATATAAAGAAACTTGAATTGAACTGAATTGAATTGAGGGCTGCGCAGAGGCGCCGTGGTTAGAGCTGTCGCCTTGTAGCTAGAAGGTCCTGGGTTCGCTTCCCGGCCTGGGATCTTTCTGCATGGAGTTTGCATGTTCTCCCTGTGCATGCGTGGGTTCTCTCCGGGTACCCGGGTAAAGAGCAAGTCAACCCCTACCAGAGTCTAACTCCACTCCCACTTCATGTTTGAAAAATGCAACACATGCTGTTGCCTGGCAGACCGAGGGGGCGGAGCCGCTAACAAATACACACACACTCAGGCTCACGACAGCACTGTGACATCATAATGTACCAGTGTACATCATAGCATACTTCTTAGCCAATAGCGGTGGCAGATTTAAATTAAAATACAGTGCAGAGTTTTTACCTGACAACGGCACAACACTGCCAGTTTTAGGCAGAATATTTAAATTTTAACTAAGATGCACTGAAGTGCCAAATTATTGACGACACGTGTCTGCAGCACGATTAGACACTCGTTTATTTAGTTTATCAGCAAAAAAAGTTTATTTGGGGGTGACTTGCTCTTTAAGTTCTTTTTATAAACACAGGAAAGTTTATTTTTTACCTTGCTAACAGTTTCGATTGCTCTTGCGATCTTCTCCAGAGCTAGCCGCTAATGACGGCGTCACTTCCTTCGTTTATTAAGTGACGTCGTCATTAGCAGCTAGCTCTGAAGAAGAGCAGGGGCAATCAAAACTGTTAGCAAGGTAAAAAAATATATATTCCTGATGTGTATCATTAAAAGTCAAACTCACTTTGACCAAATAAATTGTTTGATTTTAATAGAGAAGTGTTTTATTTGAATCTGCAAGCTTCATGGTCAAATCTCCAATAAAAAATGTCACTATAACATAAAAATCTCAAATAAATAAATACATAAAAGAACAGTCTGTGTTTAACCTACCCTGATGAAGATCAGTGCGCTGGAGTCTCCTACTTTATATTTCCCCTCAGACACTTTAATCATAGGAAACTGAGCTGGACAGGAGCAGTGGCCCAGGATCTCTCGTACCTAAAGAAGAGAAAAAACAAAGATTTTACAGAGTAGGGCCTACAAACATAATCCACACATTAGAGCACCTGGACTGCGGTGCTTCCTGCTCTGAGCAAAGCTCATGGTTTGTCAGATCTGGACGTGTGACTCAAACCCTGCTGGACAACAATACAACAACTCTGTTTTAAGGAGTAATAAATGAATGATGCTGGAAAATAGGAGGGTGTCAGGAAGCGTGCACATCCTCTTTCTGCTAGATCTCCTCTCCGAGCAACTTCTGGGGGATAAAAGTGGTGTGATCTGCTGTTTTAACACAATAAAAGGCTCCCCGAGTATGCAGGATGTTTAAATCACCAAATAATCTCAGAAAGACAGACATCTGTGCTCGCTAATGAATACCTATGATATGTTTTCTGTTTGTCACGCACAGAGCTTAAGATCCCAGAGACCAGAGTGGTGGCGATGATGATGTCAGCTGCTCCGCGTTGCCAGCTGGGATTTGAATTGAGAGTCAGAGCCGGCGCCCTGGCTGTGGTTGAGGGGGGTGCTTATTAGGCAACCAGACACAACTGCAGGGTGGAGTCAGATCAGCCTCTGATGCACGTGGACAACTGTGATGTTTGTCTTGGCGTCTCTCTCAGACGAGGGTGTGTGTGTGTGCTTGTTGACGGGGAGGTGGAGAAAGTGGAGCACCGAAGTGAACGAGCACACAGGAGGAGGGGGTGAGAGAGGGCAACAGGGCTGTGTTTCACTGACATGAAACAGTTACCCTACCTTTCATTCTGCACAGGAGTATTTATTTTTGCTTTTGGCGTGCAGCACCTTGCTATTTTCTTGAAACAGCACCCTCCTTCTATCCTGTGCTAATTAGAGAGGAGAGAATTAGAGCTAAGCTTCTGCGTCTCACCTGCTGCTATGCTCACCTGCCACTATGAAGCATCTGCTTTGTGTTTTTGTTTTTGCCTCCGCGCCACCTGACAAGACCAAACTCATATTCATGTGTTTTATTTAAATTTTGTTTGACTTCAGGCTTCTCTCTCTCTTTTCTCCATCCACCTATCTTTTCTTCAATCAGTATAGGATGGCCAGCCCAGTTTGGAAATACCCAAACTGGTGACTTAATGGAAAGATTGCTATGGCAACAGACACTAACTAACACAGTGTCACACTTCCGTTTTCGAGTGTACAGTTAGGCCTCTCAGTACAGTAAAAACCTTCTTCCTGCAGTGGGAGCAAAACGAAGAATGAGTTTAAATAAAAACCTGGAAGTATTTGGTCTAAAAACTGTGCGCACTTCCCACATCTCCACTGTGTCAACAAGAGCAAACGCTGCAAAAGCAAAACATTCAATCTGTCTCTCACACACACACGCACATACAGGGACTGCAGAATGAGGTCAAAGGGGAGGAGCGAGGAAAAGGTCAAACAGGAAACACGCGGAAGCGAATCAGGAATGTTGAGGAAAAACTGAAGGATGATTAGTAGACGAGGGACGTTTTCAGCAGGAGCTGCAGATGTTTGAGAGTTAAAGAAACCGGGAACTAAAGAGTTACTGAATGTTTCACTTCACGGCCAAACGTTGAGAATCAGCCTTCTGACTGATGTTTTATCAGGAACAGGAAGAGAAAACGTGCTTTTCCCCTTAAGTCCGAGCGACTGCTTTTGTGTCCGATGTGATTCATGCATAAGTAACATTCTTCTAAAGATGCTCGAGCTCAGATCACGTCATATCTGCTCAGCGTGACTCCACTATCTCCTGGCTCTTTTCCTTCCTGACCTGCAAACATCTGAGGCTGGGCGACGACTGGGGAAGAACACAGGAAATGGGGGGGGGGGGGGGGGGGGGGGGGGACTTCTTTATTGATTCCAACGAGGTCTTGAACGAGGATTTTACATAAAAAAATTGATATTATAACAAAGCATAGCTGCTGTTCTAGTTTTGTTTGTATGGCTCAGATTGCTGGTGAAGTAGCTACATATTCATTTGGATAATCACCTGCTCCCTTTTATGAGTCAAAAACCCCATACGAGACGAGGACCACACATTTAGCTCGGGAGCTTAAATGTTTTCATCAAGCGTAGGTGAAACTAGCCTGCTGTAACTGGCCTCCTTTACGAGTCTTACACTACAGCTAAACTCCAACAATAAAAAAACAAACATCACAACTCACTTCATTGGAATTTATACAAGCTTTGGCTCCTGCAAGTTCCCTACAAGTGTGGATTTCACAAAACAGTCAAAAAGTTCACATATTTAAAGAGCAAGTCACCCCAAATCGACTTTTTTTCCCCTGATAAACTATATAAATGCGTGTCTAATCGTGCTGCAGACACGTGAAGTCAATAGTTTTGCACTTTAGTGCATATTAGTTAAATTTTTAATTTTCTGCCTAAAAATGTCAGTGCTGTGCCATTGTCAGGTAAACACTCTGCACTGCATTTGAATTTAAATCTGCCATCGCTATTGGCTAAGAGGTACCCTAGAACGTTAGCTGGTACCATATGATGTCACAATGTTGTTGTGAGCCTATGTGTGTGTGTGTGTGTGTTTATTTCTGTGTATGTGTGTGTCTGTGTGTGTGTGTGTGTGTATTTGTTAGCGGCTCCGCCCTCTCGGTCTGCTCAGCAACAGCATTTGTTGCATTTTTCAAACAGGAAGTGGGAGCAGAGTAATACTCTGGTCTTTAAAGAGCAAGTCACCCCCTACAAGAAACTTACTTCACTCCCACTTCATGTTTGAAAAATGCAACAAATGCTGTTGCTTGGCAGACCGAGAGGGCGGAGCCGCTAACAAATACACACACACAGGCTCACAATGGCATTATGACATCATAATATACCAGATGACATCATAGCATACCTCTTAGCCAATAGCAGTGGCAGATTTAAATTCAAATACAGTGCAGAATTTTTCCCTGACGACAGCGCAACACTGACAGTTTTGGGCAGAATATTTGAATTTTAACCAAGATGCACTGAAGTGCCAAATTATTGACGACACGTGTCTGCAGCACAATTAGACACTCGTTTATATAGTTTATCAGCAAAAAAAAAGTGATTTGGGGGTGACTTGCTCTTTAAAGAGCAAGTCACCCTCTAATAAACTTTTTTTTTGCTGATAAACTAAATAAACTAGTGTCTAATCGTGCTGCAGACGCGTGTAGTTAATAATTTGGCACTTCAGTGCATCTTAGTTAAAATTTAAATATTCTGCCTAAAACTGGCAGTGTTGTGCCGTTGTCAGGTGAAAACTGCACTGTATTTTAATTTAAATCTGCCACCGCTATTGGCTAAGAGGTATGCTATGACGTAAACTGGTACATTATGATGTCACAATGCTGTCGTGAGCCTGTGTGTGTGTATATTTGTTAGCAGCTCTGCCTTTTCGGTCTGCCAGGCAACAGCATTTGTTGCAGTTTTCAAACATGAAGTGGGAGTGGAGTTAGACTCTGGTAGGGGTTGACTATTTTTCTGTTTTTAAATGAAAAAAAGAAACTTCTGTTAAATTATCTAGACTCCTGAAGCTTTGAAAACCCTTCTCCATCAGATAAGCAGATGCAAACAAGAGAAGGGGACCAATGGTGGTGACCTTTTGGCAGATCTAAGATTTGAAGTTGCTGAACTCATGAATAAGTCCTCTTGCAGCAACGTATCTAAACCTCCATCAAAGTCCTGCTAAACGGCTACATAAACAAATACACCACAGAACAGCTGCTGCACAATAACGCGAGGAGGACAAAACATAAACGGTATGACTGATAATAGTGGTTTCTAATCATGTTGTAGCAGCAGCCTGAGGGAGTGAGCTGGTGTGGGTAACAGGTCTAACCAGCAGAGACGGATGAACACCTGATGCATCAGTAAACGAGAGGAAAATAGGCCATTATCAGTTTGAAGTCTGCTAATTGTGTCACTTTGATGGATGTTGCTAATAATGACAAAATCATTATAATTCTACACAGTAAAGTTTATTATTGCTAATCTAAGAGCTATGAAAAAAGGCTAGACCTGAATAATCTACAACAATATTAGATAACATATTTTAATGGGGTTTTCTCTGCATTTTAAATAAATGCTTCTATAATCGGCACAAGGAAACAATTTCTGTTAAATGCCAAACTATTCTTGTGCCTGCTATCTGTAGACAAACCTGCTATGATGAGGAATCCTGCTTTGTGTTGCGCATCTGATAACCTTCTAAACTGTGACCCTCTGCGCTTCGCGGCAGACAACATACATAGCATGTAGGAAAATATTCTCTTGAAATCGATCCTCGCTTCAGCTAACATGACAGTCCATCAGGAGAAGGAGCGATGCAAGGAACCGATGGGCATCGAGAGATCAAGGGGAATACCTCTAGGATTCATGTGCTTGAGACAAACAGCAGAGTAATCACTCAGAACAGGGAGGTAAATATCAGGCCACAGTCTGGCTCGTTTGCTTTGAGCTGCCCTGCTGGTGACAAGCAAGGTCAGAGGAATGTATGTCCAGTGTCCACCTGAGACCAGCAGGCAGATGCAGACACCCACCGCACAGCTACAAGGGACAAAATCTGCTTCAGACAGACAGTCGTTGGCAATCATGAAAATGGTCAGCAGATAGCATCAAACACTCCAGGGAAGGTATGAAGCAGGAAATATGATTACAGCACACACACAGACAGACAGACAGAGACAGACAGACAGACAGACAGAGACAGACAGACAGACAGAGACAGACAGACAGACAGACAGACAGACAGAGACAGACAGACAGACAGACAGAGAGAGAGAGAGAGAGAGAGAGAGAGAGAGAGAGAGAGAGAGAGAGAGAGAGAGAGAGAGAGAGAGAGAGAGAGAGAGAGATTTTTAAGTGAAGTTATGTCTCCATCTTATCTGTTAATTAATCTTTGGAGGAATGGTTTGATTCTGATCTGACTGATGTGCTACCGGCTAGTTGAGGTGGGGACCACAACCAAATACATTTCAGAAGTCAAATGTTTTATACAAGTTCATGTATTTATGAAATATTTGCAAGTTAGCATGACGTTATTAGCTACATAGCACTTCCAGCAGGAACATCGTGACATTTCCACCACAATGACAATGCACAGCTTCATGAAACTGTTCAACAGTAATTTATGGTCCACATGGATTAGTCAGTCAGATCAGAACTATTCTTTGTTTCTCCAAGCTGAGGTTTCACAAAGAGCTATTTGCGTCTTTCCACAGAATCACACTTGAAGACCAAGTCCACTTGTTTTACAATAAATCTGTAGTGGTCTCTATTACATAGTGGTCTTCCTCTTCTGGCTCTTGGAGAGTACAGACACTTTCTCTCCTCTCCCTCCCTGCTCCTCCCAAGGTTCTCTGTCCTGTCTGCCTGTGCATTGCGCTTCTCTGCATTTTTTCTGGAAACTGGAAATTATTAAACATGGATCTGGCCAGTTAGTCTCTCAACGCAATTGACAAAATCTTTTCAATGATGAAAACGGGAGAAGGGGCTCCCGGATGCCCCTCTGGGACAGAGCCAGCTGGGTATATCATGGACTCCTGGAACAAGTGGAACCTGATATGCCTCTCTCAACCGTCTGTAGACGATTCTGAAGATGTTTGTGTCACACCCTGTCCTGTCTCCCTGTTTGTTTCAGCCTTGTGTCTCGTTAATTACTCCCACCTGCCTCTCATTTTCCCGATCACCTTAGCTCCCGGTCCTCCTGTATTTAAGCCCCGTCTATTTTGTGTCCTGTGCCGGTTCATTGTTTCATTGTCCAGCGTGTCTCAGAATAAATCATTGTAAGAAGTCCTACCTGTCTGCCTGTTTCCTCCCCGGTCTGGATCCGCGCCTTTCCTCGGCTTACTTCACCGGCACGCCTGACAGTTTGGATATTTGTCGTTTTGGTGTCGGGATTCCTGCCGTTTGGCCTGAGCGGTTACCTGGCTTAATGGAAAATTAACGAGCTTTCGAGGAATACTGGCTTAATCCCGGAGCTCAGGGATGGAATGCATCATGCTGTAAACTCACAAACTCATATCATTGTCGAGATGAGTCATAAGCTTGGAACTTTAGCTGAGATTCAGGCTCTGGCACAGAAGGTTGTTTCGATCAAGGAGAGAGTTGACGGATCAGCACGGATCGGAATAGATTGATAACGCCATTATTGGACCTGGAGGGGTTGAAGACCAACAGAACTCTAAGGCAGAGAGGAAATTATCTCTGCCTGCAACCAAAACAGTTCTTGTTATCTGAATCTGGTGCCCTTGAAGCCTGTGAGGCTGAAGTAAAAACTCCCCCCTCAGAAGAAATGTGGAATGCTGCCGTCGCTATGGAAACCCTTTCTCTCTATCCCAGCCTGGGCGGGACTGTGACCGGTGAAGGCCGTGGAACCGTGTCTAGGATTCAATGGGCTCTCTAACTCATTATCTCCCTCTGCTGTCCAAACGGAGGTGATGAACGCTGCTCTTGCGGCTGCACGCTCTGAAGTGAGGAGAGTTTCAACTCTACCTCCCCACCTAGTGGATACTTATGTTGTGTATCGTCTGAAGTCAGTGTGCATATCTGTCTGAGGTGTTTTTTTGCATAGCAAAGCTATCCTCTCTGTCAGGGGAAACTCTGAAGTGCCTTTTTCCCTCCCTCTGACTCTATCCTCAGATAAACCCTCTTGATTTATAACGGTAGCGCGACTCGTGTTGCGAATTACCACAGTCACCAATTCTTGTCATGTGTCTATGTATGTATGTCTGATCTTGGAATTGTCTGTGCTGGAACAATTGAATTTCCCTCTGGGATTAATAAAGTATTTTTGAATTGAATTGAATTGAATTGAAATGAATGGATTTGGATTCTTATCTCCTGATATTTAAACATCTTGTCTCTGATTGGCTAACAGCAACGCTACTCTACCACTGGCTCTGCTTTGCAACATTGATGTTTTACCTCCACAAAAACCTCATGCCTGAAGTTGTTGGTTCATGAATTGGATGTTCTAATGCTAACAGTTAGCTTCTACTAGCAGACACATGCTATACTCTCTCCTGGATGCTAAATTAACAACAGCTTTGCATTTCACAAGCCACGATGGGTGAGTCCATGAATGCCAATTTACAGCGTGACATAAATCTGACAGGCTTTTCTAATCTGAGCATTTGCATCTATTTTCAATCGGCTGCTAATACGGGAAATAGCGGCAGAAGATTTTCACATTCAGCCTGTATGAAAAACTCAGAGTAACTGATCCTATTTCAGAAAGAACGAGTAAAAAACTGTTTCTCAGTGAACCTGCTCTTTAAAAAAACAATAGAGCTAAATCCCCATTAAAACACTAAAGAGCTAAAAGCAGGAGCACATGTGGAACTGATGGCTGCCATGCTCACTCAGCAAAGCGTTTGAGCATGGACCAACACAACTGAGGATGACCTACTTTCCCCCTTCACTCTCTCTACTGTAGCCCTGCCTCCCAAAGTAAAATCCTCTACAGTCAGGTTTAACAGAGTGTGCAGTGAAGTCTCTCTAGGCGCACTGTTTGTTGTCTAGTCCTCTTTTTCCTCTGAAAGCACGATTTAAACCATAAGGTTAATGGAGCAGAGCATATCCTTACAGGCTCCATGTTCACCCTCCCTCACCATCACTACTGCGCTCTGGAGGTGTCTCCATCCAGAGATGGAGATGTAATTTCCCCTCTTCCACGACACCGACAAGACATACGGTTCCACTCTTTGCTTTATCGTCTGCAGTAGGGAGCGGGGTGGGGGACGGGAGCCATGGCTCACATGTGTGCTAAACAAGAGCTGAGTGTGAAGCCTAGAGTGAGAAAATGCATGAGCCTGTTTTAAGGGTTTAAACGAACGATCAAGGAGAAGAGATGCTGACCAGAGGAATCAGTCTCTAATTGTGTAAACTCACACACTTTACGGTACAGATGCCTTCACGTGGAGTTCCCATGAACAATTAAAGAGCATGCAAATTGTGATTTCAGCTCATCTGTAAAGCATCTGTGTGCAGAAATAAAACAAAAAGTACATGAAAAGGTAAATGATCTTGTGGATTTTGCATAAGATTCAAAAATCAAATCACAGCTTTGATCCATCTTTTTAAGGTAACATAAAACTAAATGTGTACACAGATCATTCAAAACCGTGTGGAATAATAACTTTTGTCACTGGAGGCAGAAGCCATTTCCTCAACGGTGCACGATGAGTAAGTGGTGGCAGATTAGTGGAAGAGGCGATGGCGGTGGTGAGTGTTGACATGAGGGCGTGGAACCCGGAAAGTCAACGGCTCATACCAATTGTCTACAACAGGTAGTGGATGTGACACACCACAAGTTCACTGAGTCACCTCACTCTTACACAAGTGTTCAAAGATTAATCAGAGGCCGTCACACGTTTCTAACCCTTTATCTGTACTAATAAAGCAAATTAGTCTGTGTGTTAAATAAAAAATAAAGTTTCATACCAGAGTTCATACGATCACGCAGATTTTCTACATGTAAACAATTGAATCAGCTGTATTGTTTCAGTTAAAAGATGAAATCAAGGTTTCAACGTGCACAAACGTCTCTGGAGAGAAGTGAATTAAAACTGGGTAAAACCAGAAAAACAGCTATTATGGATCAAAGTATTAGCTACAAGTGAGTGATTAATTTAACGTTAATCTGGAATAATGAGCCCATTCACAGTGAAGTAGTAATTATTGTGCAGAGAAAACTGTAAAAACACCAAAAGACTGGTTAAATGGCTAAGGCGACATTAAGGGGTTTTATTTTGACTGCTGCCTTGGTAAATAGGCTAAATCGAGCAAAAGTCTGGAGTATGCACTTCTAAATGATGATGAGAAAAGAGATTTAATTCTTCTGATACGATTCCTGAGAAAGTCCCTTAGGTCAAAAGCTGTCCAGTATGTGTCTCTGAGTGACACATGGCATTGTGCATCTTTGTGTGTGTGTGTGTGTGTGTGTGTGTGTGTGTGCGTGTGTGTGTGTGTGTGTGTGTGTGTGTGTGTGTGTGTGTGTGTGTGTGTGTGTGTGTGTGTGTGTGTGTGTGTGTGTGTGTGTGTGTGTGTGTGTGTGTGTGCGTATAGGTTTTGTGTCAGTGAAAGAACAGAAAACTGCATCAAAAGCTTTCCTGTCCCAAAACTGCTCGTGTAATCCTGAGTCACATGAACGAGAGTGAGCCGACTCAGATGCTGGTCTGCAGAGGTCACACAACAAGCTCTTCCCTCTGCTGCCTGAAGAGTACCTGTGGACTGCCTCCCCTCCTCCCTCTCTCTCTCTCTATCGTCTCTCAGATCATCAGTGTAAAAGACGGCATTGTTCCTCACACCAGCATGAAAATATTAACTTCACCCTGCAGGCGTGTGTTCTGCAGGAGTGTCCTGTCTGCTGACCCGACTCTTTCTGGCCCCCCATGTCCATGGCACTGACATGGAGGTCGGCCATGATGCTATAAAGGATGAGCGTGCAAACAAACTGCAATTAAAGGTGCAAAAACCAAAAAGAGGTCCTAATCTGAGGGTTTTATTTCTGGAAATGGGATGCACAAAAACTGACCCCAGAGGTGGAGGTGTTATCACAAACCCACACCACGGAATATGTGGCGCCAAACCTCTTTATAACACTTATACGACACTTTTAACAGGTTTTTGTGTTTTACTGTGGGAAAAATAAGACCTTCTATCATCTGCCCTAGCACGAGACAAAACACACTGTGTGGTATTTAGTTCTTGCCAAGGCTAAGAGGAGAATGTCTGGGAAACATCTTCATCCTGGGGGAATGACCTCCCAGCACAAGCTCTGTACCATGTGAGGGGTTATCATCACAACATAAAAAGCAGAAGAAAAAAATCTGAATCAATCATGAGACATTTTGTGTCTGGAGGAGATAGAATGTCCTTTAATCAACTCACCAGCTCATCCAGATTTCTCATGTCCAACAAGACTCTCTTCTGCGGCCAGATGTGTGGCTCTGGATCAGGTTCCTCCTCATCCTCCACACTTTCGTGGCTCTCCTTCCGACCATTGCACCTGCTGGGTGAGCTCTGCTCTGCTGGCAGCTCCCTGGTGATCCGCAGGCTCTCCTGGTCCCGAATCTCCTCCTCGATCTCCTCCTCCAGCTGGATCAGCATGGGGGCCAGCATGCCAAACTTGGACCCTCGCCGCGCCACCTCGAGCAGACACAGGATGAAGTTCTTCTCATTGCATCTCTCCACCAGGTCGTTGGTTTCAAACATGAGAACGTCCTTGATCCAGAGCTCCTGCCTGCACCAAGCAATGAAATTGGAAACGTTGTCCCGCGCCAGGAACGAGCCGGGAACGACATTGCGGGACTGGAAAACCACATCCTTCGATGGCACCTTCATGGACTGCGCTGCCTGCGGGGACTCCAGCTGGAATTCCTGTGCGGTGCGGTTCACGTTGTTGGCGTGCCGACACAAGGCGCAGCCCGTCTCCAGCGCATCCATGAAGGTGTCCGCGGTGATGTCCAGATCATACAGGGTGTTCAGCCATTCGGCCAGATCCTCCTTCATGGCATACAGGTACTCCTCACTGGATTTGAAAGGCCTGATGCTCTTGGAGGCGGCAGACTGAATGTTGCTCTGATCAGCCATATTGTCAGATTATCTACCAATAACCTCTACTTGATTATTCCCGATCGCCTCATGGCGCAACCGCGCTAACAAGCCTCATCCGTGGAAACGTGCGCCGTTTTGACGCACCCATGTCGATTTGCGTGTGTAATTCCTTACGGGAGCTAATTGAATCCAGGCTTTGTGCTGTCAGGAGCACATCGGGATGCGGAGCGGCCGTGGTGCATGGATGCGTTTCCGGATGTGTGCGAAAGCCGCTTCCTCCACAGGGCGCATCGCCGCCGGGTCCTGGAGCGACAGCAAGGACTGGACTCTCACGAGCAGTAAACCCAGCCGATCGGCCGCTAATTCCCACATGTCACCGTCATATCCGTCCGATCCGAGGCGGTGAAATCCCGACTCCCAGTCCGAGGCGCGCTCCCTGCGATCAGGCTCAGCCCATGCCGAACGACGCGCCGCCTCTGAATACGTTGACCTGCTGTGGCTTAAAACTAGCAGAGCGATTCGGTGGCACATCCCATTATGAAGGATCAAGGAAGAGGAGGAAAACTTAACCCCATGTTCACCAACACGCGCTGAAGCAAAGAGGCTGGTGTGATTAAGGGCAAGGGCCAGAAGGAAATGAATCATTCATAAAACAGATTTCAAATCTCAAACTAGTTTTCACAAGAAAAAAACTGGCAGGAAAAAATCTGCATTATGAAAGACAGTGCCACGTTGTGCCTTCAGTTTTTAAACAAATCAGATTTAACAAAATATCTGCACAATCCAAAACCACAAATAATTTAAATAATCTAGTCAAATTCACCAAGCAGTAAACCGGCGTATTTAAATGTTCAGTACAAAGCAGCCAATTCAAGAGCCTCTGTGTGCATGATGCCTGCAGGAAGGGCAGAAGAACCTAAAGCAGAGATGTCCAATCCTGCTGAAGGACCACCATTCAATATGATTCTGCATATTTGAATTTCTGCAAATCTATTCATTTGAACTAGTTGAAGCAGATAAATAAAAAACTGGGGTCTGCAACCTGCAGCTCTGGAGCCACAATGTCTCCCAACTGATAAAAAAAATATTGTAAATGAAGATTTTCTTTTAGGGGGAAATGCAGGTTTGAGCAGCTAGCCGGTTTTGTCATGGTAAAAAGAAAAAAGTATTGAGCATCACAGAGTGACATTGAAATACCTGTAATATTTTCAGATGTTTTGTTTTGTTTATCAGGATAATCATTTTGTCAGTTTTGTTTATCAGGATAATTTGTCACAAATGGCCTGTATTTGATTTAGCTCTAGAGTCCTAGAACCCCCCAAGGTGCTTTACAACACAATCATTCACACACACACACACACACACACACACACACACACACACACACACACACACACACACACACACACACACACATTCCACGCTGATGGTGAGGCGCTACAGCCACAGCTGCCTTGGGGCACACTGACAGACATGAGGCTGGCAACACCGCTCCCTCCGACCACCACCACCGGGTTAAGGGTCTTGCCCAAGGACACAGCATTCTCTGATCAATCCTACAACCCTCCTCTGATTTGTAGACAACACACCCTACCCTCCTGAGCTACTGCTGCATATATAAACCCCCCCCCCCCCCCAAAAAAAACATATCTACCAGTTTTTGCACATTTTTCTTCATTTTAAAACCTAATAAATCCAGTGATTTAGTCAACACACATAACTGAACAAATAATACAAATACTGTCAGAATCCTGACTTTTGTCACGAGGTGGTTTTGGAGAGAGTTTAGGACCCAAGATGCAGAAACAGATAACAAGGCAGGAGGTGGAAAAAACGTAAAATTCTTTTATTAAGGAGTAAATCCAGAGAATGCAGGGCGCCAAAAACAAAATCCAAAAATCCTAATAACTAAACCTGGAGAATCCAAAAACACAAGAGACCTAGAGATTCTTAGAGGGGGACGAGACGAGGCTGACACAAAACAATGAACCAGCAACACACTGAGACGCAGACAGGGTTAAATACACTGGATGAGAGGGAGATGAGCTGCAGGTGTGTGGGGAGAGAAACCTAGTGAACTAAAATAACTAATCAGGGAGAGGAAAGTGAGCTGAGGAGGGGAAAATAACTTGACCTAAGAGTAAAAACAAAACCTGAAGACAAGAAGATTAAGATAAACAACTAATGAGATAAGGAGGAAGGAGAACTAAAGAACCGGTGGGAACACACTAAAAGAGACTAATAAATGAAAAGCTGAACCTATAGGAAACAACTACAGAAAGAAAAACTACAGAGGTGTGACTAAGGGAGACCACGAGAGCAATGGACCTGGGGGGATACCTGGGCAGGGGGAAAATCTAGGGGCTGCATATCAGGGAACACATGAGGAAGATGCAGACAAGGACACATGAGGGAGCTAGTAGACACATAAGGAGAACCTAGAGAGGTATGGAGAACACAAGGAGACACATGAGGGAGACGCAGACACAGACCATGACAACTTTAATCTAAAGATTCTCACTTTATTCTAAAATAAAATCTGAAAATAAAAAAAACCACCTCTTTCAGTGGCCCTAATCCTCTTCCGTAGACATTTATCAAGAATTATAGACAAGTTTTACTCAGATGCACTGAGGGGGAAACGTCTGGAATCCCTGATCTATGCAGGACAGTAGCTCTAGAGGACTAGATTGGACACCAATGAACTTTAGCCCCTCTAAAAGTCTGCAAAGAATATTTTCTCACCATTGTGCGGATCCAGCGGTAGAGATCTCCTACATCAGTCTACCATCTTAGGCGAGCTGTTGTATATAGAGCCTTGTTCCACAGACACCAACAAGGTATTCTCTGAATGAGAGCATGCCATCCATCCCTCCATCCATCCATTTTCATCCGCTTATCCAGAGTCGGGTCGTGGGGCAGTAGCCTAAGTCGAGAGGCCCAGACTTCCCTCTCCCCAGCAACTTGGGCCAGCTCCTCCGGGGGAATCCCAAGACGTTCCCTGGCCAGGTGAGAGACATAGTCCCTCCAACGTGTCCTGGGTCTACCTTTAGGTCTCCTCCTGGTTGGACGTGCCCGGAAAACCTCACAAGGGAGGTGTGCAGGAGGCATCCTGACCAGATGCCCAAGCCACCTCAACTGGCTCCTCTCAATGTGGAGGAGCAGCGGGTCTACTCCGAGCCCCTCCCTAATGACCGAGCTTCTCACCCTATCTCTAAGGGAGAGCCCAGCCACTCTTCTGAGAAAACAAATTTTGGCCGCCTGTACTCTCGATCTCGTTCTTTCGTCACTACCCAAAGCTGATGACCATAGGTGAGGGTAGTTACATAGATCGACCGGTAAATCGAGAGCTTCGCCTTCTGACTCAGCTCTCTCTTCACCACGACAGACCGGTACAACGACCGCATCACTGCAGATGCACCACCAATCCGCCTATCGATCTCACGCTCCAGCTTTCCCTCACTCGTGAACAAGACCCCGAGATACTTAAACTCCTCCACTTGGGGCAGGACCTCATCCCTGGCCCGGAGGAGGCATTCTACCCTTTTCCGAATCAAGACCATGGTCTCAGATGTAGAGGAGCAGATTCTCATCCCAGCTGCTTCACACCCAGCTGTGAACCGCTCCAGCGAAAGCTGAAGATCACGTTCTGATGAAGCCAAAAGGACCACATCATCTGCAAAAAGCAGAGACCTGATCCTCAGGCCACCAAAACGGATGCCCTCCACACCTTGACTGCACCTAGAAATCCTGTCCATAAAAGTTATGAACAGAATCTGTGACAATGGGCAGCCTTGGCGGAGTCCAACTCTCACTGGGAACGAGCCCGACTTACTGCCGGCAATGCGGACCAAGCTCTGACACCGGTCATACAGGGACCTAACAGCCCGTATCAGAGGGCCTGGTACCCCATACTCCCGGAGTACCCCACACAGGGCCCCTCGAGGGACGTGGTAAAATGCCTTCTCCAAATCCACAAAACACATGTAGACTGGTTGGGCAAATTCACATGCACCCTCCAGGATCCCCCTAAGGGTATAGAGCTGGTCCAGTGTTCCACGGCCAGGACGAAAACCACATTGCTCCTCCTGAATCTGAGGTTCAACAATCCGCCGGACCCTCCTCTCCAGAACCCTGAATAGACCTTACCAGGAAGGCTCAGGAGTGTGATCCCCCTGTAGTTGGAACACACCCTGCGGCCCCCTTTTTAAATAAGGGGACCACCACCCCGGTCTGCCAGTCCAGTGGGACTGCCACCGATGTCCACGTGATATTGCAGAGCCGCTTCAGCCAACAGAGCCCCACAACATCTAGAGCCTTAAGGAACTCCGGGCGGATCTCATCCACCCCTGGAGCCTTGCCACAGAGGAGCTTTTTAACCACCTCAGTGACATCAGCACCAGAGATTTGAGAGGCCAACCCAAAGTCCCCAGACTCTGCTTCTTCACTGGAAGACGTGTCGGTGGGATTGAGGAGGTCTTCGAAGTATTCTGCCCACCGATCCACAACGTCCTGAGTAGAGGTCAGCAGCACACCATCCCCACTATAGATAGCGTTGGTAGCGCACTGCTTCCCCCCCTGAGGCGCCGGATGGTGGACCAGAATCTCCTTGAAGCCGTAAGGAACTCCTCCCATGCCTGGGTTTTTGCCTTGGCGACCACCCGAGCCGCGTTCCGCTTGGACTGCCGGTACCCGTCAGCTGCCTCTGGAGTACCACAGGCCAAAAAGACCTGATAGGACTCTTTCTTCACCTTGACAGCATCCCTAACCGCCGGTGTCCACCAGCAGGTTCGGGGGTTGCCACCATGACTGGCACCGACGATCCTGCGACCACAGCTCGGGTCGGCCGCCTCAACAATGGAGACACGGAACAGGGTCCATTCAGACTCAATGTACCCCGCCTCCCCCGGAGCATGAGAGCATGCCCAGCTACTAAATCTCTTCGTGTGGTTTTAAACCGCTTTAAAAACTAGTAAATTTCTTTTACTATGAGCCTTTTATTTTTATTTATTCTCAGCATTATAGCAAACGGCTGTTGTTTTACTGTATCTGGCTTGTTAAGCACTTTGGTCAGATGTTATGCAGTTGTAAAGTTTTATTTAAAGACGACTTCACTAAATCAGATTCATTTGGGCCAAAAGATCATGACCAGCAGACTAGGAATAATGCAAAATCTAAAAACTTCAAACCTTCTGACTCAGTCCTTGATGAGCATACCTTTGTGATGCATTTTCCCCTGCCCAAATCCCGAAACATCATCTTCAGTTTTAGCGTTATCAGTGCAGTACGCTTGTTTTCTGATGCAGTGAAATCCTTCATGATTTAAATAATTGGTTAAACACTTGGATGCATCTGCAAATTCAATGTGGCTACATAAAGTGCACTTACATGTTTCCCACAAAAATCTAGTAAAATGATTGACTTCCCATTGATTGGACAAACTTTTTGCTCTTCAAGTGTGGCAGTTGAAATTAGAGCAGTGTTTGCCAAAAAGGAGGGCTTGTTTTCATTTAAAAAGAGGGACGTGTCTGTTTAAGAGAGGAAAAGAAAGGAGGGGCGAGGCTGGAACAGAAACAGAACAGAGAAAAAGTGCATGGGAGAAGGTGGAGGGGTTGATGAGATCATTTTCTACGCCTGCATGAATCAGCTTTTTTTCTCAGTGAAGAAACAACGAACTGGAGGAGAACACAGAAATATTTACACATGCAGCTAAGGGTTCCTGAGCTTCGTGGGCTCTGATGTCAAAGAAAATAAATGACTTTTGTTCCCTCCATCCAGATTTTAGAGGCAGGGAACAGGACAAGTGAAGATGTTTAACAAAACAACACCCCAACTGGAGAATAAACTGAATGTTACATTCAAATAAAGGTCAAACTGGTGTGCAAAAGACTTGTTAGACTTTTTAAAAGTGCTCTACAATGAGGGATTACTGCTGTTTAATGTGGCCACACAGTCTAAAAATAGCTGTTTCATTCAAAAGCAACATTTCTCACTATATGACCAGGATCAGATTTGATGAAAGCAAACCAGTTACTGCTATATTTATAGTTACTGGTTCAGACCCCAGGGAACATGTTGACTCATTTATTCTTATTTCAATCACACATATGTGAACCCCACCATGTTAGAGCAGAAAGAAGTCTCCTTTAAACTGGTACCACCTAGTGGCAGGAAGTCTAACAGCAGAGGGCAAAAATCAGTTAAATGTTTATGCCACATGGATTCATTCACACGAACACATTAGATCTTATATTTCTGTAAAAACATGACTGCTAATTTAAAATACCTGTATGAAAAATAACCAACAAATCTTTGGGTTTAGACTGGTGAAGGTTTTCAGTCATCCAGGTCATGGTAGTCCAAAAGGGTTCAAATGAAAGCAACTGGACTTCTTTGGTTTGATGTTTCGCTTCTCATCCGAGGACATTTGTCAGTTCTGACTGGAATACGGGAGCATCAAGTTTATAAACTGTAGTTGTCTATTGTTGCTACAGCTTATAAACTTGACTCTCCCATATTCCAGTCAGAATTAACAAAGCTCCTCGGATCAGAAGCAAAACATCTGCAGGAAGCCAAAAGCCCGGTTGCCTTCATTTGAACCCTTTTGGGCATCATGTTTATAAGCTTCACTTTGAAAGTGGAGGAATGTTTCAGCATTTATTACAAAAATAGATTCAAACTTAGCTCTTAAAGCAAACACGGCCCTTAGAGTTAAACAAATAATAATCTGGTTTTATTGCCCTTACATCAACTTAAGTAAAAGAAAAGCCACAATTCAACATGAAATGAGTAAAACTTTATTTCCCACTTTAATCATCATACAACAGTACGTTTTTGGAAACAGGAGAAACTTGTGACAACCAATGAAAACTATTGCATTTTACATTACAATTCTAAACTTAATCTGCATTTTTAAAAATAAACAAAAGACATGCACAATACAAGATGTAGCATAAACATAGACCAACTAAAAAATGTAAAATTAAATTGAAAACAGAGTTCACCAACTGCACAGGTTGTGTGAAAGCAGTTCAATAACCATCAAAATCTGGAATCATAAATTAAAACTTCCTTTAAAATTCAGATTCCACACAAGGAACTGTCCAGAAGTTTTCCTTCAGTAAGGGCGGTCCCTACGCTCCTGGCGATGGTCCCTAAAAGAGCAGCACAAAGAGGAGATGATCCAGTTATTTACAGTGAGAATAACATGTTTTTGCTGCCCTCAAGAGCCACGCTCACCTCATTTCCATCTTGCCACCTGGCGGTCCCATTCCTCTTCCCCCTCTGCCACCCATTCGGTCCATAGGTGGGCCTCCCCGCCCAGCACCACGGAACCCCCCCCTGTCCATTCCACCGCGTCCTCTGAATCCACCGCGGTCACCTCCCCACCCTCCTCGGAAACCTCCAGGTCCACCTGGGCCGCCGACTCCCGCTGGCCCTCCACGGTCCATTCCTCTTCCCCCACGCATTCCCATTCCCCCTCTGCCTCTTTCACCTCCTGGGGGAAAAGGGGGACCACCGCCTAAGCCCTCAGGCTTGGGAGCTTTGCACTGGTTACACTCCATCCTCCAAGCAAAGTTTTGGTTTCCACACCCCCTGTGAACATGATAAAAACCAAAATGACCCAAGAGTCCAGGAAAGGAGTTTGGAAAAGCTCTACATCACAAGGCTACACATACGGATTAGGACACTCCCAGTCTCCAGCTCTCTGCTGCATGTTTCCTCCGGTAGGTCCACCTCTGCCCATTCCACGTGGACCCCCTCGTGGGACAAAACCACCACGCTCTCCTCCTCGGCCCATCATACCTGACACAGAGATAACAAAATGAGAATAACTTGGTTTTTTTTCTCCATTTAACACTTGGATCAGTTTTTAAACACAGCTGAATGTGGTAAGATGAACATGAACGCTGCCATTTACCTCCACGACCCATCATCCCATCTCGCATGGGCATGCCCCCCCTCATTCCTCCCATCATGGGTTTTCGGCGTGCCATGGCCACCTTGAGCCTTCGGCCTTGAAACTCTTTCCCTTTATTAGAAAACCATGAAATCACTCATTAGTAAAACAAGGAATAAACCGTATGAAAACTGCTCGACTGATGTTTAATCTGTAAACGCTACCATCAAAATGCTCGACGGCCGCTTTGGCACAGACGGGCTCCTCGTAGGACAGGGTGGCATCACCCTTGGGCTTCCCCGACTCCTTGTCTGTGTAGATATTGATAGCAGGCTGGCCCAATCTGCGATTCATCTTCACACACACACACACAGAGGAGCAAAGTTAGTTTCTAAATCGGTTTACCTTTGCACCGACTTACAATAAAACCACATCAATCCTTAGTTTCCAGCAGGTTTTAACACCAATCAAAATACATCAAAATGACTGCTGTCTCACAAGCAAAGAAAATGTGTTATTTTTACCCTTATTGGACCGACGTGCTTAAAGAATTCAGCCATTTCCTCTATGTTGGCCTTCTCGGTCAACCCTGTGATGTAGATCGTGCTGTTCTCCGAGTCATCCTGCTCCTCTGGTCGTCCTACAGAAGTTATGAGAGAATAACCGATGTCATTCATTTTCAGGTGATTATAGACGATGTTAAGCAGAGCTCTACTCACCCATTTCACGGTCGTCACCCATTGGTCCTGTCATCCATCAGTCGAAGAAAGAAAATAAAAATAAACAGATTGAGAAGTCAGTGTGTGGAACAGCGATCCAATAGAAAACACCTGAGAAATGCTAGATTATAATCCAAACACTCCCTTTAAGGGAAATGACTCATATTAGGGAGTTGAAAACTGTATTTTATGGTACACAATTCCCACAAATGATAAACTGAATAGAGAATTGAACACTTTTAAGATGCTTTTGACCCAAAAATGTGTCGTACGACAAGCCTTAAAGACCAGAGCGATATCCTCCAAAAATGTAAATGAATTCAGCTCAAATCTGTCAGAGCAACGCTTAAGAAATTTGTTTTTACCCCGTCTAGAACTCAAACCAAAACCAGTGACTGAATTATAAAAGTACCCAGGAGCAAATGGTCTTAGGCGTAAAAACAAAACAAATTGTCATCAGTGTGTAATTTTGAATACCACAATGTAAATCATCAATGGCATAGTTACCCAAAAGGTTTAAGGTTTTGAAAGGACTAACCAGTGTAGTACTCGTTAACTTACCACCAGGCTTACTGAAGCCACCTCTCTCTCCAGCGCTGCTAGGGGGGAATAAATGGAGATATGAAGGCGTTTCCCCTTTACAGCCACTTCCACGGCTCGAGCAAAGTGGCTTGATTGAGGGAGTAATCAAAACATTCTAACTAATCCGACAGCAACTTAAATGAGCTTCCCTAAATTAAAATCACAATCTCATTGAGGTGCTCATTAACTACGTGCCATTTCTTAGCTTAGTACAGTCTCAGTAGTGGATACAAAAGCAAAAACATTTATGACTAACATGTTACCATGTGACAAACATCTGTACACAAGTAGAACTATTTCAGATGCATTGATGGCACCCACCAGGTACCTAAAGCATGTCATTGGCTGATTAACAGTTCTTTTATGTTACAACTTAAATGTAGAAATGACAATGCACCTGAAATTTCACAGAAGCAATGTGATCACATTTACCATGTAATAAAAATATTTACACATTGTACATTTTCTTTAAATCAACACCAAAAATATATATATATTTACATTGTTTTCTGGGGATATTTTAAAAATAAAAACAAAAATAAACCAGATACACCCATCTGCTTAGTAAACAAAACAAACACCATCCTCAGTTGTTGAAAAAAAGGCAGACTTGAATCTTTGTTTAAGCTCCTTCCTGCTGCTTAAGCTGGAGACTCTGCACTGAGTACAGATACTTTTAGAGAAAAGACGCTTTTAAATGGCTCTCACTGTTACCTGCACAGTATAAATGTGACAAAGCATGTTAAAAAGTGCTCAAAAGAAAATCAGACATTGGTTTACCAAACCACAAAACAATTTCAGACATTTCATGAAGACAAAGATCCCACCCACCCAAATACCTGTGCAAAGCGTGCTTAGGCTAAAATGCTAACCCAACTAAAAACCTGTGAATAAAAGTAACTGTTTTGATATTTATATATTGGCTTTCTTTCTCGTAAACAAATGGAACCCACCTCCCACCTCTGTGTTAGAGTCTCGTATTGAGTATTTGTACTTGAGTGTTTATGTAAATATACTTTTTAAAATAATATTACTGGTTACAATAAAAACACTCCTAGCAGTTTTCAGTGATTAACAATAAAGTTTTCTTTATCAAAAAGAAACCAAGAGTCCTGATTATTTCTGGCACAAAACATGTTTTTCCAAACCAACTCTAAACATTGAAAAACCTCAACTCTTCTATTTCATACTTGAAAAATGTTTTGTGAATCAAACGAATGACTTAAAAAAGCCAACTTGTTGCTTAAGTCTAAACTAGGCTGAAACAAATAATCGAATAGCTTGATTGAATAAAAATGTTCAATTTACATTTTTCAAATTGGCGCTTCATTTTTTAAAAATCACTTGTGGGTCATAACTATCTTCTTCTGGTTACTTGACTCAACAGGCCGCTTGTTCAGCAGCTCCAACAGATCATGCAGTTAGAGCGATCAACAGGGCCAATGGCAAAAGGGAAAAGACTCAGAAAACGCCAAAAAGTTTCCAAAGTGTGGAATATTTTAAACTCAAGCCAATGCTACACTAGCATTGTGCTAACATTTGCTTGTCAGCTCACCTAATAACCCCATACATGTTTTTTATTTTCAGTTATGTTTCAGTTTTATCTTTATGGTAGAAAATATAAAAATCACACTTGTGATCAAATCTTATTTGATGGATATTTCTCTTCTCAGTGGCCTACTGGTATACGTGTCCACCCTGGGATGATTGGGAAATCAGGGCTCAAATCCCTGCCAGGTCATACCAAAGACCCAACGCCTCCCTGCAGCAAACACTCAGATTAGTACCTACACGGAGTAGATAGCTGCTTCTCTAATTCCTGCCACTTTTTACATTAATAATTTTATCATGAGTGTTTTATTAGTTCTTATATTTGCTTATCTCTTAATTAATTTTTTTTCTTTTTTCTCTTTCTTACCTTCTGCACCAAAATACCGCAGCAATTTCCTAATGTTGTGACTTGGCACACATATGGCAATAAAAACTTCTGATTCTTGACACTCGGCTTTAAGGGGTAGGATTGGAGGGTTTAACCACCTAATAGTTCCTAAGCGTGGCAACTGCTACAGCTCACCGCTCCCCACGAGATGTAATTTCACCAATGTGTGAAGGTGACTAATGGGACTTTGACTTTATTTGTTAGTTAAACTAAATTTTTTCTTTGTTTCAGGAATTGGATTCAATTAACAGATTGGTCTGGGCGAATCCATCCTTCTCAGCTGAACATGCACCACAGTTAACAGGCAGCAAATGAAATAACTGGTACTGCTCCCGTTTTATCATATTTTCAAAGCAAAATAAATATAAAGGCTTATCCAATTAATTGACTGGCAAATTGACCGATTAATGAAATAATTGACAGCTGCAGCCCTGGTCTCAACCAAAACAAATGTACATCAATACCTGTGACAACAGCTCTGAAATTATTCACTACTAATTTCCAATAATACTGAATGGATGAGTAAATTTGGTGTTTAATGAAAGTAAGTTTTTTAAACAAGACTAAAGACAGATATATTATTTTCATGGGGAACTTTTTTAAATAAATTGTGGCATTACACAAAGGTATAATCCACCTGAACAACATTTAGACTACAACTATCCCAACATCCATGGACTGACAAAACTGCACAAACAGTCCCACAACCACCCTAAAAGTCATCGCTAGCAGTTAAGTGGTCCTGTGTTAGCACAAGTTTTAGATTTTAGCCTCTCTGGGTGGTTTAGAAGTTCCCCTGTCCAACTCTGACAGACCGTGACATCACCAAAAACTTTCAGTGAATGTTTAAAAGTGTACACATTAGAAAATATTTGAGTAAAATTCATTTAACCCCAGTTTGGTACCTTCTCAGTGGCCTAGTGGTAGATAGTCTACCCTGGGACTGGGAGATCGGGGTTCAAAATAAGACCCAATGCCTCTCCACTTGACACTCTGCTTTTAAGGAGTTGGATTGGAGGGTTACACCACCAAATAGTTCGTGAGTGCAGTCAAAGCTGCAGCTCAGCACTCCCCACAGGGATGGGTTCAAATGTGGAGATGTCATTTTACCAGTGTGTGATGATGACTAATGGGACTTTACTTCTTTACTCTCAAACAGAAAACCCATTAAAAATGATCCCAAAATCACTTCAGGGTTTAACGCAATCAGTTTTCATCATTTGAAAACAACTCAAGACATTAGAAACCCATAAAGAGCAGCTGGGGGGGCAGCTTCCTAACTTTGTAATTTACATTTGACCACAAGTATTTTTCATCTTAGACCTCAGTAATCCTTCCTCACACCAGTAAAAATGTCATAAAAAAGGTGCATTGTCAGTGAAAATTGTCCCAAAGACTCATTAACACCCTACAAATACCATAAAAATGGGGGGAAAGTCTTGAGAACAAACTGTTGACAGCTTGACAGCATTTGAGCAGAAAAAATTGGTGCTGCACCACTCCACTAAAAGTTAATGTTTAATTTTTGCGGGGCACAAAGAACTATAAACCTGAAAAACACTGAAATCTTGCATGTTTTGTTTTTGAGCCACTTCAGTGGGTTTGTGTCACCCTAATAAAATTAATTTGATTTGTAAAATATTTGTTGATTGTTAAATGAACAACGCCTGACAACTCCCCAAACTGTAATTCCCCAACTATCCAAACCACAACACTGACCCATTAACACATAATTATATATTAACTATTCACCCTAATGTTTATGCACAGGTCTCTGTACTAAAATAATTTGTAAGAAAAAGGAAATATGCTTACCTCAAACCAGAAGAGGCAGGGCTGAGGGAGTCCAAAGGAAAATTGCAATACTTGGCTGTATGTTTTTTTAAATGCTCTCAACTTAGAAGCATGAATAGCTAAAACATGGATTTCTGTTTTCTGATGTTAAATGTGGGTAGAAACACACTTGAGAAAATGAAAAGACTGTCTCAGCCCTGCCCCAAGTGGCATCCGCACCTGCAAATGAATGAATGATCACATGGTCAGGAAATATACATACCCCATTCCACGCCCCATGCCTCCACGCCCACGATGCATCATTCCACCTCGGTCAAAGCCGTCTCTGCCTGGGCCCCTGCCTTCTCCTCCACCTTGGTACCTCCCAGACTCAGAGCCTGGATAACCAGAACCTCCACCCTGGCCATCCTGCCTGTAGTTACCTACAACAGAACAAACAACCCAACTAGTTAAAAAAAAACACTCAACACAGCATTTCATATGGGATTCAAAGTAATTCTTACTGTAATGGCCAGGCTGTCCATAACTTGGTGGTCCACCTTGTTGGTTGTATTGGTTAGCTGCAGACTGTCCATAAGAGCCGGCGCCTTGTGGAGGGTAAGCAGGAGGAGCTTGTTGCTGCTGTGCTGTTTGCTGTTGGTAGCCCTGCTGCTGGTTGTAGCCGGCCTGCTGACCCTGGTAGCCAGGCTGTTGTCCATATGAAGCGGGCTGGGAGTAGCTGTTCTGGTTGTAACTACTAGGCTGACTGTTAGCATTATAACTTAAAAAAAAGAATTGCAAAAACATAGAATCATTGATCTACATAACGCATTGTAGAACGTAATTAAAATACTGGCTTTGAGGGATTCATACCTCTGAGGGGCAGAAGGAGTAGCCTGCTGACTGTACCCAGGATAGGCAGACTGGGCAGTGTATCCTGCCTGAGAGCCATAAGACTGGGTGGCTGCAGCCGGAGCAGCAGCAGCTGCAGCAGCTGCTGCAGCAACAGCTGGAGTGCCATCATAACCACTGGCTCCATACGTCTGAGCTGACTGAGTGTATCCATGGGCAGCTGACTGGGCAGCAGGATATCCAGCTGCTAGAGAAAGGAAAAACAAATCAAACCTAATGAATTATTGGGCATCTTCTAATTAAACATTCAATTTTAATGTAAATGACATAGTTTTTTTTCTGTTTAGTAATCCACGCGGTTTACCAGTAAGCACCAAGCAACTCGCACCACTAACCTGATGCCTGCTGCCCATATGAAGATCCATATTGCTGCTGCTGCTGCTGAGGGTATCCTCCAGCTGCAGGGGTGGTCTGGGTGTAACTGCCATCTGCAGAAGCAGCAGCAGGTTGGGCATAAGATCCATAACTCTGTTGGCCATAACCCTGCTGAAAAACACACACATATAGACATTTAGCTGCTATGTAACACTTAATACAAAGCTTTAGGCCCTAACCCTTATGCATGTATGTGTGTATGCATGTATGCGTGCATATATATATATATATATATATATATATATATATATATATATATATATATATATATATATATATATTATACGTTATAGTTAAAAATGAAACTTGACTTTTTAATCTCACCTGTGCAGACTGTCCGTAATTCTGAGACGGCTGGGCAGCATAGGAGGCATACCTGCAAAGAACCCAAATCGAAACAAAAACTAAATTTCGTGCACACATTTGAAACACTTATTCAAGTAATAGAAGTGAACATTTTGAACGAGTTAAGTTTGAAAACGTAGCAAAAGATAATTCACGGTATTCCAACATGTTTGTAAAACTGTTTAAATGTTTGATCTTTATGCAAAATGTGAGCGATTTCAGACATGTCGGGACGTAACGCTTACCCCTGCTGAGCACCAGTCTGACTGTAAGAGCTGTAATCTGTGAAAAATAAGAAGGTAAATTTGATTAAAGGTTTCGCGCGCAAGGAGCACGCGATGTGTAGGCCATGCTAGCTTGTCATTCATTACCAAGGAGCACCGAAAATCCTCACAGCGTTTCAAAACAGCTTCAAATACAGGAATTATTACAAAAAAACATCAAATCTGCCGACACTTTCTATTAATTATAAATCAGACTACGCACAAAACACAAAAACTCCGCACCGTGCCAAACCGCATTTATTCGAAAAGCTAAGCGACTAGCTAAAAAAGCTAAGCGACTAGCTAGAAAAACTAGGCGCGTAGGCCTTTCCACGCAGTGCTGGTTACGTTCTTTGATAAATATTTGATTAAAAAAAAAGGTTAAATGATTAGTTATACCAGAATAATTGCATGTACAATGCCTTAAACGCTCAATATAGTAAATTTTATTGCTAAACTTTATAGAAAGAAACAAAACGAGCGACAATAAATTTTCACTCACCGGGAGCTGACGCCATTTTAGAGATGACTATTTCACCGTTGGCTACAAACTGTTGGCAACAGGGAGCGTAAGTCACGCCCATCCACTTCCAGACCATGCCCCTCCCCCGCAAGTCTCATCCCTTTTCCGGTCAGCTCATGGGTCCTCGGAGATCAAAGAATAAATGAATGAATGAGCTATAAAATTAGCTGTTATAGCTATGGGATTAGATTTGTGCCAATAGGATCAAGAAAAAACACTTTGGAGATCAAACAAATTTTAAGACATTGAGAGAAAAAAAATCAATTCTAAAGAAAAACTTACTATCTGAATCGTCGTCGTCATTGTTGTCGTCGTCGTCTTCCTCCGCTTATCCGGGTCCGGGTTGCGGGGGCAGCATCCCAACTAGGGAGCTCCAGACCGTCCTCTCCTCGGCCACCTCCACCAGCTCCTCCGGCAGGACCCCAAGGCGTTCCCGGACCAGATTGGAGATGTAACCTCTCCAACGAGTCCTGGGTCGACCCGGGGACCTCCTGCCTGCAGGACATGCCCGAAACACCTCCCTAGGGAGGCGTCCAGGAGGCATCCTGATCAGATGCCCAAACCACCTCAACTGACTCCTTTCGATCCAGAAGAGCAGCAGTTCTACTCTGAGTCCCTCCCGAATGTCCAAGCTCCTCACCCTATCTCTAAGGTTGAGCCCGGCCACCCTACGGAGGAAACTCATTTCGGCCGCTTGTATCCGCGATCTTGTTCTTTTGGTCATTACCCAAAGCTCATGACCATAGGTGAGGATTGGGACATAGATCGACCGGTAAATCAAGAGCCTGGCTTTCTGGCTCAGCTCCCTCTTCCCCACGACAGATCGGCTCAGCATCCGTATCACTGCAGATGCTTAACCAATCTGCCTGTCGATCTCCCGATCCCTCCTACCCTCTCTTGTGAACGAGACCCTGAGATACTTAAACTCCTCCACTTGAGGTAGGAAGCCACCCTTTTCTGGTCGAGAACTATGGTCTCAGATTTGGAGGTGCTGATCCTCATCCCATCCTATCTGAATCAGATTCTTAAAATGATCAAGAAAAACACTTTGACGGTCAAACAAAAATTAAGAAATTGACAGAACAAAAATATTGACATGTTTCAAAAGTAAAACGTACTATCTGAATCAACCTCTTAAAATGAGTAACAAAGTATGTTTCATTTTTCTGTTTGCCTCTATGTGTTTTTGTTATCAATTTCCTTAGTTTCATTCTCTCTGCTCAGAGCTTTGCTCTCACTACCACCAGATTTGCACTTACACTTTCTGGCTTTCTCTTTGCAATCCCTGAGTTTTTGGTTGCAATTCTGACACAACCCTTTCGGGTGGGTGGGACTTCTAAGAAGTCCTCTCCCATAGGACAGTGGTTTCTCTTGAGTGACAATTCAGTGACCCGGAAGTGATGTAGCCTCCATGACTTTTTTTCCCCACCTCGGTCAACAACATGAATTTTGAGCCCCAAACACGTTATTTCTGCTGTCTGTGGTGTCTGAGGATCTAAAGTGAGTATTGATTATATGTTTTATCTTTTCTTAGTTAATTTGTAATTTCTGATCAGTGGCTGCATATCATATCATATCATATTATATTATATATATATATATATATATATATATATATATATATATATATATATATATATATATATATATATATACACACACACACACACACATATGATTTGTATGTGTGTATATGTATTGCCACCCTAGAAAAATGTTTGCCCTCTTCTGCGACCCCAAAAATAATTTTGTAGATCCACCCCTGATTGAGGTTATCTTTTTGCTTATTTAAATTATATGAACATTTATGCAAATTATTGTTAGCTATTGTTTTATTTATGGACCCTGTTGGACCCCGTGTAAATCTGCCATTGCTTCTTGAAACCAGTTGACTTATGTGAAAAAAACAATAAATAAATCATTTTTTTTCTGTCAGCAAGAACAATTACCTGATTATATTTGAGAAGTTCAGACGAGAAACATTTAACATTTCACTTTTGACTGCAATATTTCCATTATCACCAGAAATGGCTCCCAGAGTGGTTGTGTTATGCACTTTTTAACCTTTAGGTGGCGGAAGAGTGGTCTGAAAACAAAGAAGAAGAAAATGTTTGCGGAAGTTAATGTACACTCGGATTTCTGCGTTAATATGAGATTACTCTACATACATTTTAATGGTAACGGTTGAGTTCCAGCATTTGTAAACATCTTAGGAATTTGGATAAGACTTTGATTTAACGTGTAGGCTTGTGATGTCTTAGATTTCACGTTAGAGAGAATGGTTTCATTTAGTTTCCTGTCAGTCCTGTTATGATAGTTTCCATCTGTTTTCACATGATCAAAAATATGAACGAGTTTTTATTTTTAAACTTCACATCTGTTATATGTGTCTTATCGTGAACGTCAGATTTTTGTTTGCCAGAACAGATTTAGAACAATTGAAAAAAACATGCTAGGTGCTTGGTTCAGATCAGGTCGACCTGGACTCTGCTTGGCAACATATGTGCTGGTAATAGTGATGGTGCTGACGTATGCTGGGGAAATCCAGGCAAGTCTCAGCTTGGGTCCAGGAGGAGACTTCCCAAAGTTCAGAGGTACCTTAAGGATGTGAACTAGGATTCTTTAATGCAGCAGGAGATTCGCATTTGGTAAATGAAGGCTTGTAACTGTTTTGTCCTCCTCAGATGTGTTTCTGTTCGCTCTCTGTCATGATGACCTACCTTCTCTGCTGGTCAGTGTTGCTCTTCTGCTGCTGTCTGGATCAAGTCAGGAACGCCACTGGGGAACAGTCGCCTGGATGTCCCTCTCAATCTTGACAATGATTTTATTGCCTTTGGTTTACACCCTGGTCCTCTTCGTGGGTTCAGGTGGAGCAAGTCGGATCTGTGGCTACTCCGCCATTCAGCTCACCCTGATTACAGCTCAATGTCGACAGACCGCACAAAGACGGCTTCTGAGGTTTTTACCAGTCTGGATACTCCCCTGGCTTCTCCTGCTGGTTGGCCTGCTGCTGCTGCCAGGGACACCAGCTCTACTTCACTTCTGTGCTATATGCATCGGACACAACTGTATCCTCTGTTAGTTTCTACAGTCTGTTGGTGCTTGTTTTTTGTGTCTCATGTTTCTCAGCAGACTTTAGTCGATTGATACTTATAGCATTTTTATGTGGTTTTGTTGAATTGAAGCATTTTGCTCTTAAATGTTTAATTTTTCATATTATTTTACGCATCTCTTCAAGATGCACATTCTTAACAACACAACATTCCACACTTCCATGGACGTAATTTTGGGGGGAGGACGGGGGACATGTCCCCCCCACTTTTTCCAAAGCCTAGTTTTGACCCCTGCACTTTTTACTATCCAAAAACAATATTACGCTATATTAAAATGACACTGGTTGAGCTCTAGGACCAAGCAGAAAACAACCGTTTGTGTTGAAGCCTGTTTCACATTAGAACATACTGTTAAGATACCCCCCGTGTCCCCCCCCCTCCCACTTCTAAACTGAAAATTACATCCATGCACACTTCATAATGTCTCAAGATGTGTAGCTGGTTTGGGTTAAAAGTTTAGTGCATTAAAGTTAAAGGTGATTTGTTTACGCATTTCCCTATAAAGTATATTTTAAGTACTTAATATAACTTGCAGATCTTCAACCATTAATCAGGATGTTACAGGAATTAGAGGACGTCAAGATTTTTGATTTCATTCCTCATTGGCTGTTTGTTCCGACTTCTTCCAGATTCAAATTGCCGACTTTTGCGACCTCAGAGAGGTGTTGTACATATGTTTCATTGAATCATAGCTGCGGTCTTCAATCATGTCAGTGGCAAATTTAATCCTTTCTCCTTTTTGTATAGATCACGTCCCCAATTCTTGCCTGCAGATCAGGCAACTTTCCCCCCAGGGACAGCTTTCCACCACCATCCTTGGATGGAACAGTCACCACTTTGGGTGATGGAGGAGTCTGCTGCGGTGTCCGAAGCAGAGCTGCTGGAGGAGGAGATGCTGAGAGCAGGGATTCTGGCTTCGTTACAGGATGCTCCTGAGGTGGAGTCCAATAAAAAAGTGGAGGTGCCCAAATCATCGGTTTCCTCTCTGCGGTAAGTATTACGCTGATTATCCTGCGAATGTGCAAATACACCCCCTCTTGTTTTCTAGCTAACGTTTACAGATCTGTTTCTTCTCAGACTCCAGCAGCTCGAGAAGATGGGCTTCCCAACAGAGAAGGCTGTGGTGGCGTTAGCAGCAACCAAACAGCTAGATGGCGCCATCTCTTTACTCATTGAAGACAGCATCGGAGAACAAGCTGTGGTGGTATCTAAAGGAAAGAGCCCCCACCTCTAAAGAGCAGATAGACAGCCTCGCACTCCTGGACTCACATCTTTAACAGTGTTTGAACAACACAAAGTTTCTCCTCAAAATGACTCCCATTTGTTTCCAAATCTAGACACCAGAGACAGAGAGTAGATGTTGTTTATTTATGTAATAAAAATGTTAAATGAATACTTTTGTACCACTAATTTGAACAGGTGATGTATTAAAATAATAATTATAATAAAAACATAATTTTATTACACCGATCATCTCGACAGGATTATCTTAACACGGTAACACAGTTGCAAGAAAAAGAAATACAGAAATGATTACACGTCAGCTTACGACAAAAACTACAACTTACCATTTAAATAGTCTCACAATACGTTTGATATGAGAGGAAAACAACATATTACCATCAGAGCAGTTTACCAACACACACGTGGTAAAAAAAATAAATCTTCAAGTTCCACAAACAGTTTCCACTTAAATGGACAGCTGTTAAAATTTTTACCCATTTTGTTTCCAGATTTCAGCAAAAATTCATGTTTTTAAGTGAAAATGCTAATTATTCATACATCAGTACTCATGGGGATGGGCACCAGAAGACTACAGAACACTAATAAAAATATATAACTCACACAGAATAGAGGCGACGTCATTTTAGTGCACTACAAAACACTGAGTTAAACAATGTGACGGACATATAACAGGGTGGATACAAGGGAATGTTTGTGACGTTGTCATGTAAACGTTAAAGGCTGAATATACTTAAATAACAAACTTCAGTTAACACGTTAAAGTAAAAACAACTCTTTCCTCACAACTGATTCCTCCTTCACTTCATTTCTTTAAATGACCCTTTTTTATTTGAGAACTCCATAGTTTGACAAGCACCACAGAAAAATCCCCCCAGCTTGGTTATTGTGATGAGTTTTGATTCTAGACATAAAATACAGCTATTTCAAGCATTCTCTGGGTGTTCGCTGTGTGGGTGGGGTGGGGTTGGAAGCAGTTCTCAGGTTATTGAAGTAACAGGAGTAGCAGTGGAGTTTCCCTGAGGTTTCCCCCATCTTCAGTCCTATTTTAAAGCCCAGATCGAGCAGCAGATGAATGCCGATGAGACTTAGAGGAGGGGAAGTCAGCCCAGCCTGTGATCCTCAGTGGGTAGTGGTGGTCCGTTATTTCCCTCGAACCTTGCTGTCGGTGAACAGAGGAGAAGCGAGTCGATGTGAAAGTGTGCCCGCTCGCTTATCCCTGTAGAAACTAGGGGAGGTTGTCCCAAATGGTCCATCCCCAGACCCTAGATCAGGCTCTGTTGAAGAGAAACAGCAGTTGGAACGGGACCTCCCTGTCCATCAACGTGTGTGTACCCTTTAATTCTGTAACCCCAACCTGCTGCCACTGCTCTGCCATTCTGACTCGTGTTATAGCCATTATCAGTCTCTTATTGGACACTTGATGTTATTGGTCAGCTTATTTTCATATAATCCTGCATTTTTTACCCAAACTATCTGTGGGTAAACATCACCAACAAGCTAAACAAATAAAGAAATAATGTTGAAATGAACAAACTTTAACTTTACACAAAGATCTATCCATAACGTTTTCAGTTATTGTGATTAAAAATGGTTATTACAAAATATTTGACAAAATAAATGCTTTGATTTGATGACAACAGCAGTTCCTGACCCCAACTTTGAGAAATTTCATCCAAAGTAGACTTACAATTGAAACTGAATTAAAAGGTCTTTTCAGCAACCGTTGATCATCCTTCTAAACACTAGACTAAAGGTAGACTAGAATAAAGGTACTTTTAAAGTCATATTTACCATTTTTTACTTAAAATATAATATAAAGTAGAAAGTACTTTTTATCAAATTTCAAATAAAATAAAAAATTAATGTCATCATTCCAAAAGGGGTTTGAATGAAGGCAACTGGACTTGTTTGGTTTCTTGAAGACGTTTCGCTTCTCATCTGAGGAGCTTTGTCAACAATGCAGCTTTACACCTAATTCCAAAACAGTTTAAGAGTCTAGGTCACACTCTCCTGCATCTAATCAAAACAACTATCCTCACACAATAGAGCCTAATGACTCCAACGATTCCTCAGAGGGGTAGGGAGGAGGGGTATTCATAGATAGTTTCAGCTAGTTAAGAAACAACAGACAGCTGCAGTTTATAAGGTTGACTTCTTTGTTAAAACTGACAAAGCTCCTCGGATGAGAAGCAAAACCTCCTCAAGAAACCAAAGAAGTTCAGTTGCCTTCATTTAAACCCCCTTTGAATTATCGTGACTTGGGTGACTGAGAACCTTCACCAGCATAAGGTAATCAAATGGGAGATTTTAGAGAGGTTTGTCTCATTTAAAAATAAGTAAATTCAGGATCTCTATTAATCAGAATTTCTTCTTTCAAACAAACTGACCAAAACCAAATTAACAAAATAATAAATAAGAGGTTAAACTGGCTCAGAACTGCTTTAAAAAGAATAGATGTACAAGTGCTGGTCATAAAATTAGAATATCACGACAAAGTTGATTTATTTCAGTAATTCCATTCAAAAAGTGAAACTTGTATATTACATTAATTCACTACACAGACTGATATATTTCAAATGTTTATTTTTCATGATTATATTAACAATTAATGAAAAATACAAATTCTGTATCTCAGAAAATTAGAATACCAATTAAGACCAGTGCAAGAAAAAGTAATTTTAGAAATGACCAACTGAAAAGTATGAGCATGAACAGCACTCAGTATTTAGCTGGGACTGCTCAGGTGTTATGAGAGCCCATGATGCTCTGATAGTGACCTTTAGCTCTTAAGAATTGCTGGGTCTGGCATATTGCATCTTCCTCTTCACAATATCCTATACATTTCTTATGGGGTTAAGGTCAGGCCAGTTTGCTGGCCAGTCAAGAATAGGGATATCAACATTTCCTTTAATCAGGGAACATAACTTTGGACCACTCAGCAGCAGTCCAGTGCCTTTTGTCTTTAGCCCAGGCTGGCTTCTGATGATGTCTCATGTTCAAGAGTGGCTTGACAAAAGGAATGTGACAGCTGAAACCATGTCTGGCACACGTCTGTGCGTGGCGGTTCTTGAAACACTGAGTCTAGCTCCGTGAATCTCCTCCACAATGTTGAATGGGTTTTGTTTCACAATCCTCTCCAGGGTGCAGTTACCTCCACTGCTTGTACACATTTTTCTACCACATCTTGTCCGTCCCTTCGCCCCTTGATTAATGTGCTTGGATACCGAGCTCTGTGAACAGCCAGCCTCTTTAGCAATGACCTTTTGTATCTTGCCCTCCTTGTGGAAGGTGTTAATGGTCATCTTTTGGACAACTGTCAAGTCAGCAGTCTTCCACAACATCTTGTAGCCTACAGAACTAGACTGAGAGACTATTTAAAGCAGTGGTCCTCAACTAACTTTGTTCAAGGGCCGTAGATTTTTCCAGCAGAAGCAGTGAGGGCCAGATGCTCTTCTAAAATAAAGTTAAGTATTATTGTATCTTTAAAATGGCGCCGTTTTCCATCTAAACTATTTTGATTGTAGTTTTAGTTTTGTTTGGAGAACGTAAACAATTATGGATATTTGGGACATGAATTTTGCTGTGAAATGTCAAAATCTTCTGATTTGGGGAATGTTAGGGCCCAAAGGGTTGGGGGACCGGGTGGAAAGGTCTGGCGGGCCGCCAGTTGAGTTTCACTGATTCAAAGGTTTTTGCAGGTGTTTTGGGTTAATTAGCTGATTAAAGTGTGGCACCAGGGGTCCTCTATTTTGAACCTTTTCACAATATTCTAATAATCTGAGATACTGAATTTGGGACTTTCATTAGCTGTCAGTTCTAATTATCAACATTAAAAGAAACAAACATTTAAATTATATCAGTCTGTGTGTAATGAATTCATCTAATATACAAGTTTCCCCTTTTGAATGGAATTACCAAAATAAATCAACCTTGTCGTAATATTCTAATTTTATGACCAGCACCTGCACATGGATAAATTACCTGGGAGAAAAGAATATCCACATTTGAATCAACACTTTTTAAATGATCTGTTTGCTCCAACTGAGAAACCAAAACCCAAAGATGTATAATTTTATTGGAAACAAAGCAGGAAGACAACATTCAAAAAGCACTGGTTTTGCACATTTTCTTACTGGTGTTAATTGTCTTTCTAATCACTGTCACTATTCCACAGTAAATAACACTTAAAAGTCAGCGAGGACTGTGACAAGGTCTGATTTGATTAAAAATTAAGCCAGATTGAAACGTTTCTGCTCGGACGTATTGGCTTATAATTCCCAGCCGAACCCCCCCAAGCCTACTTCAAGTCAACAAGCGCACAGACATCAGAGATCCATGAAAATCTTAAGTGCACATAGTTATCAATGAACTGACGTCCTACTATCATCAAGAACTTTAAAACCAAAAACAGAGAACACAACATTTTTGAACAAATATTACAAACAGTTTAGTAACAAGTGAAATTTCTGGCACTTTCTAACTCTTGTTCAGAAGGTGAGTGAGGGCTGGTGGGACTGTGGGTGTCTCAGCGTTACCTGGCCAGATGATAGCCTCCAGGAGTGTCACCCTGCGAGCCAGAAGCTCAAGGTCTGCCTGCAAGGTTTGGAACATCTGCAAACTAACGTCCTATCAGAGAGCAGTGACAGGGGGTGAGGCTGTGGAAAAACCTGTCCGAGTCCTGGAGCTGCTCGTGACTGTTCTCGCCCCCCCTCTGTCTCAGCAGGGGGGAGTTTGAGCCCCCATCCACCAGTTTTGACCGGTGCCTAAAGCTGACCCTTCCTCAGGCCTCCTACTCACCATGAATACCGATCATAGTCTCAAGGATTAAAACCCTCTCGGCTAAGATCTTCAGCGCCTCTCTGATCTGATGTATCCCGTCCCCCTGTGAAGATAGATACAGCTGTCAAGGTAAAGAGCACAAGCTACAAGGACAGCTCACCAAGATGCAAGTCATGTTTCTCAACACAAGTTAGAAGGTTAAAACGGTTCATAAATCCGCCCAGCATGAGCATCCATTCCATGTATTTCTCTGTAGGTCTCCCTTGTGAACATGCTGCTGCTGTTATTCTCTGCCATGCTGAGCTGGGGAACAGCATGCACATCACAACAGTCAACAACACGGCCAGGATACAAACACGATCATGCCATCTGTTGGGTATCAGGTCAGCAAGGCATACTGCAGTTACTCGCCGTCATCCTCAGGCTGATGTCTGTCTTTTGTTAAGGGGTAAAGTAGTGACCTTATGAGTCACAGCTTCAAACATAACAACGATACAGTCACAGGAGATGTAGAATAGGCAGCTGGATACATCACGACCACTAGAGAAGGCATGCAGAGGTGAAGCTTTGGATACTCAGGTGGGATTTCATCTGAGAAATGTGCTGATTTTTAATGCATAAAGAAAATAAAAGGCAAAATTACTTTAGCAATGCTGTTCCAGAAGTTTTTTTACATGTTCTCTGATTAAAAAGTTTTTATTTGTGGTACGGTACCCAGAGGACGAAAACGCTTCTGACTCTGGTAAAACCCCCTTTATTTCATGACCTTTAGGGGCGGTTCCCAAAGTTGGGAACACTAGGTTTGGAGTTTTGAGGCGATCTCTAGAAATCAAATAAAACTGAAAAGCATTCCGTTACACAATATTTTCACTATAGTTGATGTAAAAGCTAAAAATAATTGCCATAAATAAGTCAATACAAGTTAAAGATGTTCAAGGTTTCACTGTCTTGTTTATTTACCATTTTTTATCGCAATGTTTGTTGTTGTAATTCATTGAGTTAAAAGTCTAAATGTTTGGAAACTAGAGCTTTATGGAGCAGTCCTGATTTTTATCTTTTAAATTGCACCAAACCTCTGCAAACTAACACCCGTAGTTAGGATGGTTAGCATCACATCTTTGCTAGCCTCATAGCCACAGACATCATATACATAGATGCTATGTTGTCTGACGCTGCCGATTGGAGCTGGAGTAGCACCAGGCCGCCATCTTGGATGGGTTCCTGTTCGCCCTCAGTGGAGCTATTTCTACTGAGGAAGGTGTTCACCCAGCTAAAAATACACATTTTAGTATGCTTTTTCACAATAATAATACAAATATAAATATATATATATAATATATATATAATATAATATATATAATATAATTAAATAAAATAAGTAAAATAAACTGAAATATAAAATCTCAACAGGTAGGCTAGAAAAGTCAATAGTAATCGCACATGATCTGTTTTCAACAGTACGCCAGTTGTTGCAACATAAGCTGCACAAAATAACATGCATAGCTGCTCATTCTGCATTGACTCCAGTTGGGTTTGGAGAGTGAGGAACTCACCCAATATGGCGGTGACGCTGTTGCACTCTCCAGCCCTCAACGGGGCATCTGCGTATTCATGTCTATGCTCATAGCAGTCAGTATGTTAGAGTGCCATCAAGCAGCTAACATTTTAAATAAATGCCCCATTTTGCCTTTTTTTCTTTTTTATGCAACAGTGTTATTTAGTTCACGTACTGGATTGATTTATTAGCAGATTTAAAACATTCTGACGACATCTTTATGCTGAGTCATGCTTTTCATGCACATTTTGGGAAGAAAGAGCATAGCTGTATCCACTCCACACAAAAACAGAGAACAATACCTCTAAACCCACCAGGACCACCACTGACACATTTCCCTCTGGGATTAATAAAGTATCTTTGAATTAATGGAATGATTTGGCATATACATCTCATGTTTTCTTTGTGATTCGTTGGAATAATTAACAACTTTAAGAAATTGGTAAACACTAGGAATTGTTTTGCATCAGTCACACATCAGTCAGTTCAGTATATCTTTATGTATATGCCAAAGTCAGATGCTGAAAGGTGACTGTGAGAGGTAGCCATGGGGACAGGAGCTTGCAGAGGGAGTCAGACAGCTTTAGGGTCAAGAGGACCATGTTGTGACAGGGGACAGCAGTCCAGAGCTCACCCCGAGGACCAACAACAACAACAACAACAACAACAACAACAGACACCAGTCCAACATAAAAACACAGGAGTCAGTGCCATAAGCACAATGATTGTTGAAACATAATTTCATGATGTGATAAAACATACAAACGTATCTCTTGGATTGATCTTATCAATGAGTAAAGGGAAGAAATAAACGTCTTAAAATGACATTTCATGTCACCACCGTGAACTAAAGTCTTACCGGTAAGCCCTTTTCTCCTGGTTCTCCTTTAGGACCTGGTGCTCCCTGTGGAGAAACATTAAAACTTTGAAACATTAAAGGTGTGGAACCCTTATTTAATACATCTGTAGTGGTCTCCAGTAGGAATGAACCGGTGCAACATTTCCAGGAACTAGTGGAGAGAGTGAGCTTCAGACAGCAGGATTTAGACTTATTTGCTGATATTTGGACATCTTGCCTCAGATTGGATATCAGCAGCTTATCTCTACCACTGACTTGCAATATGGATATTGTATCTCCACAAATAACATGAGTTTGAAGGAGTTCTGCTGTGAGGTGGAGTTACTAACGGTTAACTTCTGCTAGCTTCTGTTTCCTGGATGCTAAACCAACAACAGCCTTCCCTGTTGGGAGTCAAGATTGGTCAGTCCATGAATGTTAAGTGACAGTGTGACGTAGATCTGTCAGGCTTCTCTAGTCCTAGCGTTTCACCGTCTATTTGCTTTTAGAAACTAATGCAGGAGATAGGTGTAGGAGACTATTTTCATGTTCAGCCTGCATGAAAAACTCAGAGTGACCGATTGTAATCAGAAATAAGATAATTTTTTTTTTTATTTTTCAGTGTTCCACAACTTTAAAGAAAGTAAAGCAGCAGTTTAAATATCTCCACTCTGGTGTTGTTACTCTTCAGAGCTGCTGATGAGTGCAGTTTACTGTAACACAACCAGCTCTGTTTTAATTTCAACCTCACTGAGTTAAGTAGAGGCAGCTTACCGGCTCTCCTCGAAGGCCTCGCTCTCCTGGGTAACCTAACGAACCCTGGAAAACCAAAGATATTTTCATAGAGTTGATCAATCTATTGAAAAGGTTTAGTTGGTTTCTATAAATCTGTAGGCAAACAAACAAAATAGCACAATTGGATGTCAATACAAATAAAGCTAAAAAAAAAAACCTCCCACAAACTTTATTCTACTGAATCAAATGTTTGCTCCTAAAGTAGGGATGTTCAATACCAGCTTTTTGTTTTTACCAATATCCAGTTCACTGATATAGTCTAACTTGATTTTAACCAATACCAATATATGTGTGCCTCCCCCTTCCTTCATCAAAGAAAAGAAAAACAAAATCATCTTAGGTAACTAACGTAACATATTTCATATCACAAATACTTAAACTTTAAACATTTTCTGTGCAAAATATGACAACTACTTCGGTTTAAGTTAGACCAGCTGTGCCACACAAACATAAAATAACATTTGTCTGATAATATTGGACATCCCTTTATAGTATTCGTGAAATTCTTGTGTTTCTGCAAATCCAAAACAAGGACTCACTCTCTCTCCGCGTTCTCCCTTTGGCCCCATAGGGCCCTGTGCCCCCACATTTCCAGGTTTTCCCTGTATTATGTCAAAAGAAAACGCAAAATGACAAAGATCCACTGGTGCATCAGCAAATATGATGGAGTTAGGTTCACTGAGTGCATCCACTAGTAATGTGAGCAAGCTTACGTTCTGTCCTGAGGGTCCAGGGGGGCCGGCAGGGCCTCTGGGACCTGGAGGTCCTATGCGACATATGAACACAATCATTACTTCAAGCTCAACTTGACACACAGAAACACCCGGAGGAATCTATAACTTCAGTAACTTTTACCGCGTGGACTAATTATGTGGTCTTTTAAGTTGGAAGAACAAATTGGTCAAGCTAAAAGCACAGGAACAGGAAGTTAGTTCATGATGAGAATACATTAATCTGGGTGGGGAAGTTTAAAAAGTTAGGTATCACAGGAGCATTAAAGGTGTCTGAAGTATGAATGAAATCTTGTTGTCACATTTGGGTGCTGCAGTCCATGTATCCAAACTAAGGAGTCCGCTCTCATCTACTCCCCTCTCCTGTTCATGAGTATCACGCTGGTTTCCAGTTATGGCCCAACGTCAGAGGATTCTAGATGACGAGTGGACAAGTCATTCACCGTAAGTTGATAAGTAGATAAATACATTTCACTGAAATATTAAGTTGTTGATAATAGCAGGCGCATTTTAAAAAGTGTGGGGGATGTTGTCTGTGCCCAAAATAATTTCATGTTATTCATCTTGTTGATTTAATTTCCATAATAGCGGAGCAGGTGCAAATTTTAGACGCGTCATGCATGTCTCTGTTTTAAACATGTTTAAACTGTTCAGAATACAAATCCAGGCTCTGTCTCGTTAGATTGGTGTAACTAAAGTTTGTACTGAATGAAACTTCACATTAAACCATGTTGAAAAGAAAAGGATCCGATTAAATTGTTTCCCGCTCATTTACAGTGCGCATGGCTGGGGTTAATCAAGTTTAATTGTTTCTCTTTGCAACAATCTTCACAAGAAGGCAAAACAGTCAAATGGCAGGTTACAGATATTTCTATTTGACTGTTTATTTTGACGGATAAACTCAAGGATGTTGGTTGTTTTGAAAGAATTACCCCGACGCACACACAGATGAGCTGACATTTTAATCATTACGCACATCGCGGAGGTAACTAAATCAATCAAGAAATGATTCCCATCAGAACATCAGAGCTTTATACTGGACATTGTGCTCAACGCGGCTTGGAGCGCACACGGTGGACTGTGAGCTGAAGATCTGTAGAGGGGTTCACAGCACAGTGCAGAACCACGACACATGCAATAAGATTTCCTCCCACTGAAGCGGTCTGGAAAGCCGGTCTCTCTGAGGGATGTGTCACTTGGAAAAATGTTTGCTGATTATGAAACTTTGGCTGAACAGCACTTGTTCCCATCTCTAATATGGAGACGCATCCAGTCTGAGGCAGAATAGCCTCTTCAGCTCAGAAAGCACCTGTAGAGACATTTGATCACGCACAAAGTTCATGTGGAGCAGAAGCGGTCGGCCCACGGCAGGTGAAATGTTTCTAGTCTACATGAAGGGAAACTGTTTAAGTGTAACATTAATACGTTACTGGACACGCTGGTCTGGTTGGTTAGACCAGTGTTTGAAGTGGAAAACACACACACACACACACACACACACACACACACACACACACACACACACACACACACACACACACACAAACACAAACACACACACACACACACACACACACACACACACACACACACAAACACACACAAACACAAACACACACAAACACAAACGCTCACACACAAATTAAAATAATGCTGATAGCGTGGACTAGAAGCCAGGTGATGGTTTACGTATTTAAATGATAATCAGGCTGCTGTAAAATGTAATCTCCATCCACATCCAGACACAATTATCCTCTATTATTTCTCTAGTTGCTCTGCTCTTGTCTGGGCTGACGCAGCTGATGGTGCGCGCGGCACTCCTAGCGGCTGTGATGGACATTTTACGCATTTGAAGAGGTGGGCTGGATGCTTTGCTTTTACTGGAAGATGGATTTTTTTTTCTAAAATGTCGGAGATTTTGCCCCATGAACAACCGTAAAAACTACTGGTGTGCATGTACCCTTGTGAAAGAGTCCTACATTGAGAGGTAAATATTAGAAGTGCAGGTAATGCATTCTGGTGCCTATAAATGAAAAATGAATGAAAATTAAATTGGGAGTTTTTACTTCGTATTTTAGAAATAAAAATGACAGGGGAAAAATTTTATGACGTCGTTTTAAACGAAATTTTCTAGCGCGACCTGCCTGCTTCACTTAAGTCACTGCTTATTAAGGTCCGTCCAAAATTACCGTGGCCCACCCAAAAATGAAAACCTGGCGCCGCGCCTGTTATAAACCTCTGCAAATTATTGTGCTTCACTTTATCAAACTCAGACTTTGTACAGCTAATGTCAAGATGTAAAATTATGAATTCAGTCGAGCTCTTCCCTCCCTCCCTCTCCTGTTTCTCCTTGAAAACCGACATCGGCTGTCAGAGAAACAGAAGACGCAGGGGAAGAAGGAGATGAGGCAAGCAGAGTGAGTGCGACGTAGAGAAACCAGACTGTTGTGGAGGTGAACAAAACGGCTGGAAAAGTGTGGGTGTTGAATTCCCCACATCCCCCACGGCTGCGACGCCCATGGGTAATAGGGAGCCCAAGTCTCCTCCCTTTTAGGTCGGCTTATGGCAAATCCATGGGACATAAACTAGATTAGTGAATAGCTTTTGTAGCTAGGGCTGGGGGTAAACGATTATTTTTAAAACGATTATTCTGACGATTATTTTATCGAATAGTCGACTATTCTAATGACTATTTAGAAAACTAATCTAATGATTATTTTTCTATTGCACAATTAACAAAAACCAGAAAATCTCAAATAAATTCCTCAAAAAAATTGATAAATTCTTACTGTAAGAGAATAAACACTACAGGCCTTCCATTTTGTATAACACTGTTTTTATTGTGTTGCGGTTGGTTATGTTCTGATGACGTGTAGAACTTGGGAGTGCAGGCTGCTGCCTGAGAGGTGGTAGAAGATGGAGTGTCTCCATGCTGCTTTGTTTTGGTCACTTATGTGCGTGAGGCGAGTGGTCTTACGGGTTAAACCAAACTCAGGTGATATTTTACACTAAACCGAAAACCCACAACACTCTAAATGTAATAAAAGGGAGATCTACACCACAAAAAAGATGAACTCTAAACCAAAACGTAACAGCTTATCCCAACGCAAGAAGCTGTTAGCGAAGATGCTAACAGTAGCTTTACCAACATTAAGTTCAAGTTACCAAGTTTAAATAAACCAAAAACACCCAGCAGCAAACAGACCAGCACGGAGGAGAGACTGCTACCACCAAAACAGCTCTCCTCATGTCTGAAAGAAGCTCCTTTATGAAGGGAGAAACGCTCCCGGTGATTTTCTACATCTGCGATAGACACGAAGCAGCGCATCTGACCCCGGAAGTTGTTGTCCGTTGCCGGGCGACGAAGGCGGGCAAAACAGGAAAGGAATCTAGTAGTGGACGGACATTGTTCCGGGTCTTCGGTATTTGGCGGAGATGTTAGTGAAGGCGGAGAAGAGGGCGAACTAGAGGAAAAACGGGCAGATTCCTCCTCTATTTACAAACTCCTGGGGATGCAACAAGTGGGCGCGGTGCGTCGACTTCCGGATCTGACGTCGACAAATTTTTAGAATCGAGCCGTCGACTTCGTCGAGGCTTCGCTACAGCCCTATTTGTAGCCCCATTGACTTGCATTTCTTTTTTTCGTTCTTCCGGGGACCCATAGTCCAAAAGTAGATGGGTGTGACGTGGGCTCCCAATTAGCCCTTTCAAGAAGACCAACCATGCTGGCAAATCTGTGTAATACTGCTGACATGGTGTGTCTTATGAACGTGCCATGGCGGCATGGCGTTGCTGGAATTTTGCGGCATTCGTGCCGTCACGCTTGGTAGTAATATTGCTGCAACACCAGACTTACATATTATGTACATCAGAGGGAGGTGATCACTTGAGGAGTTACTGTCGAGCTCCGGCAGAAAACTATATTAAAAATGAAAGTAAGCACGCAAGTTTAGCTTTTGTCAACAGAATCAGCTGAGATGACAAACTGGAGTGGTGCAGAGCTCCAGAAGCTTCTCTCCGTTAGAGCTGACGCTCAGATCACCTGAGACCGCACAGGGACTGTGGAGGGCCGCCACCTTTAGGAGCAGCTTATGAAAAAACCTAATGGGCGCAGCTTCAATTTCAATAAAAAGCAAGTTATGTCCAAGTTAAACGGAAGTAAGCAGCAGTGCAGAGACCGCCCCTATCTTTTGTAAAAAGGACATGATTGCGCTCCATTACTGCCACGGTCCAGCCACTTATAAACGACCTAAGGTTCCCTGATGCCGGCTCGGTGTTGCAGCAAACTGGCAGCATTGTTGTTTTTATGAGGCTATGGAAAAAGTAGCTTCAGGTATTTTTAGAGCCAAATGTTATTGTTTCTAATTCACCATTAGCATTGTTAGCTCAACATTAGCCTCTAGCCTTCTTTACCCAATGTTAGAGTAAAACAAAAAGATGTCATGGCTTATTAAGGTCATAAGAAATAACTTCTGGGTTGCTCCTGTTTACTGACTAACATTCTGTCCAACTGGTGTTGAATTACAAATGCCAGCGCAGTCTTTGTGCTAAAGACATGGCAACATTGTGGGCTCACGCATGATTGGCTCTGGAAACAGGAAGTATGGGGGTGGGACAGATTGTAAGAACTGACTACATCTTTCTTTTTAAACAAAGAAAATCTTGGAAACACCCAGCTGGAAAAGGAAATTTGTGTCAGTGTAACCTTCCTTCCAACATGATTGAGAGATTAAACTCTTTTGTGATTATTTCCCTGTAAAATTATTACCTGTTGCACCTTTAAATATATGGATGTTTTAGTTTTACACAGATGTTTTTCATTCCTAAAAAATTGATCCAGACACTCACCGACTGGCCCAGGAGGACCCTGAGGTCCAGGCACCGGCAAACCTTGAGAGTCATGGAAAGTGTTGGTGGAGAAAGGGTCTTTTCCGCGATCTGGAGAGGAAAGAAAATGTGAACATTTAGTTAAAAATATCCAAACCTTTATTTTCAAGCCTCATATGGAGCTTTGTCTGTGACAATAAATCTAATTTAGTCATAATGTCATGCAAACAAATCCATTTTATTTAATAAAGGCTCTGTTATGTTGTTTATAAGACATTTAATAAGCTGTTATTGAGGATTAACTCACATTTTAGAAATAATAATGAATGAAACCATTGATACTGATTGTAAAAAGCACTTTCTAATAAAAAAAGGTTACATGTGTCTGATTTTGTAATTGCTGTTTTTATTTTTTTTGGATGATAGTCCTAGTCCATGTTGTGTTGGGTCTCATGAAAAAAACTTTAGCTCATTACTTAGCTCATCCACTAGAGGGCAATGTTCTCTAATTATCACCTCAGTTTTGGGCCACAATAGCTTTACCAATAGGTTGAGGCTGCTGAGATATTAAAGTTGTGTTGTTTTACATTCCAAACTCACTGTGTTTTGAGTAAAACTGTTCAGACTCCACAGTACACTAGGAGGAAGACGGTAGAAAACCTGTGTGTGATCCAGGGAAGTGTGCAGCTGTTGGGTCATTTTAAACCCACAGGAAACAGATTCAGTCACAGTCTGTGACTTCAGAAATGAAAAGGAAGAGGAAGATGATGAGGAGGAGGGTATACAGCGGTAAACATCCTCCTGCTTCCTGATCACTAGACACCACGGGCAGATCTGAACCAGAGGTGACATCAGAGCTGCAACAGCACTCTTCTGTTCAACTTTTTCAGCTCAGAACACTCTATGACTTCATCTGGAGTGAAAATAAGCAGGGAAGCTAAAATATTCCCACTCCGTGGTCCTCATCAGGTCTAATGCAGATGTAGAAGCCAAATAATCCAGTGTTTTCCAAAGGAAGCTGAGTGCAGACCCACCCCCACTAATGTTCCCCCACTGTTACTTTGATGTGAGAGAAATAGCCCACAGACTCGGAAGTCATTGTGCCAACCTCAGCACCCCCGCGGCTCTCCACAGCGGAACCCAGAGCTTACAAATCTGTGTGCTGCATATTCAGTTTTACCACTGAATCCATGTATAAACCGCCCATGTGTTGACCTTGAAAGAGCCCACGAAGGCCCCCGTCTGTCTCTGAGAACCCTCCCTCCCCTCAGCCGTCTGAGCAGCCTGCATATGGAAGCTGTTGTGTGACACCAGAGGTATACAGGTTCTCATCTCAGCATGTGAAGTCTCCATCAATGTAGCCGTCTGCATACATGTAGCTCCCTTTAATTCTGTTCTACAAGGTGGGTAAGGTGGGTTACTCTTCTTCTGAACTTTATCTAGCTGAAAATTCTTAAAAATGCAAAACTCTGACTAAAGATGTAAACATTTATAAACTGATTTTGTTTGGAAATTGGGTCCTGAAGTCTGAAATATTTCTTAAAAGAACTTTTTATTCAGAAAGGAGGCGTCGAAAGCATCATCTGGTGTTTGTGTACTCGTGGTTGTGGTTTAATCAACTGTTAAGGGACATTTTAAATTTAAAGGCAACAGGACTGACCATTTCATACATCCATCCATCCATTTTCTTCCTCTTATCCGGAGTCGTGTTGTGGGGGCAACAGCCTAACTCGAGAGGCCCAGACTTCCCTCTCCCTGGCTACTTGGGCCAGCTCTTCTAGGGGGGTCCCAAGGTGTTCCCTGGCCAGCTGAGAGACATAGTAGCTCCAGCGTGTGCCGGGTCTCCCTTTAGGTGTCCTTCAGGTTGGACATGCCCAGAAAACCTCACCAGGGAGGCGTCCAGGAGGCATCTTCATCAGATGCCCTAGCCACCTCAACTGGCTCCACTCGATGTGGAGGAGCAGCGGCTCTACTTTGAGCTCCTCCCGGATGATCGAGCTTCTCACCCTGTCTCTAAGGAAGAGCCCAGACACCCTACAGAGAAAACTCATTTTGTATCCACGATCTCGTCCTGTCACTGCTCAAAGCTCTTGACCGCAGGTGAGGGTAGGAACGTAAATTGGTAAATCTTCACCACAACAGACTGGTACAATGCCCACATCCATTCAATAAATACCAGCCATTTTTAAAGAAAATGTTTAGAAAGTTGAATGTTGATCAGGAACAAAATGATAACCTCTAGTCCTGACGAGACGAGGATCTAACCCTCTGATGGTGTTTCTGTGTAACCTCAATGTTACATGTTTGAATTTAACACCAATATTTCTGTCGAATCCCAAATGTCCTGTTAGTGATTCGTTGTGGATTCGTGTCAAAGAGTTGGTAAGGAGATGAACAGCATTCCTGGGTCTTACTGTGATCTGGATCTGGGATTTGGGCGTTGGCTGGTGACGGTGGACCCGGAGGCCCTGGTGGTCCAGGCAGACCCGGTAGACCTCTCTCTCCTGGGAGACCTGGTGGACCACGGGGACCTAAGACAACAGACATCATAATGGACTGATAAATAACGGGGATGTGTTGATTGAAGGATAAAAACCAGAGGAGACTGCTAGAGAAAATGTTGTTTAACCATCATATTGTATGTTTAGGAGGTTTGAGTGTGTTTTTCCATGACGACCTGTTTGCATGTGGAGTAAGAGCGGGGAAAGTGCATTGGATCATGGGAACTAACTGTCTTTATTATTCTGTAAATAACAGGAGGGTTATTAATGGACCAGTGCTGGGAACTCAGACATATGAAGAAACTCTAATAAACAGAAATAAACTCTGCAAATTGCTATTGTAGGGTTTGAGAATTGAGTGCCTTAAGAGCTCAATATATATATTACCTCTACTTATGACCAATAAGCTGTAATACTCTATATCAGGGATTCCCAAACTTATTTAGCCGTGCACCCCCTTCTATGTCCCGACCATGTCGACGCACCCCCCAGCCCCCACATCAGGGCATGGCTATATATATATTAATTTGACCTTGAATGAAAAATGTTGTTATAAAATCTCTTAAAAGTTTTTATCACAATGGAGGCAGCACTCATTTCTGCTTTCAGTGACGGCGCGCCGGAGTTTGCGCAGCGTGTGCGCTTATTGAATCTGTGTGTGTGTGTGCGTGCGCGCGCGGCACAGCTTATGCTTGATGCATTCACTTACCGCTTGGTGATGCAGCTCGCGGATGGAACGCGCTTCACAACTTGCAGCGTTTAACCGCGTCTCGTTATTGGCGCTATTTAAACTTCAGCCCAGCCCAGATGTGCTCACATGTGCACCTGTGAGCCGTGGTTCCGCTGGAACACGTCTGACCTCTGACAGACGCACTCTGAACCTCAGATCTTCAGCGCGCTTTTAATAGGCTGAATGGGAATCATTTCTTGTTTTATTTTGTTACATCCACAATGTTCTGTGTGTGAGGTTTACAATGTCAGAACACCTGCATGAGACAGGGTGTTAATTACAATCTGCCAGAATGACTCACCACCTTCAGATTCCTCCAACACCGTTAAAAATGATCAAATACGGAACATATCGGCGTGCGCAGGCCAGAGTGCTGAAGCTCGGCGCATTGTTATTATGAAGCTAGGGCACATGTGGAGGACACATGCGCAAAAATATACTTGTTTTCAATTACATTTATTGTGCCCTCTTACTATTTCTTTGGCCCACCCACAAATGAGTTTCTGGCTACACGAATGGTGACATCTGACAGACTTCTCTGAGCTCCGCAGCCATTACACTTTTCACCTCGCGCACGGCAGCTCGCGCACCCCCGGGGGTGCGCGCACCCAGTGGCGGTTCTACATCGAATTACTCCCCGGGCGAGGCCCCTTTTGAGCGCCCCCCCCCCAACCGCCCCCCCCCCACCACCACCACCACCACCACCCCACCTGCATGAACACACGCATGTTTTCTACAAACAGGCATGTTTTATTAGAAGGACTATTGAACATTCATTTTTCTAAGTTGCACATATTTACATTAATTACTATGAAGTTGTGAGAATGTAAAGCACTATACATTATATAATGTATCAAAATATATAGAATCAAATATACAAAAACAAACAATAACTAAATATTAAGAATATATGATCATAATATATAATAAATATTCTAAATAGCAAAAATATTTCACACATAACAAACTAAAGATAATCACTACAGCATTGCACTTAGAATAGAAAACACAAACTAAAATTAAAACCTAACCTTGATGCAACGTCATCAATAATGTCATCATATGAAATCTGCTCCCCTACTGAGTGATTGATACTAATCAGAGCCAGGTGAGTGAGCCGCCCCTGAAACATAGGTGACCTCAGGTATGACTTGATCAAGTTTTGAAAAGCTCCTCTCAGCTGGAGCCACAGTGACTGGCAGAGCAGTCCAAAAGTTGGGGTAGATCTCCAATAGATCTTTATCCTGATCCATAATATTTTAGAATTGCCTCTGAAATTGTAATTTAAACTGACATAAAAAAACTGTAGACTACCAAAAATGCCAACTTTTACAGAACAAATCACGTAAAAATAATCAGTGCAGCCATCTGCAATAAATAAACAGGATAGTTAGTGGTGACTGGGGAGTTCTCTTCTGCTTGTAGAGTTGTTTTATTTATTATTATGTGAACATGATCAACATGTGTTTGTTGTTGTTCAGGCAGGCCACAGGCTGCAGTGAGCATTTAACAAATCCTAGTTTGAATCAGTAAAAAACGATTCAAGGACTTTTTTCGAACCATTTGAATATTCGTTTCAATATTTCAGCCCTATTAGCTCTGTTAGCAGTTAGCTGACCGAATGTAACCGTTAAAATCCCAGTTAACTGTTAAAATCCCAGTTAACTGGTTCAAAACATTGGAAACATGCATCATGAGAGCTACGTACCTTTATCTTTCTCCTCTTTTTTCTTTTTCTTTCCCCCTGAATGGGGTACCTGGTGGTTTTAGCCTTTTTATGTTCATCTCTTCTGTTTGGCTCCTGATTCAGTAAGTTTCCTTTAGTCAGGACTAAACTATTTGACCTTGAGGGGGGGGGACCACAAAATCGTTTAGTTTTTCCTTTTTTTATTCGGCCATTTCACACAATTCAGAAAAACCTGAAAGAATGATAGGCCTGTGTTTATGATATTATGAATGAAATATGGAAGAACGTTAAGATGTGATTGACTTTAGCCATGTTAATACAGTTGATTCAGCCCCTGCACGCTCATTTCATTTGGGAAAGACGCAGAGGTGAATTCCCCCGCCGCACCCCTCCCCTTCCTGTTCTTCATAGACACACGGTGCACGTGAACGTTCTCAGTCAGCAGGAGCGCCTGCAGCTGCAGGGGGCGCCAACTTGCTGTTTCCAATCCAGACACTGTCATATGACAGATAATAGAAAACCTCGGTGCGGCGCAGATTTCCTTTTTTTTTTTTTTACTCCGCGCTTGTGCGCCCCTTTTGTGTCATGAAAAAATGCCGCCCCGGGCAACTGCCCTGTCTGCCCGTGCCTAAAACCGCTACTGCGCGCACCACACTTTGGGAATCCCTGCTCTATATAAATGTAGAATATCAACCTGCTTGGTCTTTACGGTGTTTAATCATAAGATTTTAGGATTCTTTGTTTATTAAGGGATTGTACACACTTCGTTTTGATTCAGAAAAGAGTCAGGTTTATAAAAGTAAGAATTTATTTACAAACAATTAAACTTGACAGGTTAACTACCACTAGATGTGATGTACATGAAACCTAAGTGTGAATGCGATGTTATCAGAACTTCCGTATCTAGGAGAGCTGAGTTCTGGATGTAAAAGAATTTGGTTTGCGTTAAGCTGTGAAGTTGATTATTATCAAAAGCACATCAGACGCAATCTGTCATGTCTACATACCCACTTGAAGACCCTCGTAATAGATCCGGAATGTCGAAGTCCTCAGACTTCCAGGCACTGAGGTCCGTAGAAGAAATTGCGGCACTACTAGACCAGTCTTAGAGTTGTCTCCAGGTCACAACAGATGGATGGAACCGCGCGTCTGGCGGACTCTTAAGGAGTCGAACAATATCAGCTTGTTCTGCAGGAACTGTTTGCTGTATCAGCTTCGCAGATGCAAAAAGATTTTGACGACGTGTCAAAAGCTTTGATGGGTTAAAGAGGTGTTGCTTCAGATGGCCGGTCTGAAACTTTTCTCAAGAACTGAAGAATGACCAGCGTGATCCAATTTTAATGTTCTCATGTTATGATTTGTGTAGCCAACCAGAGGTTGACAAGTTGAGGAATATTACCAAGACAACTCAGAAACACGCCTTCCTTGATCCGGATGCTCTGATCTGGGGTAAAGGGCTATCTATGTGTCATGTGTTTAACTTAACTTTACTTTGTCTTTGTGTGAGTGCAAATGGTTATGACCTTGTCATGTCAACATGCTGAAAACATATATCAATCAATGTAATCATAACATAACATTCATTTCAAACTTCAATCATTGAGCACAGATTAATGAAAACATTTCATCATTCTATAATTATTATAAGTAGCCATAAACAAATGTTTATTTAATGATTATTTAACCTCATAAGTTTCAGAAGTTCTTATTTAATTTAAAAAATCATTCTTTGATTTAGCAACTAATCCGAGCTGCGAATGTTCCTTGTTCGGAGGCCTTGTTGTAGGACGATAAGCAAAGCTTGGACCTAGAGGAGAGAACATTATTGTTGACAATTCGTTATCCGTGTTCAGAGCTGCAGAGAGGCTCTGAGCTCCAGCTGATGGGATGAAGGCAGGCCAATTTAAAGGGAACACGTGCAGTCTCGTGTCTCCATTTTGACCAGATGTTGAATTTCAAACTGTACCTAAAAACTGACCATTGCTGGACGTTACACTATAAGCAAGAATCTTCAGAGTAAATGAAATATTATTGGATGAATACCATCAATTTTTTTTGTATGTTTGTAAACTCGTAACAACCTAAAACTGCTCTAGAAGAGGCGATCCAGAGTTTTTCTCAGAAGGTGCCATCTCGAGGTGTGAAAATATATTGCACCTTAATCCCTTCTCCTTTCTCCCGCAGAGAATATGGGAAGAGTGGTTACGTCGAAACCTGCTCTTAACACTAACAGCCAAACAACTAGCCCAATGTTCCAACATCCACTATCAGCAACTTGAATCACAACTTGAGATCGACAAGATGCAACACAACAGTAAACACAAGAGTTAACATCATCTTGGCTATAAAAGCAAGAGCAACCATGAGAAACAATACCTACCATGGAAAAGAAGGTTCTTAGCCAACTGTCAGAGCTCCGAAAAGGCACAATGAGAAAAACAATAGCCAAGAGCTACAGCCAGATACCCATACCTCAAGCACTGGAAACTGCCAAACAAAGGCTCCAAGCCTTGGCCAGCCGCCTAAAGATGTACATGAGATAAAGTGAAGCCAGACAGCCAGCTAAAGTGTACTCTCAGTGGTGGGTAGTATCAGCAGAGCAGACCCACCAAGGCTGGACAATTCCATAAGGGCATATGGGGAAAAGGAGGCTTCACACAGCAGTGCACAGTGGCTAGTCCCATCCAACTATCGGCCATTTACCTGTCTCCTCACAACATGGAAGCTCACGTCAGGCATTATAGCAAACAAGATAAGTGGGCTCATGATCAATACATGACCACAGCACAGAAGGGCATTGCCAGAGGTACCAAAGAAGCCATACACCAGCTGCTGAAAGACCGAACAGTCGCCTAAGACGCCAAAGCCTTAACCTGTGCACCTGTATTTGTATGTTGCAGTTTTAGGGTTCTACAACCCCCCAAGGCACTCCATAACACTATCAGTCATTCACCCATTCATACACACATTTACACGCTGGTGGGGCACGCTGACAGAGATGAGGCCTTCCAAACACTGGCGCCACCGGTCCCCCCAACCACCACCAGTAGGCAAGGAGGGTTAAGTGCCTTGCCCAAGGACACAACAGCAGCATTCTCTGGTTGGAGATGGGCTTGAACCTGCAACCTTCCACTCTACCTGCTGAGCTACTGCTGTTCCCTGGCATGGACTGATTACAAGAAAGCCTATGACTCAATGCTGCACTCATGAATGATTGAATGCTTGGAGCTGTACAACATCAACAGGAGTCTGAGAGCCTTATTTGCAAACTCATTGAGGCTGTGGAAAACCACCCTTGAGGCCATTTGCACAAATCTCTATCAACCAAGGAGACGCCCTGTCCCCACTGCTGTTCTGCATAGGTCTCAACCCCCTCAGCCAAATAATCAACAAGACTGGCCATAAACACTCAAGAATGGAACCACAATCAGCCACCTCCTCTACATGGATGACAAAAAGCTGTACGCCAAGAGTGAGCAGGACATCGACTCACTGATCCACACCACCATAATCTACAGCTCTTGAGAAGTGTGGTCGGATCGTGACAAAGAAAGGGAAGGTAGACATTGAGGACAGCTACAAGTACCTTGGTATCCCATAAATGACAACTTTTGATGAAGCTGCAAGGAAAGGAGCCACAGCCAAATACCTACGAGTAAGACAGGTTGGGCTTTGCAGTCTTGGCTGACTAAGAAGTCAGCTCAATTGAAAGAACAAGATTTGGGCAATTAACAGCTATGCCCTGCATAATCAGATATCTCGTAGGCTATTCCAAGATATTCCAGGAATAATAAGGTGGCCAAAGGAAGAAAAACTGACCACAGATGTTAAGACAAAGAAGCTCCAAACCATGCATGGAGGTTCTATACCAAACCCAGCATCCTGAGACTGTATGCTAGCCGCAAGGAAGTAGACCGAAGCCTTTGAGTGTGAGAGCCACTGTCCAGGATCTAAGATCCATAAGCACGTTAAGGACTACACCCCAACAAGTGACATGCTCAGTGAATGTCTCAGACAATGGCAAACAGAGGAGGAGGTGCTTGAAATACTATTGTGGGAGGACAAACCTCTACATGGGATGTACCACAGACAGATCACTGAAGTGGCTGTTATCAAGAAATCCTACCAATGGCTAGAAAGAGCTGGTCTGAAGGACAGCACAGAGGCACTCATCATGGCTGCACAGGAACAGGCCCTGAACACCATAGCAACAGAAGCCAAGAGCTACAACACCAGACAAGACCCAAGGTGTAGGCTATGAGGCCCCTGAGATAATCCACCACATAACTGCAGGGTGAAAGATGCTGGCAGGGAAAGCATACATGGAACACCACAACCAAGTAGCTGGCATAGTGTACAGGACCATCTGTGCAGAATTTGGACTAGAGGCCCCAAGATCAAAGTCGGAAACACCCCTAAGGTAGTTGAGAATGGGTGAGCCAAGATCCTAGGACTTCCAGATCCAGACCAACAGAATGATGATGGTGAACCAACCAGACATTGTGGAGGTGGGCAAACAACAGAGGACAGTTGTTGCGGTTGATATGGCAATACCAATGAAGAAATACACTCCTCGATGTCTAATGGCTTTATTGACAAGGATGAAGGAGCCCTGCGGCGACATACAAAGCTGAGTGAGCAGAAGCTAACGGCAGCGTGAAGCAGCAGCATGGGCTGAAGGCCAAAGCTAAGCAATGCGATAAAATAGGTAAATAAATACAGCGCAGCTTAGCATGCACACTGACAATGTGTCCATTACATTAACAAGCAGGTGAAGACTTACAAATACAAGTCGAACAGTAGCATGGATAGACAGCAGTGTGATGGTTGAGCAGCAGCAATCCAAATGAGAAGCAGCAGTATATCCAGTCAGGGATAATCACATGTACGTGACTTCAGGCACATCCTTGAATACACCTTATTCCCTCGAGGTGTGATTACAGCACATCCTAGTGGCCAGTGGTGACCTCTGCAACCAAGTGATGCAACATCAGGAAAAAAGGAACAGGAGAAACTAGAGAAGTACCATCGCCTCAAAGAAGAACTTGAGAAAGCCTGGAGAGTGAAGACATCGGTGGTGCCTGTGGTCATTAGAGCACTCAAGGCAGTAACTTTGGGATGTGCTGTCTTGGTGAAAAATTAATGCAACACTGGATGGAAATAAATCTTGTGACATTGCAGAAGCCTATCGAAACAATGCCACAGTGAATGTGTGCCGTAATCAATGCTTCATAAGGACAGCTGTCAACTCTTTATCAGTCTAGGCACTTCCAAAATACGTCTGCATGCTCTGTGATTGAAAACTGTATGTAAGCAGACGTCTAATGCTTTTGGCTAATGCTGAGCAGCGCTGAATTGAAATTGCATGAGGCTCTACGGGACGGCGGCAGGCTTAGCACAAAAAATGTTTGTACACATTTAATCAATTTCCCTCTGGGATTAATAAAGTATTTTTGAATTTGAATTTGAATTGAATTGAATTGAATTTGAATTATATCACCGTAGAGGTTGAGACTATCACTTGTACAAATTTCTAAATAATCATGCATTATTCCTGAAATGGGGGAAAACTCAGGCTTGCTGCTTTAAAGAATTCCTTCAACTCCATCAGAAAACAATCTGAAGATGGAAAAAGCATCGCTCAGCCTCACTGAGATCACCTTCCTCTTTCAATCACATCAACACTCAGCACCTTTCCATTTATGTGCTGATGCAACTCGCAGCTACAGTCCAGTGGCTATCGCATCGTGATGTTATTACAGCTTTGATTTGACATCTATGTGGCCTGTTTTCACTAAACTTCGGCGAGGTATTGCTGCACATCTGACAAGGTTTTGCTTGCTTCTTGGAGATGGTGAGCCATCTGCAGCACAGTGGTTCACATTAGTGTCCCGACTGGCCTTTCAAAGTTTATGTAACATATTAGAGAAAACAGTTTGAGCTTTTCCTGCTCAACGATTCTCCCTGGAGCGTCATTGGGTTTCAGCAGATTTCGATCATAGCATCCCTGTGACAAAATATTTGCAGATATGTGCAACACAAAGTTGACTTTTAGCCCATACTTGAGTCTCTTTTACATGACATCGACCACATTCCAATCTCGTGTTTATCTTACTCATCATATTAGGATAAAATTGCAATAAGAAAAACCATGTGCTGCTTTTGGTTTCTTATGAAGTAATGAGGATAGAAAAACAGTACCACCGCGAGCATATGGAACTCATAAGGAGCTGGGATTTGTAGACGTATGACTCCTGCTTTCTCAGATCGAAGTCACATGGAGCTCCTCAGAAAGTGGGTTTGTAGTTCAGGTTTCGCTCTAAATCTCATCATTACCCGGCGTGGAGAAGAGAAACACTCCCTTCATGATCCAGAGCAGAAGAATAACAGCTGATAGCCAGAGCAGATGTTGTGACACACTTACACTCACCATTTACTTTATTCATCATTGGAATTGCAGCTGATGGTAGATTTACTATTTCCCTCAACAGGTCGTTCATTATTTGCACTTAGAACCAGTGAGCTCTGAGGTTAAGGAGGAGATGTATGATCTGGTTTCTGTTCTGGCTGATGATCACCAACAGCAGCAGCAAAACAATACTTTCAGTTTTTATTTTTATTTTTTAGAAACGTATGATTTAAAATGAAAGCAAATTAAATGCTAATTCCAGTCAGCAGACCTCAAGGACCTCTGGAATGCTGCAGCTTTCACCGGCTGAGGGTCTGCTGGCTGACCAAGAGCTTTAAGTGAAAGACAAACACTCTGGATTTGGACATCGCAGGTCAGATTGCTCTGATTCCTCAACTGCTGTTTGCTCAATAGCACTCAATATAAACACCTCACTCTTACTGACAACATAAGTGGTAAACAGCTGCTGAGCATCTGGCAGGACACAGTCCAGTTCTAACCTCATGGCTGTTGGCCAGCACTGACCTGTGTGTGTTTTTACCTTTAGTCTACTCTTACCTGCCGGTCCCACGAGTCCCTTCGATCCAGGAGCTCCAGATGGACCCCTCGCCCCAGTCTCCCCCGGGGGCCCACTGGGACCTGGCAGCCCTCGAGTCCCTGGCTTTCCTAAGAGGAAAAAAAAATAGTCATGAGTAATCACGAAGCCCTTAACTGGTTTACATCTTAAATGGCTCGACACCAAATGAACGGCGACTACAATTACAACATACCGTCTCTGCCAGGAAGCCCATCTCTCCCGTTTTCACCCTGAGGACCTGACATGAAACGAGAGAGTTGCTTTAATTGAGAGGTTTAAATCTGCGGAAAATGCCACTTGTAGACGAGGTTGTGCAAAATCTAGTCGGGGTGGGGAGCATTTCTGTCCCAGTGAGAGAGTACAAAGGATCCCAACAAATCAACTTTGGGGAAAAATTTTAAATTCCCTTCTAAAATGCAAAATGACTGTATCAATTAAAGAAAAATGAAATTATTTTCATGGTGTCTAAATCAGTCTTTATGAGTCTGAAAACAATATTTTGTCTACAATACTTTTAGATCAAGTTCTCTGCGGGTTTTGAGGGGTGCTACTGAACAAAGATAACATTAAAATGTCTTTTGTGGCTTTGTGTATTTGTGTTGTCTTATGAAAAAACAGGAGGAAGGAAATAGTTTTCATTTTTCTAACCAGTCACAATCATCCTATGACCTTCGTGTCCCAACTACATCACTGCTACACACATTCCTGCAGATGCCACCTCCTTGTTGCCCCTTTCTGCTCCCAGAGTGCCAAAAATATTTGCCCTGACCATGAAAATGTCCATTTCAAAAGAAGTGCCTCAGAAGCATGTGATTTCTGGTCACAGCAGAAGACGACCGTGCCACACCCGTTTCTTACAAATGAACATTTATGCCTATGGAAGTAAACTAAAAGCATCAAATTTATTCAGTTAGTCTGTTAACGGTGGAGCAAAACCTGGTATTGTTTTATATATCAGCTCCTGCTTTAATGAAAAGAATCAAATTTGAAAATAAAGTAATTAGTAAAGAACGATTTTTCTCAAGTATTTAGTAAGAGCAAGACATTAGCCTTCAGTTAATAGAACTAATGATTAGAAGTGTTTTGAATGAGTTACCTGCAGGCCCCTGCTCACCAGGAGCTCCTTGAGCGGGCGACGCCCCCATCAGAAGCAACGCCTCTGGAGCAGTTCCTCCTTTGGTCTGAAGGTGGCGATGCGATATAGAGGCTGGTTCTGTGAGTAGCTGAACCTGAGACATAAAATATGTACAGATGAGATTACGATGAAGGATTTGAGTAGGCCTACGTCAGACGTCGTCACCTTCGCCTCCAGCGAGTTCAGCTTCTCGCTCAACGCTGTGATGCGGCTGCAGTTGAGACAATCTGCAAAACAGAAAATGTGTTTTTTTTTGTAACATGCAGGATTCTAGTATGAGCATGCTTTAAAATGTTTCTTGCATATTCGTGTTTCTAAAACGTTAGCAGGTCTTACTTGAGATTGATTCTCCGGCACGTGCAGTTGGGCGCCGCAGGGTGGAGGGTTTCCGTACTGCCTCTTGAGCTACAAGCTGGTTCCCTCCATCTGTGATGAGAGATAAACAAACAAAAATTGTAAATTTTATTTCCCTCATGAACCAAAATTAGGGCCAACGTGTGGCCTGAACCTGCAGTATTCCAGTTGGCCAGCAGGGGAAAAATCCTCTTTTAAACCTTTCATTTACTCATTATTTTTAAAAATTGCTGCGGTTTCGTGTATAAACAAATGGTATCTGACTTGTTCTCTGTGGGGGAAAAAAAGCTCTGGCGCTGTTTCAAGCAGCAAAAGATAGCCAAAACAGCAGAATTTGGCATCATCCTCACTTATTAATTCCTGATAATCAAACGTCTTGCCTCTGATTGGCTAATAAAATTGCGGCTGACTGTGTTTGCTCTGTGCCTTGACGTCTCATCTTCTCTAATAACACAAGCCTGAAGGAGTTCTACCATGTTGTGGAGCTGCTAATGCTAACAGTTAGCTTTTAATAGTAAAGGCTCGCTCTGCTCTCTCCTGGATTCTAAATCAACAACAACCTTCCCCGGAAGTGAGCCAAGATGGGGGAGTCCACGAATGAAAACTTACAGTATGACGCAGATCTGTGTGGCTTTTTCTCACCTGAGTGTTTCCCATCCATTTACTTTCAACGGCTACAGCAGATAAAACGGGTAGAAGAGTAGTTTTTAAGTTCAGCCTGCATGTGAGTAAAGAAACGGTTTCTCAGAACTCACTCTTTAACTTTTTAAACCAGCAAATGTGTTCTTAATGTTTGTAGGTGACGACTAGTTTCACGTTGTAACTGATGACGTATAGTTTTCAGTTCATCACTGAATGAAAAGTTGAATAATTTTTAAAAAGGAAAAACTGTCGCTTAGGTTAACAAGATTCTGCATGTGATTCATGGTTTTGAGTCAGATCCACTGCTCACTTGTATTTTGAGGTATTTAAACACCACAACTGTGACTTTAAGATTGATGTTTACAAACCAGTCTGAAAGGATCTTCATCCAGCCTGTGGTTTTCTGTGACAGGCAAGACATAATATTATTTCCACAGTGAATTATGAACACGGTTTGATGTAATCCCATCAATTCCATAGGCAAACAGAAAAGACTGTCAAATGAAAAAGTTGTTAGAGTTTAATCTAAATTATTTGTTGATTGGAAAACAGTTTAGAAAGAGATCTAAACATATCAAGGTTAAACTAAATTTTATATGAAGGTAAATCTAGAATTTAACTGAAAGATTCAGCAAACGTGCAAATCCAGAGTGTTGTAAAACCGAAGCAGCCTACCAAAATAAAAGCAGGGTGAAACCCTTCAACCACAAGTGAGTTTAGCAGCTTTTTCCTGTAATGTTTTATATATAAAATAAAATGCTTGCGTCTTTTCCAAGCTGCTTAAAGAAAAATGGAGAACATTTCTATTTTATGAAGTTTAAACTTGCAAGGCTGAAGAGAGAGAGAGGCGTGTAAAGACAAACAATAGTTTCCTTGTGAGACGAGAATGGGCAGACTCGACTCGCATTCTGTCTTTCCTTCATTTTATGGAGTGTGGGAGTTTTTGTCCCGAGGTTCTGGATGTTTTGAATGGGCAGACTTTAGTGGAAATGCTAGACTGACTCCTTTGTCTGGGCCCAGCCCTGCTCTGGTTGGCCCAGGTGCTCCTAAAACAAATAGGAGGTTGGGGTTCAGCACCTCATTAGCCACCAGGAAGCATGTCTTTCCCTTCAGTGGCCAGCAGCCACGGCTACGCCAAGTTCTACAGAGAACCAAGCCACAAAATAGCACCTGCAGTGCAGAGCTAAGGCTGCTCTAAAAAGCTCCGCTTCTCTCATCAAACTCTGCTACAATCAGAGGAGGAAGCAGATTATCATGTAGAAATGAAAAGATTTAGGAATTTAGGATGCAACAGCAAAGTGGTGGGGCGGTTACCCAAACAGTGGAAGAAGAGAAGGCAAAGGAGGACCATGAGAGAAAACACACAACACATGGTTTAGGGTAAACTGAGAGCGCTCCAATTATTCCCCTTCCTCTACCCTTTTGTTCGTGATTTCACTGTTTTGGGTTCGCGGCATTTATCAGAGGATTACATGTGTAGGTATTCTTAAACCACCTGAGACTGAAATGTTATGGCAGGAGCTCTGCATGCCCTCTCTCACATGTTTCAATACCAACACAAACTTTGCACAGAGACATGTGTGTGTGTGTGTGTGTGTGTGTGTGTGTGTGTGTGTGTGTGTGTGTGTGCGTGCTAGCACACCCGCTGAGGTTTCCTGCAGAGTTCAGCTCATGCAGACGGCTGCTTTCAATTAGAAAAGGGGGCTCAGGGTAGAATACAGTATACATCTCTCTCCCCTCATAACAGCACCTCTTTTCCCTCTAAAGAAGTTTAAAGACCCGCTCACTTGGAGTTGGGCTTTTATGAAGCATTAATCTGCCCCCCCCCCCCCCCCCCCCCGCACACATTTTTTACAGTTTGTGAGTGAGTGTGTGTGTGTGTTGTGCGTGTGTGTGCAAGCAGAGGAGGACAGGAACAGTCAAAGTGTTATCCATTGCATTTTTAGCCAGTGATAACGTCATTGCACTGGATTCACTCTTTGATCTGAGAGGACTCGCTATCCCAGCCGGGGCCTTAGGAGGGAGTTGATCATTGCATTGGTTTCTAATCAGACCCCCGTACAGAGAGCTCAGGCCAAAGGCTGCACTTTTACCTCCCACATGGTTTAGTCATTTGTTTACAAACATCTCTGAACAAGCTTCAGTCATCAGAAAGAGAGAAGCAAGATCTGAGTTCAAAATGTTACCTTTTAAGGCTGTAAAAGATGACCACAGGGACGCTGAAGCTAAGTGATCGATGGTATGTGTGTAAAAACCCTGAGATAAAAAAGTTCAAGCGTTGCGTGAAAGTTCACTAAAGACGGAAGACTGGGATTCTAAAATCACACATTATATGTTTATCTAGACCCCCGCCCAGGCAGATCGGGTTTTTATTTACGTTTAACTCAAGTCTTTACAGAATGCACCCTGCCTTCACTAAAGGATTGTGTGTCTACAGTATTTTGTGCATCGTGTAATTCACTAAGCAAAGAGATTTTTGTGTCTAGTTGTTCACATTTAAACCACGTGTGATTCTAGATTAGAAAATCAGACAAACCGTAGTCGTAGCGGTCTAGTCACGCTCCATTGTAGCTCAATCAAGTGTAGGCTTAACCGATCACAGCGCTCTATGTTTATTGAGGAGATGTTGGGTGGGCTTAGCACCACTACAGCAGAGCGTTTGTTTTTTTAATGGCAGAGCAAAACAACAAAGATGGTGGCGGCTCAGGTCCTAGCGCCGTCCAATTGCATGCAGAGACAGTTTGAAAGACAACCATAGATTTTGGCCCACGGCTGAGCTCTATCCATGGGTCAACACTTGCCAGGTGATGGTTGTTCTGCATTAAGAGGAAAACCTGCACACTTGTTGCTGCAAATGCAGTTTAAAGGGGAACTAGGCACTTTTAGCTTGGTTTTAGCACCCCCCCAGTGTCCGTTTGTAGAACCAAAAACAATCTCCTCGCTGTGCGTTCGTCTTTTTAACAGCTCAATCTAAGAGCAGAAATGTCTCCTCAACCGTCCTTAATATCTGCTGGTGTGATTCATCACTAAATGAAACAAATCCTCTGTGTTCATGATCTAAAACATGCAGGAAACGTGCTGAAAACAGACTGCAGCGCCAGGTATGTCAGCTCCATGCTTTCTGAGTCCTAACAGAATGGCCGACCAGTCTGAAGTTGCAAGTGGAATACTCTGGCCACAGGGAGAAAAGGTATCGCTGCAGACACAGAGACTGCAGATTCAGGACGACCGCAGAGCATGGCCGTCTGCAGAATCAGGCTTCTACTGTTTTGGAGAAAGTGCCACGTCCTGATTTCATAGCAATCTGATGCCGTCATGCTACACCTCCAGTATCGCCTCTAACCCATTCCCCCCCAATCCTGCACATAGAAAAGTTCAAAAGTTGCCAGCCCTGAGTATTGGACGTGGAGCACAGTTTTTGTTTAACTGTCTGTTTAATAAAACCAGAGTATGTTTCTGCCTACATTTCTAAACAAATCGTGTCCTAACCCAGGGGTAGGCCACACTGGTCTAGAGAGCCACAGTTCTGCATGTTTTCCAGCCATGCATGAAGTAGCAGCTTCTAATTGGCTGAACACACCTGATTCAGGCAATCAATGGCAGGAACAACAAAGATTGTTGGAAAACAAGAAGGACTGCGGCTCTCTAGGACCAGGGTAACTACCCCTGTCCTAACCCAAAGGACCATAAACATCTGTAATTTAGAGGTTGCTTTCTTGAAAGCTTGAATCTCCAGTTGGCCTGAATCCGTGGTCTTCGTGTCTGTAGTCATATACTATTGGCCACAGGGGGGCGATAAAAGCTGGGTGGCCTGTCATTAATCTTGTAAAGGGTAATTTTAGCACATACTGGCTCAAGAAACTGAGTTGCAAAGTATCCCTTTACTTTAAAAAACCTGCACTACTTGCCTCATGCTTCAGTGAGGAAAAAAAAACGTTTCTGCTGGATATTTTTATTTCCCAAAATGAGGTAAAGTATGTCAGGAACGATTCTTCCCTCAGGGACAGAAAACATAAAGTTATAGATTGTAATAATCTTGAATTTAAAAAAATATATATTCAGGAAATAAGAAGATTGTATTCAGGTAAACCTGAACATGATTACTCATGTGGACAGGTGACCTTGTTCTTTATCCATTAAGACATGCAGCTCTTTCTCTGCCTCTTTTTTTTACCAGCCGTGTCCATCTTTTGATTGCTTAGCAAGACAAACTAAATGAGGGCAAAATGCAGCTGAGCGTCTGAACTAACAGGAGCCAGTAGAAGCACAACAAAAACATACTTTACATTGATGGTGACAAAAGGAGCAACTGAAAGGCAAATCTGACTTTTTAATTGATCTATTTTAGACTAATTTTGATCGCAAGTTCAATATGGAGCTCTTAAGAAACCCAAAACGCGTTTCTAAGCAGGTTTTTATGGTTGTAAAAG